TCCTGGAAAAAGGTTCGCCCTATCTTTTGGCAGTGTTTTTCACTGTATGTTTTTATCAAGATCTAATAAATTCGTTAGGATTTTTGTATGGTTTCAAAATCTTGAAATGTACAATATTATTATCATTCTTATTTAGATCGTAATCAACATTATTTTGGTAAAAGCTTTTAGACAGCTTCTTTCACAATCCAATTGCACAACCAGTAATCAGCTTTATCTTTAAAACAAATATGCTTCCCTAATGGCCCCATTTTCCATTTAAACACCCAAATAACATCATAAATGGGCAATTCCAAGGAAAATGTTTAAAAGGAAAAATCTTAAAATCGGGATAACATCTTTGTAAAGGTTATTTTCAGACTTTTGAATATTACTAAGATGCATCATCTTAAAATCCATTTTAACCCTCTTGTTCATGTTGTTCTTCGTATTTTAACTTTCCTTTCTTTTTTTCAATTTCACCTCTTTCTACTTCGTCATTTTCTCATTTTTTATAATTATTCTCTTCTTATTTTTTCCTCTCCCATATCCCTTTGAATCAGCAATCTGTATTCATTAGAATAATTGAGGGCTATGATATCTTTACCACAATACTTTACCACGATTCGTTGCAGAAGCTGTTCATGATGATCATGGCCCGAGTTTTCAGACTGTGCATACACGCACTATAAGTAAAGATTACACAATTCACATTTGCATGCGGCCTTGATTATGAAAGTCAGATTGTAAATTAAAATTCATTTGCGGTCTCTACCTTCCAGATACTGACTATTTTGGATTTAAAAAAAGATGAAGCAATGAAACTTATAGTAAGCCTAGTTATACTTAGATGTACGGACAACTCCAATGGATGGACGTTGGTGTGTATTTTGTTTGGCATAACAAAACACCGTTGTAGAAACAAGATTTTCCCTCTCGTAATACTCCCGCAGTCTACAGACAATCCATCTCTCCTTTCTATATCATGAGCATTATTTTCTTAGCATCACCTTTACGCAAGACTGCAATAAAATATTATACTTTGGAAAAATAGCACGCGTGCGATTTGTTTTTTTTTCAAGGAAAAATGCAGACTCTCTGCCGTCATGACCTTGTAAAATATCACGCGATGAGCTGCCATGAAAGGGAATCTTGATACGTTCAAAGACAGCTGAGTCTTTCGACGCTATGCTCATCGCAAAATCCATCCTATTGTTATCTTTAAACCACCCCTGGTCTCTTTGTCTCCGTCAAAATGAAGCACAAACATTCCCTCTTTGTCTCTGTTTTGCTATATTTCACTCATTTCCCCATTTATCTTTTACTTTCTACTTCGGCGGTGTGCTTGATACGTCAAATTCTATGGTCGAGCCTTATGTATCCTTTTCAAATATATGTCTATTCTTTCGGTATATATTATCTGACTCGATGCATGGAGCTTTACATGACCTCTCTCTGTTTATTTCTTCACCCCTCCCCTCCCTTCCAAACTTCCTCTCTCCCCCTCTCTTTCCTCCTTCTCTCCCTCTCTTTCCCTAGCTCCTCTCTCTCTCTCTCTCTCTCTCTCTCTCTCTCTCTGTCTCTCTCTCTCACCCTCTTTATAATTATTTTCTCGTTCTCTTTTTTTTGTTGTTTATATCTCCCCTCTCAGTGGCGCCCTTACAAATTATACCATGGTACTATCATGACATTGCCATGGTACTGCACTAGTACAACCATGATACAGACTACCATGTCTCTATATTATGTAGTGTATATCGTAATAATTGTATTGAAACTACCATGGTAGTATCATCGTATATGTACCGTGGCTAAAATACCGTGTACCATGGTATTTTTTTTATAAGGGCGTATCCATCGCAGTGAAAAGCCAGATAAACTGCCTGTTTTAATTTCTATCATGACAACTCACGAAAAGGTTTTCTGAACCTTCTAATCTAACTCGTCACATCTCATTATTGTGATGCATTATTGACTGCTTTCTTTAAAAAATAAAAATACATGAATACAAATAAAAACCTTCAGCCATCTTTCTGGTTACAAATATTTATTTCTGACGTTGATTATCTGCTCTTAGAGCAGATAATCAACGTCAGAATATTTGTAGACTACTGGTTTTGTCTTATTGTCTATATACCAAACGAACTTACAAGATGAACTCATCTCTCTGCTCTCTCATCTCTCTCTCTCTCTCTCTCTCTCTCTCTCTCTCTCTCTCTCTCTCTCTCTCTCTCTCTCTGTGTCTCTCTTGCTATCTCTCTCCCTCCCTCTCTATATCATACCACCTACTTTTTTTTTTCTACACATCTCATTCCTATATGATGCATCGTCTGCTTTCTTTTAAAAAAAAAATTCAGCCGCCTTTGTGGTAATAATATTTACTACTGATGTAAATTATCTGCTCTCCTGGTTTTGTTTTTATTGTCGCCTAAATGAACCTGCAAGATGAACTCTGCTCTATTCTCTTCTAGAGCCCTCTCACTCTCTCTCTTACTCCTCTCCTCTCCTCTCCCTCTTTGTTCATCATTGCCATTATCGTCATCATTGCAACCATCGTCATCATCGATCATTCCAATCATCATCATCACCATCATCATCGTCATCACCATCATCATCGTCATCACCATCATCAACATTATCATCACCATCATCATCCACATCATCATCACCATCATCATCCACATCATCATCAGTTTCATCATTATCGTCATCATCATCATCATCATCATCACCATCATCATCATCATCATCATCATCATCAAGAGGACATTTTTTTTGTTGTCCCAAAGTTTTTGCTACGACTCAGCCAACCGCTGAATAAGCGGGGGGGGGGGGGTAAGGTCAGCTTTTTGGGTCACCCATTATCACAATTAAAAAAAATGTTTATTATTATTTTTTTTTTTTAATTAAAAAAAAACAAAGGGTTTTTTTTCTTACTGCAAAACACACATAAAAAAGGTTCAACCTCAAACCCCCGCCCCCCCCCCCCTGTATACGCGCCTGACCCCATGCCCTTCTTGGCTGGGCCTACGCCACTACATGTGTAAAGGAATTCACAATCACTTCATGTTCAGTCGACTATATACTAAAATATGAATCGAAGTATACCCCGACCCGATTTTATCTGCACTTGAGCAATGATATTCCGTGCATTTTGATGAGGACAAGACGAAAGGCGTTATAGATCCCGAGGGAACCATAACCAGCCAATTTCATTCTCGGGTTGCCTTTTAAAATGTGAACAATTCCAAAGGCATTCGCACAGACCCAGTTAATGAGTGGAGTATCTCCTACAGTTCAGAGGTGAGACGAGGGGCAATGTTAGTTATATTACTCTTCTGTTTTTTAATCTATTTTTGTTTCGGGGTTGTTTCTTCCGTCCTTTGGCGACTGTTTTTGACCGGGCAGCCGTCAATTATCTCTTTAATTGTTCATTTTCTGCAGAGGGCATGCATATGTGACATTATTAAGTAATGATGATAACAATGACATTATCTTTTAGTTTCTCAATCATTGTGGAAAATTTAACATACAGAAGTGGATAACTTACCGGATAATGCGGTTCAAGATACGTGGTTCGTATCCCTGTTTTAGTATTAGATATTCCTTGAACGTTTGAGCACCTAATCAAAGTAGCTCGACTAAAGCTGGGATAATTATTGCAAGGCACTACAGAGGGAGAGAGAGAGAGAGAGAGAGAGAGAGAGAGAGAGAGAGAGAGAGAGAGAGAGAGAGAGAGACAATTATTATGTTCATGATTACTATCATTATGATTGTCATTATTATTATTATTATTATTAATGTCTAATTGACGTAGCTTATAATGATTGAAGAAATTCATTTAACCAATTCTTATTTTCCATATTTAAAGAAGCCGATGAATGTGACCCTTATCATAGTTTCTAAACATACTTATAATATATATATATATGTATAAAGCCGACTTTTATAACGCAACCAGGTGTTACAGATATGGTAATTGCTCATTAGCCTACCGTTTTCAACGGCACAAACAAACTTAGCAACCAGTATTTTAAGTCGAGAACACGACTTTCTCTAATCAATTAAAACTAATGATGAAATATTACAATTTTAAAGGTAAGAGCAAACAAGAGTGCAACCTGGAGTAAAATGCGAGTACAACTAATTGCTATTTTTAACTAGAACCAAAGAAATCTCACATTTTTTTTTAAGGGAAGGGGACTTACAAGAGATAAGCTTATTCATACAATAAGCATAAGAAGTCATGTAACTCTGACCCATGTTGATCTATAGATGGCGTTTGTCTCTGTCTCTCTCTCTTCTTTGCTCCGTGTCTCTTCCTTCTTCTACCATTCTATCTTCGTTGTCTTTTTATTCCTTTCACCTCGTCCCCTATCTTGCTCTCACATCCTCTATATCTTTCCTATCTCTCTCTCACATTCTTTTCTTGCTCTCTCTCTCTCTCTAGCGTCCACACTCGCCATATCCTTTACTGTATCTTTCATCTCTCTCTCTAGCCGTCGCACCCTCTATATCCTTTCCTATCACTCTCTCTCTCTCTCTCTCTCTCTCTCCTCCTGTTGTATTCTACCTTGCTCTTTTTGCTCTGTCATGAAGAAAAACCACTCTTCCTTAAAGAGAAGGTTGAGTTCTGGGAAGAGGTGAAAAATAATTTGTGAGCATTACTCATTCTTATTATGCAAGAGTGGAAGAACATCAGATAAAGACATGTTCCCTGAAAAGCATGGCTCTTCAAATGCCTTCATGTTCTAAATATGCATGTAACATCGTAAAAATCGGGGGCCGGCTTTTTACGCCACGTGTTCGTGTAGTCCCATATACATCTTTCTGTGCAAGTGTTTGTAACTTTACCAAGACTTGGCCAAATTTCTTATCATTTTGATGATTCCAGAACCTTGCAATACACACAAATTCTTATATGCTAGATGATCAACCTTTTCTGGTCAGTTCCACACCGTTTCTTTCACAATGCAATCGCATGACCAGAACTCAACTTCATCTTTAAAATAAACTATTCATATCAAATATTAGAGAATACACTTTATTCAACACAATCAATGTTATTATAGCAATAATTAATTCATGAAGAGTGACAGGCTATTATGATAGATGCATGGAATCAACGCGACCGCAAAGACTTTCAAAATACCAACTCATGGAAAATGTCAATATCCTATTTTGTTTTTAATCCTATAGAAATCGTGTTTGGATGACATAATTCATCATTGTATACTGCTTGCATATTTCAATGAGCCATGGACAAGGCTATTGATGTTGCCTTAGATGGAATTATTGAAGGTCTTTGTGATCTATCTTCCCCTATTTCCATAGTACAATATGTTTGGTGCATATCATCATAGATTCAATTTCTTCAATCATGAAAAAAAAAATCAAAACAGCAACTAATATACATATTTCTTTATTGAGGGGTTTCACTCAATGTGACTTGAAGAATGCAAACCTCTCGATGTACTATTCTGACCAATTAAGTTGAAACCATAAAGAAGCCTTACTTGCCTTGTGACGATGCTATTTAAAGAGCTGAAGAAAACATACAACCAAACCCTTGGTCATTTCTAGAGAAAATCAAGGGAAAGAAACGATCCTTCATCATGTAAGTATTGGAAATCCATATATGTAATCAGAGTTCCATCATTATCTTCTGTTATGAGCTGAAGGAGCATCAATTTAATTTTTCAAGGATAAAATGATATATTATTGTAGATACATTTTACAGTTAACTATGCATAACTCAAAGTCACACAAGTCATATCTTCGAATCAATTTTGGGGGACCAAACTATGCAAGACATGTGTTATTTACATTTCGAAGTCAAATTTTGCATACATCAAACTATTTTTCTTGCGGTCCAAACAGATTCAACTTACGCAGAGTTAACTGCATTTATTTAACCTTTTGTTTGCCATGAATTGCAACTGGCATGATCGCAGGCTTGCCACGAGTGCCGATCAGCACAAAAAAAATAGACACCGGACTGCACTGAGAATTTCTATAGCTCTGCATTATAGACCATATTCGTAATGTAAATCAAATTTTAATGCATATATCCTTGTGGAGAGCCATGAATTGCAACTGGCATGATCTCGGGCTTGCCACGAGTGCCGATCAGCACAAAAATAGACACTGGACTGCACTGAGAATTTCTATAGCTCTGCATTACAGACCATATTCGTAATGTAAATCAAATTTTAATGCATATATCCTTGCGGAGAGCCTCGTTCAAAAGGACAAACCATGTCTGATTGAGATACAATAATGAATCACAGGTGAATGTAAGCTTGTTGCTAGGTAAATGTGCATTCTTTTGAATACTTTTGAAAATGGACCGTTTGCCACACAACAACCCTTTTTATCCACTGTATGTAGGATGTACACTGTAGTTGCTTTATAGAAATAAAGCAGAATCTGTTGGTAAAAATACCTCTGGAGAAATACAACACATCACATGGACACTATTTACATGTAAGGGGCAAACACAAATCAACTCCTTTCAATGAAAACAGATAAGTGTTCATTTGTAAAAACGTCTTACCACTTCAAAAATGGAGCTAGCGGTTTGTCGTTTTATGATTAACCAGAAGTGTGAATACAAGAAAGGTTGAAAGCAATGGAAGCTAAACCACACACCCCTTCCATCAAAAAAAAAACAAAAAACATCCTCATACTTCTAAAAATATGTATACCATCATGAGATGATGCTTTTATAGTTCTCAGAATAAGCTGTTTTCAGCTCTGTTAAAAGATTTACAGATTCTCAAAAAATTAAAAAACTGAGACAAACTGTTCAATGTCAGAACCCATATAATAATTAATATATTCAGCAGATGTTCACACATTCTAAACTTGATAAGAATAAAATAACTGCATTTTACTATTGTATTATGTAATTATATCACAGGATAATAAGAGGAAGAGTGAAGGAATCATGGTTGTCTGCCAAGATCACATTAGTCATCATAATATGTTGAGGCGTTCTGCTTGTATGATATAACGGCTCGTGAGCTTTCAATTAAAGCAAACATGAAATGGCTTCCACATTCACCATTAGGAAGCTTTAGTGGCACGAAAAGATGCGTCCGAAACGCAAAAAGGGATGATAGTCAGAGATGTCTGTTGATTTAAAGTTCCTTTTTGACATATCAGACTGAAACTTAGGCAGCATGAATCCTAATCAAGATAATACATGCATTTACCAGCTCCATTTCCTAACCATATGGCTATCTACCTCTGTGTGATAAAATTATGAATTTCAACAATTATGCATTTAGCGTTCCAGACGCACCTTTTCGTGCAACCAGTTTCGCCATGCTACATGTACCTTAAATATTTTATGAGTCTTCGGCTTACAAATGCAATTTTTTTTTTTGTAGACACGTGTCCGTAGCAATCACACATTGCAGGATACTTTTTAAGTTATTGCTATACAAATCAAACTTAGACATGGAGTAGCCTATGGACACGCAATAAAGTAAAATGTCATCTGTTAATAGTCACAATGGCGTTAACTCTTATTGGAAGGAAAAAAATACACCTGTCTGTGAAGACCCCATTTAATTTTCTCTGAAGCAGTTCTTATATACATGTTCTACTGCGCTATACATGGACAAAGGACAAAATTTCAATATGGGCAGCTTATAGGAAACATGGTATCGTACAAAATTACCAGCCTTTAAGTATACTGATTAGTTCAACTTTATTACCCCCAAACAGAGACCCAGTCCTGAAAGTGCCCGAATCAGAATGAGACACTGGCATCCGCAGACATTCCTGCTACGGAATCGCAACACTGTTTCTTGCCATTTTGTTTCTGGTGTATTTTGTATTTAGAAACCCGAGTAATCAACTATATATGTTTTTTTACATTTCACATTACTGCAGTTTCTAATAAAAAACAATTAGTCAATTTCATTCCCAGGAAGATTAATCCTAACTGTTTCAATTCACCCTTCTTACAAATATAAAAAGGAAAAGGTACAATGAGGATTGTGATAAAATAAAAATAAAGGCAAGCTATAAATAAAAAGACTACAAAGAGGTTTCACACATTTTTCTCTATATAAAGTAATGGTAGATCTTCATATAATTTTATACACACCCTTTGCCAAAGTTAGTTAATTTCACCCATCTGACAATGACACACATGTTTATCTATTTCGTTGCATCTGCATTTGTATAGAAAAAGATTTCACAAATGCGTCATGTTCCACCTATATTTAGCATGGCCTACATGACTTGATCAAAAGAAGTCTGATAAATAGAGTAAGATATCTATCTTTGGTGTCATACATACCATAAATCTCCTGACCTCTTATAGTCCAGCCTTTTTATATTTTGTATAAAAGTCATGGTAGTTCCCTTTCGAATAATCTACATTATTTTCAGAAATTTTGGTAATATAGCACATCGTATATCCTCAGCGAAATGAAGTGGTATGAAAAAGAGGCGTCCGGAACGCAAAAGGCATGATAGTCAGTGATGTTTGTTAATTAAAAGTTCTCTATTGACACATCCTGATGAAAGTTTGGGTAACATTAAGCATATCCGAGACAGTACACATAGTTCTACTTAATATTGTGATAGAATTATGATTTTCAACGATTATGCATTTTGCGTTCCGGACACGTCTTTTCATGCCACTACGTTTTGCTATAAAGCTACCTAATGAGGTAAATCATTCAATTAGTAAAGGTAGTCCATTGTATTTCATTGTCATTGGTTTGGTGTACTGCTGGTGTTTTTCATTTCAATACAGAACACCATCAAAATGCAAGAGACCGTTCCGGAGGCCTTGAAACTATCAAAAAGGTCAGGTTTTCTTTGCCAAACAAAGCAATATATATTGATAAATATGGTCCTATCACAATTGCATAACTAGAAGGACGTTAAAAACAATGTGTATCACTTAAATGAACGAAATATTGACAAATGCGAATACAAAGGAACAATTGGATAAATAAAACCCTGAAGGATCAGTATAGCATTTGTTTGGGGCCAAAGGGGCGTTCAATCCTTGTAAAATGATACAACTAAATACCCTTTTGGCTCCAAACAGTTTCTTCTTTAGAGATATTAAAATAGAGACTGCTCCTAAAACTTGCAGAAGATCATATTGGGCTACAGTACAATAAAAATTCTATATAGGCAACAGACCAATCACTCTAGTGTGGGCCCAATATCACCACTACTTACCCTTGTTCACATATAACATGGTCAACCCTCTCCATAAAAAAATTGCAGTGGCTAAATAAAGGCTTTTACATGTAAATGAATGACAGAAGGTAAAATAAAACGATTTGTGCAAACACTGGCCTCTAAGAAAACTTACTTCTTGGTGTGCAGTGGGATACAAAAAAAATGAAGCGCACTGTATGCAAATATTAATTTTTTCCTGCCTGTGCTGAGGTCTTTAATAAGTGTTGTGTGGCGAAAGGATCTATTCAGTCCAATGTGTTATTATGTGTGTGTCATATCATTCACACGGGGATCAGATATGGACTAAAAAGCGTGTGTTTAATTTGGTTTTTACAGACGTGTATCAATCAGATATGATTATTTACATCTGGGGAGCGACCTATAACGTCACCATCTGAGCGACATGACTCAGTTTCGAACCTGCATCCTCGGCTGAATCAGTTGGTAACTTCCATTGATGGCTGGATTACAGGCGCACGCCACGACGCCCCGTTGTCACTCTTGTAACATATACTGTAAAAGCAGGAAATTTTCACTGCAATTAATTTCCATAAATTATGCAATTCAGTCAGCATGCTTGAAATAAAAGAAACACATAAATATCTACAGTTTCAAATGCATGCAGCTCGAGCAGCAAAGAGTTGAAGAGACAATAGTTGCAGGAAAAAAATTACCACTTTCGCAGTACTGCTGGCAATCTCCTCATTTATTAAAATATTTGCTACAAATTATTCCAAGTCTTTAATACAAAGTCTGTATAATATATATCAGATAATGACTGGCTCCCGCTGAAATATCTCCCTCATGAGAATTAAAAGTCTCGGCTATGCCTCGAATCTTCACGAAAATAGACTCCATAGAGAATCCATCGGTCCGCTTCTATTGCACCTTCCTCCAGTCAATATCCGCATAGTTATTCTATGAAATCCTCCAGTAGGTATACAATCGTCACATGTCAATCACTCACCGGTCAAGTACTATATATATATTTTCAATGAGAAATATCCTATTAAAATTTCAAAATAAAACGATACATGCAGTTCTCCTTTTCTTATCTTGCGTTAGAATTCGACGCGGAATCACCCGGTGCCGACTCTTCGTTGATGGATTTTCTGCATACAGGACATGTGTTGTGCTGAAATACGAAAGAAATAAGAAAATGACAGCACGTAGTAAAACCAGATTCTTCTTAAAACTGGACTGCCATACGGTTATGTGAAGCCGAGACATCGAGCCGTGTTTTCATCGAGCTCCTGGTTTTTGGTGATACTTTTCAGAAAATGCCTTTATTTTGCCTGAATTTGCCTCTGGACATTATATTAATTGGATTTCATCAACATTGAGCTCCTAGAGAGGTAAAAATAATGTAGCAGCTTGATTTCGACTATTTCGGAATGCATCGAAAGATACATGTCTATATTGCTCTGCACAAATTCCTGTGAGTATTATAACCGAGTACTGTGTTAATGACACTGCCTCTCACCGCTTACAAAAAAACTACTAACATTTTTTCGTCAGCACATTCTGTGTTTGCCTTCTGTGTTATACCGGAAACATACATATATATATATATATATATATATATACATTGTATATATATATATAAATATTTTTTTGGCTTTAAAGGACAAGAGTTTTTGCATACTGCACACAAGGCTGTTCGTGAGGCAGTAAAAGATAAAATTAATGCTATCATTGATCGTCTAGACGAAGCGGATGGGTATGATGCCATTGAGGAGGGTCTATAAAACTGGTGATGTTTTCATAGAATTAAAGAAAGCTTTTGATACAGTGATCAATAAAAAATCCTGAGTGTATAGAAAGAGTTTTGAATAACGAACCCGAAGTAGGGTCATATTCAAAACAAAGTCGCAACATTACTCGCTCGTTCACATTTCTTTCTTTCTTTCTTCCTAAAAAAGATAACAAACAGAAATTGTTTCAGATGCTAAAACAACATACGTACCATTTCCAACCATGTTTCTACGCATTTTGGGTGAAAGAAGTGAGTGCACGGTAAACGCTTGGCCGCTTCGTCACCTTTAAACGCTTCCATACACACCGGACAATCTGCTGATTGTTCTGTTGAAATAAATCATTACAATCATTAATCTCAGGAAGGAATAAAAGATGTTATGTATAGTTACATTACTGAGACTATTTTCTTTTCCCCTTATATTTTTTACTTAAATAACAGCTCATATAACTAGGAGGCCTAAAAAAAAAAATGTTGTATTGCCCTTTGCGACCTACCCAAAAATCTTGAAATCTTTTTTTATTACCGTTTTTTAGGAAAAAAATGTATTAAAGGATTTCAAACTGAGAAATATCAGCCCAAAGAGGGAGTAAAAAGAAGAAAGAAAGGATTTCCAACCGACCGACCCATGTTTTGGCACCTAAACCGCGATACAACATCTTTTTTTTTAGGCCCAACTCTCTTGAGACCTACATATATGTTTCCGAGGTGACTTGCTTTATAATAAAGTGTGCATACGTTATGAAATGATAGGTTAATAACAAAGGTTAATAAAAAGACAGAATTTTGAGTCTATATTTTATCAGAGCAATAATGATAATTAGAATAACAATGATAATAGCAATGGCCATTATATAAAAAGACTTATAAAGCACTTTGGCTAGAAAAGAAAAAACATTTCAGTATAGGGAGACAGAAATGCTGGTAAAACTTATTTGTTTGCTCTTAGTACATCTGTGAGGTCTTACACCAAAGTGACACTATACATCTTTGAAAAAACAGCAGATAATTAAAATCTAATGACATAGCTGTAATCAAACAACATCTTAAAGATACATCATAGGTATTATTTATAAATGAGTGTTATTTATCTTTAAAGGGCCACTCTAACCCAAATAACATAGCCTTTCAAAACATGAATACACCTGTACTTATTAATATTCCAGACTCTGATTTTTCAGAAAAATCTCTAAATTGACCAAAAAAGGATAATAACCATCCATTTTTCACAGTTCTCACGCTTGCTGGGCTACGCCCCTCAAAAAAAGGGTAATACGGTCACATGGCTTGATGACGCATTTGACGTCATTGCGGGCATGTCAAATTTGATAATTTGATAATTTCATAATTAGGAGTGACAAAATTGCCAGAAACATACTGGGATTTTCAAGTGCATATTATTTTTTTGATAAATGTCTTTTTTTCAATTAATATCATAGTTTGCCTTTTTAAAGACATTTTAATGCCTAAATCACCCTCCTTTTCATCGGAGAGGCTCCTGCAGTGACGTCAAATGCGTCATCACCGAAACTGGGCTTTTTTTCTGAGCGTTCTGAGTCATTATTTTTAAAGCTTGATTCCAGATTTATTGATGATTTTTAAGAAAAATCATTGACATGTTCGGAATCTTCGTCAAAAATTATTCTAAATGTCTTTTTTTTATTTTTTAAAGCCCGTTTCGGTTAGAGTGGCCCTTTAATGTTTCTAACTGCATGATGCGAAGACAACGATTCTTATGACACTATTCTAATCAAACAACAATTTAATTTAATTCAAGCATTGTTTTGTTACCGATATGAATGTTGTTTATTGTTATCATTTCTAACCGCCTGATGTCAACTTCAGTAGCAGGGGGTGGACCGTGACCGTCAGCGTTATTCAATAACTGAGAAGAAAAACAGCAAAAATTTGAATATTAATGAACAGTATTCATAACTCGATTTTTCTAAAGTATATAGTCAATGGAAATGAATGTCCTCCACAGTATATGTCACTACACTTTGATACATTCAGGGAGGCATTTATAACACAGTTACTGATATTATATGTGTCAGAATGTAAGAAAACATTTCTAAGAATTAAAAAAATATTCTTTATAGGAAATGTATTAACGTCTCAGTTTAAAAAAAAAGCATACTTTAGGGTGACTTTTAACTCCAGTTCAATGAGATTTTAAATATATCAACAAAATATCAACATCTATTTTGCAAAGTTAAAGAGAATTTTTATGTATGATCCTGCTCTTGTATGCAAAATATTGAGTAGATGCAATCATGCAAGATGTCAAAATTTAGTATTGCTCTGTACATGGTAAGGGAAAAAGTTCATCACTTTCGCATGTTAAGGACCCACCAATCTCTTTGTAAAAGAGTACATGGAACATCTAGTGTAGTGGCCCACCTACACATCTTCTTTATTGATACCGGGAGGAGAGAGACCCGAGGTTACAGCAGACCTGCCAACCTCTGGAGTTCAAAAACTGTATTTTAATAGTCCCAAAAGTTGTATTTTTACTGACAAAAGTTGTATTTTTTTTGTTAAAGCACAGATCAATGCCTCTTACAGTTTTTTTTTTATTGATCATTGGTTGAATATGCATGATTTCGTCATGACTGGTGTGTTCAATTTTTTTTTTTAAAGCACATTTAATAGGAAAATCGTACTGTCATATTTACTTCTAAAACTCGTACAAAATATGATTACATCGTACTGGTTGGCAGGTCTGTCACAGTGATTCAGTTTGCTTTTCCTCTCAGAGGCACAAGTCACTTAATATTAAGACTACTAATTACAAAGTCTGGATGCATAATAAATTGATCTAAACACAGAATTTGACTCTCAAAATTTCTTTGCTATTCACAAGTATTTGAGGACCAGGTAGTATTGGAATGGGTAAATCCTGATACTATGACTGCAAAGGTGAGAAGAGGACATTACCTGTGTAATAATTTGATCTAGACCTCCTTCCCCCCATGCATAATCTCTTGGACTGCCATGCATGTTGAACATCTGACTGTAAACAAAAAATGTCAAAGAAACATTGCAAAATATACTTTTATACCACTTTGAATACATAACTAATATCACTTTTGTCCAATGACTTGATCACAGCTTGTATGCAAAGAAAATGTCCTAATTTAAGCATTGTAGTAATGTTATATCACTTCTACGAGTATTGACCAATGTTGGTAGGACCGTAGAGACTTGATCACAGCTCATATGAAAAGAAAATGTCCCAATTTGACCATTCTCTTGCTAAGGTCATTTTGGAGCCTCTCACGATACACACCTGGTTGATATACATGTATCTGTGTACATAGTTTGGTGGTGAAATGCTTCTATCAAAAATTTGATATTCTTTTTATCTCTTGATTACAAAAGGGCAAAACATATTACACTTTCAAAGGTACAACTGGTGTAGTTGGACTTTAAAATCGTGAATTAATTGTGCAATTAAAAAGAAAACTATAAATATCTTTGTGGTTTGAGAATTTTTTCAGGATTTTAAGCATGTTAGAGAGTTAGTATGGTAGAAGGATGTAATAAGTTACATTTCAAACAAAAATTATGCAGTTTTTTCATGAACCTTCAACAATGTTACGGAGTTACTTTAACTGGACTTTTGGATGGTTAAAGAAGATTTTTTAAATATCATCTCGATCAGGCAAGCCAAATTGATGGAGGTGCTTCATGAATGCCTTTTATTTGCCCTCTTGAAAAGAATACTTCCATCTGTGCATTATAGAATGTACCATCGGTGCATAAATGAATAACAAGTACAAGACTTTCATGAACATGCATACAGCATTCGTCTTGATCAGCTTTACAATTTTGTACAAATGGCCTTTATCTGCCCATGCACAGATAGTATCAGAGTTGGGAATAAACAGATGGGTACTCACACTGGGAAGTGTACACCCCCCGGTCCTGGGGGAGGGGGTGCCAGTCCTAAAAACTGCTGCAGGAAACTACATAGGAAAATAAAAAGGGAAAAAATATTAGATCACACGATCTACTAAACATCTTGTACTTATCAATAACTTGGCATGATAGTGCATATTAACTGAGCTCTGTGTTATAACATACATAAATGTCACACAAATTACCTTGACATATCTGAGAGCTATCTACAATTTCCACTTATTCTGAGCACCAAGATGAAGTATATTAGGGTCAGTTAGACCTATTAATAACAATAATTATATTATTACAATTTTTTATTTTCAGTTTTCTTTACGGATAACTGATTTTTCTTATAAAACTGAAAATATGGCCTATATATTCAATACTGAATGAACGCCATAAAACTATTACCAATAACAACAACAACATTGATAATGATATGGAGCTCGATAAAGACACTAACGCTATCATATCGGGCGGAGTAGCTCCCCGCGGTCCACCGTGAATCCTCAACGTTGTCCTGGTTCCAGGAGCATGCATAGCGAATGTTCTGTTGCTGTCCGTTGCCCCAGGATTCCTGTTCGACTGGGTGGATGAAGACTGAGCTCCTCCTCCCAATGACGACGAGGAGGAGGTTGGCGGCGATGATGACGAGGGACTGCCAACGACGTTGGGTCTTCTCGATGCGTTGTTCCCTGGTGCTTCATTCATCATGTCACTAAAAAGCTGTCAATATAGAAAATACATGTCGAGGGTCAGTGACACAAAGACGTAACTCCATTTTGGTCATTTTGAGAAAAAGTGGTTTATGTGTCACTGAGCACTTGGGCCTTCAAGGGATCCGGTAACTTTGTCTCAGATTCTGAAACAAAATTCTGGATTTATCTCATGCTGCAATGATAATTATAAACCTTTAGGTCAGTCAGGAACCCCAGGACTTTTAGAAGCCCATCGCCTGTCTGATTATCAAGATATTTATGATTGGAATTACAAATTTTGAAAACCGTTTGCCAAATGGTTTGCTTAACATTCTACCGAGAACAGTCAACATCAGATTTGCTCTAGACTTTAGCTCATCACTAAATGATTATCTTCATTTTAGTATCTTTCAAGAATTTACCGTTGACTTTTAATTTACTGTTGACTTTTATAATAACAGTGCTTGCTTTCTTATTAATTTGAGAATAAAAAATATATTCATAAGGAATAGATTTCCAAAATGAAGGAATCTAATTACCGGAGTGTTGGCTCAGTCAGTAGAGCGTCCGCCTCACAACCGGGAGGTCGTGGGTTCGAACCCCGGCCGCGTCATACCAAAAGACGTTAAAAGATGGGAGTTGTTGCTACCTTGTTTGGCGTTCAACATTAAGGGATAGAGCAACGTCGATCTGGCGCTGCTCAGTGGCTGCCGGGCTCACAATCAATTGGGCAAAAAGAATTTCCGTTTCGGTTTCATAAAATTTGGAGTGGACTATTAGGCTATTATTATTATTATTATTATCAGGAAGAACAAGAGAAGTCATTTTTCAGTCCAAACTCATTGTTCAATAACCATATTCATGGGCGGGATTGCCAATCATCGCCGATGGCATGCGAGGGGTTAATTTACATGTAAGTCTTACCGTTGAGAAGACAAAAGTTTGGAAAGGATCGTTTTCTGCTTCAAAGGAGACCCCTCTGTCATCAGCGGGATGGCTAAATGAGGAAAGCACAGAAAAAGTCATGGAGTACATAAAACATGCCTACCAGTAATATTATTAATCAGCCTTATATTCCTGCACATGTTCAATTAAATTTATCGTTGGACATTTAATAGCATTAATTTGCTAACTATTTATCCACATCTTTGATACATTTTTAAAAATCTTTAATAATATTGCTGTGTGATGTCATCATTGTTATTTTGTTATATTGCTTTAGTATTTTGATGTGTTTGTATTATAATGTAAATATCTGGCCTTACTTTGTAAAACAAACAATATGAGACTTGCGCTGCACGTCATGTTTTTTTTTTACTAAACCAATTCAATAATACGTAAATGGGGCGTTGTAAATGGTGAATTCAGTTTATTTTTCCATGCAGAAGGAGGTAGTTGTTCAAGTATGATTGTCCTGTGTACTGTTGCATGTAAAGTGGCAACAATCGTACAAGTGCAGCGAGATGGTTAACATATCATTTATTTCTCACTCACTTAGGTCCCATGCTAAATACAGATATCTTGATCAAGTTACAAATAACCGAACTTTCATGTACCATACTGTGGTAATGACTGCCAAAGCTACAACAAAGGGACATACATGTACATGTTAATATATGGTCAAAACTACATTTCGTGGGCAGTCTTCAAAACTTGACTAAATATGTGTATATCTGTATTATATGCTTACTTCATTATTGCTATTTTTACAACAGCTCTCATAGGAATGAAGAGACTAGGTAAAACATGTTTGTTTCATATGATGATTCTTCAACATCAGTCACATGTACTGTTTCTAAATTCTATATATGCATCTTGTTACTTCTCGTATTTAGGTAACATCGTCTGTTTAGAGCCCCAATAGCATTGATCCATATTACTTTAACATGGATTTAACGACCTTGTGACCCCAACCAGACGACATGTTTAACTTGTCTGTCAAAAGTGTATACGGTAACGGTACTGTGTATCACATATTCCATCATATTCATAAATAATGTGATGTATTAGCCCTGCTCTGTCAATCAATAATAAAATATGACCTGAGCTTTTAATTTTTTCTACTTTTCTATCTTTCATATCTATACAATACTTTTAATACTTCCTTTGTTAATAATCATGATTGTTAATAAAGTGATATTGAAACATTTAACATGCAGCACATTATTAGATAACTTCAGTGGAGTAATACAATTTACGAACCTTGATCCGTCAGAATGGTCAGTGCTGCTGTCGTTCTCTAACTCTTCTATAAATCCTCCATCGCACTGAGGGCATACAAAATCCTGCATTAAAGCAAAAAGAAATTGAATCAATAACGGACCTCCATTCTATGATACAAACAAGATATATAGAGGGCGATTCCGTGTTTGAACTTTAAAAATTCACAAAATTTAGATTTGCTTTTTTTTGGCAACCAATTAAATGATATTTTAGATTAATGCCTAAACCAACAAAATCAAGTGATTTTATGTACTATCATCTATGGTGACTTCAAAGGCTCTTTGTTTACAATTAGTTCAAATTTGATGTCATCCAAATTTCCAGATACTATGAATCAATGGTCTGGGTCACTATCTAGGGCGCTACCCAGTTTGAAAAAAACTTCAGGACAGATATTAGCCAAGCCATTTCAGCCATAAAGCTTTTCCCAGGCTTCCGTTTAGGGGTCTCAAATTCTGAAGCCCAGGATTCTCTTATTTTCCCATACACATGTACACATGTATACATGTACATGTTTACCGGTATAGTAAAACGATATGAAGGTTGTGAGATTTACTTCATTTCTTTTATTAATGACATGAATAAACTTTGTCCCGTACAACATTTCATGTAGTACGGGACATGACATGTATACACTTACATGTACTGCTTCAGCCCAGTTATAAACATAAACTTTCATCAGGATTTTTGATTGTAAGTCTGTAACCAGGAAATTCATAGCTAGACTATGTACATGTTCCTGCTCATATACCTTGTTTATATTGTTAGGGCTAGGGCCTATTAAACATGTGCAGTATATACATGTACATGTAATATGTACACCTCATCATATTAACCTACAGCACATGTACATGTAGCAACAAAATACAAAATATTATACTTTGTAAGATTTGCAAGGTGAGTTCAAAATGTAGTTTCAATATAGTTTACACAAAAAATACATGCACCGTTTCACACATATGCAGCGTTCCACTGCCACACAACTAACACCAGTAGACCGTAACCAGGAAATTCATAGAACGGCAATGTACCTGCTCATAGTACATGTACGTGTACAGTGTACATTGTTTATATTTTCAGGGCTAGGCCTAAACATTGTATGTCCACATCATTATAACCTACATGTACATGAAGCAACAAAATACAAAATAGTACACAGTTGCAAGATTTGCAAGGTGAATTAAAAAAATAGTTTCAATATTGCATACCGGTACCTGAATAATACATACATCGTTCCACTTCCACACAACTTTATACACAAGTAGACCGTAATGTACACATACTTGGGTATTTCCCAGTATCCCAAGCACAATGCCTTTCCAAAGTTGCAAACAATTTACATGTACGTACATGTATGCAAACGTTTTAGTTATTTACATTTTATACATAGTGTATATATGTACTACATACATGTACATGTAGCCTACTCACAATGTACTTACATTCACAAGATTGCACAAAGTATTGAGCAGAAGCTGGAAAAGTTCATAAAGCACTATTAAACCGTTCTTGTCAATGAGGAAATGCAATGAAAAACTTGCACTACACACACCCTCTTTTCAATCAACAGAAAACTGCATTGAACATAACGTCAAAGGGAATTCCCCCCAAAAGTTGAGCAAACTATCACGTGACCAATTTCCTTTGAAATCTATTTATAGAGGGGGAAATACAGGTACATGTATGTGTAGCAAACTAGCAATGAAAGCATATGTACATGTAAAGTCATTTCATTTTTAGAAAATTAACTACATGTACCTTTGTAAAATATTGTGCTGGATTTACTATGAGAATGTTTTTACACCTTCATAGTGGATACTTTGTTCATCCCTCATTTCATTTTACATTTTACACTTACAGCATTTGCAATTGCAGCTTACATGTATATACATTACATATAATATACCATGTTTGGTTATAGGCGACTTTTGATATTCATGTTATGAATTTTAAGAAAGAGGAACATCAATGTTGATTTTGAAGTACAGGTAAATGTAAACGAATCCTAAAATCATCCATCATAACTAAAATGCATGCCTACATTATAATCCAAGATGGCGGGCCGCATGTTTTGCCTCTTCTCTTAGACCAATATTATATTAATTTCAAAGTCATGAAAAGGCACTAAATATCAACAAACATGGTCTACAACAACTCCAAATGACAAAATAATCCCAGCCATGAATTTTTTTTTGAGCATTTGATAGCCAAAAACTTGAAAATTTTCGTCATTAAAAAAAAAAAAAAAAAAAAAAAAAAAAAAAATCAGCTGATTTTTTTTTGGTCGATCTTCCGATCCGATACCGATCAAAGGTGCAAGGGTGTTGCTCCGATCTTCCAATCCGATCAGAGCCCAAACTAACAGGGTTAATTGAATGTCAACTGTCTGAGGGCTAAGAAACTGTCATTCCAAGTCTTAGTCATAATCATCATCGTAGGTACAGAATCCTGGCTATCAAAGGACATACTAAACAATGAAATCTTTCCTACGGATTTGTATGACAATGACATCCATCGCAGAGATAGGCTGAGTGATGCCCAACGAGGGGTGTTTATTGCAACTAAGAAAAACTTAGATGCTGCTTATAAGTATCAGCTAGCATGGTGATGTAGATATACAGTAGGCTTGCAGTTGAACCATGTGAGAGAGAGGGGATGATGAGGGAGTCCTGAAAAGGACTCTCGGTAGTCTTTCTCAAGAAAACCGCAAGCCTACTGTATAAAGAAAGACTTGATTGCTAGCAGGGTAGAAGAGTTAGAGACAAATTGCGAGATCATGTGGTGCAAGATTGAGATGACAGAAACCAAAACACTGTATGTCGCATCCAGGCTGGTCGCATCTTCCTACAAGCCACATGAAGGAGACGAATCCAGCTTACTTGAGCTCCAAAAATCACTTTCAAGATTGAACATAAAACACCTCATTGTCATTAGGGGAGACTTCAACCTCCCAGGATGGGACTGGATTAACCAAGGGGTGAAAGAATGTGGCCACCCTGCCTTGCATCACAAGTTTGGAGAGTCGTTGGATGACAATGGTCTAGTCCAACTAGTAGAGGAACCTACAAGACAACAGAATGTTCTTGACTTGTACCTCACCAACAATCCTACTCTCGCATACAGTGTGTCCATGGTTCCTGGCATTTCAGATCATGACTGTCCTCTTCTAATCCTGGACATGAAACCATCTAGTAGACGACAGATACCAAGAAAAGTTCCTGTCTACAGCAAAGCAGACTGGGACGCATTCCAGGTCAGCATGTCAAGAGTTGCGGATGAGATAGCATCAAAGTATGATGAGGCCTCCACTAGTGAACTGTGGGACATATTTCAGACCGGATTCAAGTATGGTATTGAGCCACACATTCCCCAGACATTATTAAAGCCCAAAACCAACTTACCATGGGCAAGAATCACGAAGCTCATCAAGAAAAGAAGCAGGGTTATTAAGAGATGTAAAAAAAACCTTGAAGACCACAGGAATTATCAACAATGAAGAGCACAACAGGGAGTCTTACAGCACTGGAGAGATACATGTACCAGAAGATTGGAGAAATGTGAACATAGTTCCAGACTATAAGAAGGGAGACAAAGCAGAACCAAGTAATACAAGTACAGACCCATCTCACTAACTTGTTTATCATGTAAACTGATGGAGCATATCTTAGCGAGCAATATCATGACACATGGAAACCTCCAAGATATCCTGTACCTACTGCGGCATGGTTTCAGGCAACACAGGTCATGTGAGCTACAGCTGTTAGGGCTGGTGAGCGACCTGATGAATAACCTGCAAGATGGCAAACAGACGGACATCCTAGTGCTGGACTTTAGCAAGGCATTTGATAAGGTTGGCCACCAGCGTCTCATCAAGAAACTAGACTACTATGGAGTGAGAGGACACAACAACCATTGGATCGCCAGCTTTCTGCAGAACAGAAAACAGCAGGTGCTCCTTGATGGATGTAAATAATCTCAAGTCAACGTGGAATCCGGGGTGCCTCAGGGCTCTGTCCTCTGCCCATGCCTCTTCCTGTACTTCATAAATGAATTGCCTGACCAACTCAAGTCAAGAGTTTGTCTGTTTACTGACGATGACATCATCCACCTCACTGTACAGTCAGATGCAGATGCTGACCAACTACAAGATCTCAACAAACTCAATGACTGGACCAAGAAGCGGATGATGGAACTGAACACCAACAAGTGTGAGGTCATCTCAGTCACCAGGAAGCGAAACAGGATTGTACACAGTACGAACTTAACAACTCCATCCTTACTCATGTAGAAGCCACAATATAGCTTGGTGTCACTATAACATCAGACTTGAGATGGAACAAACTCATCGACAGTGTCTGCCAAAAGGCTAACCACACCCTGGCCTTTTTATGAAGAAATCTGCAGGTGAGCTCTTCCAAGTTTAAAGCAACAGCATACAGAGCACTAGTCAGATCCCTGGTGGAATATGCCTCTTCCGTATGGGATCCATCACTGGCCAAATACACCATCAAGCTAGAAATGATCCAGCAAAGGGCAGCCCAATACACATTGAATCGATACCGCAACACATCCAGCGTATCTTCAATGTTGCAGGAGCTTGGATGGACATCACTCCAACAGCGATGAGAACACCTTCGCCTCGTGATGTTCTACAAGATTCACAACCAGCTAGTTCCGTTCAACTCAGAGGCACACATCACCAAATCCATCAGACCAACAAGAAATGTTCACACACAAGGATATCTTTGACCTCAATCCAGGACTCAGCAACACTAGAACTCCTTCTTCCCCAGAACTGTGAGGACATGGAACACCCTCCCAGCCAATGTCGTGACAGCCCCATCTGTCGAAGCCTTTCGTCTCCAATTGACAAGAGGCTGCAGCAGCTAGATCCAATGCTGCTTTTACTTGCACCTTGTCAATTATTGGCACCTCAGCACATGCACCCTATCCTTGTGACACACACTACACCAAAGTTCTGTAAGAATCTTCAAGATTGAAGGAAGCAGACTACACCAAAGAAGAAGAAGAACAAGGAGACAGTAAAGTAAAAACAATGTTGTTGATTGTCATGCCTGTGCTGATTATGAGTCAATTCTGGTGAGTTTTGTACAGTGATGTTTGAGAATTTAGAGAATAAAAACAGGATGTCTTACTCTTATCTTAACACTTTTTTCTATGAGCAGTACGGGCGTTAGTCTGAGAATGAGGATCGTCCACATAAACGAGCATCGCCTTCCTAAACACGGACGGAGGCGTCCTAAAAAATTAAGCATTGTCTGCATTTTCGCAGACGTTTCATATTTCTGATCCGGGCGTTGGCGATGCAAAAAACAGATTCCGCGATGATTTTCTTAATGCATTTTACATCGACTTTCACTTTATGAGCGATAAATCCTTGCGAAGACGAACAACCCATAAAAGTAGACAGTGAACAGGGTTATTTTCTTACGCGAATCCGTTTTTCACATCACCAGCGCACGGTTTACGTTCGGGAACCTGAAACCCGCAGAGCACTGATGAAAAAAAAACTTCTGAGAAAATGCGGACAATCCTTATTTTTGAGGGCGCTATTTGTCCACGTTTACGCAGATGATCCTCATTCTCGGACCAGCGCCCCAGCTGATGAAGTAAAACTAGTTATATAATTTATAAGTTATAGTAGAGGGTCTACTCAGCTATGAAAGAAAATGATGTGTAGATATAGAATCTACTGTTTGACAAAATAAAGATAACTTGCTGTGCAGAATTGAATTGTGGTTTTCCATTTCAATCAAGATTAGGTCTAACGCCCCTAATCTGCTAGCTAATCAAAGGCCCTATCATCTTCAATCATCTACGTCATCTGATGATCTACGTCCCTCTCACTGAAATTGTTCTCAGTCATGTCAGTCCCACTCTCACTCTTTCTCTCTTATTTCAACAGCTTAGAAATGAACGTGTTTAAAACTTTAATCTCAACATAGACTAGAATCTACCGCAGATCATCACATGAGAGGTCTCTCAATTTCAAACAAGACTAAATTGATGATTGAATATAACTGTGTAAACATACGTACCGGTAAAACAGGACGAATTTCTGCACTGCATTTGTGGCAGAAAAAGCGAGGGCGGTCTACAGAAGCTTCTGCCATATTATAAATATTATATTGAATTAATATCTCTTAAAAATTTCAAACGGGATCGAAGGGAAGGTCGCTTCTCTTGACTTAAAATTCTGTCCCAATACTATTCACTCACGAACATGTTCAGTTGATATCACGGTGCCGATATCACTAGCACTACATGTACATGTACTATGTAGCTACATGCATAATAACACTGCATAGCTAAGGTCAGACATTTCGGCCTGGAAGCGTTTCAGCCCAATCACGCCAAAAAGTCGAGTTGAGTAGCCCAGCCTTTGACGACTGACTCTATCACTCATATTCAGTATAGCAGAGTAGATCTTAGGCCGAGATGTTGGTATCCACGTATGTCACGCACACTGTACATCATATGGGGGTCGAATAAAATTGGGTTAGTGTTGTATAATTATAACATAGAATCTAGAATCTAGAGCAATGTCATATTTTGCTGGTCTAAACAAATCTGAACAATACAATCAAATTATGTCACCCATAAAAAGGAATGTTATAACTCAAAGGGGTAGGTTAATTAAGCCAGGAGCGAATTCACGCAGGGGGGGGGGGGGGGGGGGGGGGGGGGGGGGGGGGGCGGGCCCCGCCCACCCCCCTGCCGCAAAAACAAAACAAAATTATAACGAATCGGGCTAACAAATATAAAAAAATTAGTGCTCTTACTCCCCCCCCCCCCCTCTTATTCACCGTCTGGCTGAGTCGCCGCTAAATATTTCTGTAAAAATTGGAGAGAAAAAAAAGTATTAAAAAAGTGCTCCCCCCCCCCCTCCTCCCCGCTTACTTGTAGTACATTATATTCCATTATGTTTTTTGTTTGTCCTTTGGAAAGCAAAGAGTGATTTAGGTTTATCTTTTTAGAGACAATTATGTCTGTTTTTGTTAGTCTGCATAAATCATAACAATCCAATTAAATAAGATCTGGCTATTTGTGTCAGTCGATCAGTGGACTTCAACAATGATCACGGTCTGTAAACAAATAAGATAAAAGAAGATATACCCTAAATTCAGATCAAAATCCTTTATACCAATCACATCTCACTTACTTACATGTACAAAATGAAACTGATAATTGTGTAGATAATTGGGACAGTTATGTAATTTGTGTTGTTGTTGTATTTATACTGCTCATGACATGTGGCAGTGGCGGATTCAAGGGGGGGGGGGGACATAGGGGGCACGTACCCCCGGTAAAAAAAGGGGGGAAGGGGGAAGGGGTGAAAAGAGAAAGGGAGAAAAGGAGAAAAAGGAGGGGAAAAGAAAAGGAGGGGAAAAAGAAAGAAAAGGGAAGAGAGAAAAGGAATAAAAGAGAGAGAAGAGAAAAGGAGAGAGGAGAGAAGAGGGGGAAAAGGAAGAAAGGGGAAAAGACGGAGGAGAGAAAAGGAAAATAATGAAAAGGGAAAAGAAAGAAAAGGGGATGATATTATAAGAAGTTGATTTTTAACCGGGAAAGGGGCGGGGAGGGGGGGGGGGGTGAACGCAATTTTACAGTGGGCATTATATGGGGTCCCTCTTGCCAGGCACGTAGCCCCTCCCTCCCCCCCCCCCCAAAAAAAGCACAGGAAGAACCCAAAAAGAGATGGAAATGGGGGGGGGGGTGGAGATTTTTTGTAAGTCAAAGAAGAAAGGAAAAAATGAAAGAGAATTAAACAATGCCGTATAGAAGAAAGGTGCGAGAGATTGAGGAATTGCATTTCTTTAAAAAGAATAATGGGATAACAGCCAGGGGTGACTCCCCCCCCCCCCCACCTGTCAGGAGATTGTCGGTAAAAATGAGAAAAGGGGAAGAGAGAAAAGAAAGGAAAAGAAAGAAAAGTATTTCAAAAAAAAAGAGAAAAAGGAAACAAAAGAAACGGGGGATGAAAGAGAAGAGAGGAAGAGGGGGTAAGAGCCTGAAAAAAGAGGGGTGGGGGAAAGAGAGAGAGAGAGGGGAGCTGGGTGGATACATCACGTCGAGGGGGCAGGAAAGATACTCATAGATAATTATGTTGCTGTGTAGGGTCCGCTGTGCCCGCCCCCCCCTGAAACTGAATCCAGACAAGGATTGAGAGTCGAAAACGGTACAACGAATTGTCTTCTTTCTCTAATATTTAAATGAAACGTCTTAGCTTTTGCGCTTCGCCCGGGAGGGGCTAAACAAGAATTAAGATTCGGGAACGGTACAACGAATTGTCTTTTTTCTCTAATAATTTAATGAAGTTTCAAAGCTTCCGCGGAAGGGAGAAAATTTAAAATAATTTAGTTCCTGGCCCCGGGTTTATATAGTGTTAATTTGTAAACATTGGGACATTGACATTAATATATTTGTCGGTAATTAGTGACTAGTTTTGTCGGTAATCGGTGGCCTCTACACCCCCCTCTTCCCACTGAAAAAAGGTTTAGCGACGCCCAGTGGCGGATCCAGGGGGGGGGGCCTGGGGCCCGGCCCCCCTGGGGAAAAAAACGTTAATTTGACCTTTTTTGGGAGTTGGGACCCCCTGGCGCTCAAGGAGGGGGGGGGGGGTGCAAATTTTCGAGGCCCCCCCCCAAAAAAAATGAGCTCACCCCCCCCCCCCCACTGAGAGAATTTTCGGCAGGCGCGATTTCCAAGAGAGCAAAAAGAAAAAAAATTGGGCCCCCACTCCTAAGAGATCCTGGATCCGCGCCTGGCGACGCCCCTGATAACAACACAATCATACACTCGAGATTGCAAGTACTACTGGCAAAGTACTAGACAATGTATTTGTGCAGTGTGCAGCAACGAAGCATAATATACGACATCTCGCGAGCAGGCACGTAGCCAGAGTTTAATGTTTGGGGGGGGGGGGCGGGCCCATACATGTAGTCGATAGAGGTAAAAAAAAAAAGGGGTCTAAAAAAAGTTCAACCGATCTTGGATTTTTTTTTTGGTGTCCCCCCCCCCCCCCCCCCCCCGTGGCTACGTGCCTGCTCGCGAGGTGACAGATCACTTTTCTCTAACTTCTAACCAATCAGAAGGCCTCGTTTTTGTGCAGGAAGTGCCGGTGGATATTAATTCGCCAAATGTGGTTCTCAAATTGAAAAAGATTCCTACTCTTTGAGGGGGTAGGAAAAATCAATTTTACGTCATATTACTCGGAAGTGCCTGAAAATGCGCCTAATGTGGTTATAAAATTACAAATGCTTCCTATTGTATGGGAGGGGATTCTGACCCCCTCCCAGAGACCCAGACCCATCCCCGCTTGGTCCCTCCCGGTAAGATATTCCTGGATCCACTGTGTTAAATTCTCCACTTTTCATGTGTACTTGCCATATTGTTTAATATTCTATTTATGTTTAGCATAGCCTAGGTTTAGATCATTCCTATTTATCGTTATACATTAGATTTGATTTTTTATTGGTATTCTTCGTATTAATATGCTATGTTTGTATTCTTTATTATGTATCCAGGCGCGTACGCAGTGGGGGGGGGGGGGGGGGTTGGGGGTTACCCCCCCCCCTTGAACTTTTTTTTATGTGTATGTTTTGGAGGAAAAAGAACTCCTTTTTATATATAAAAAAAAAAGTGGTAATGGGTGACCCAAAAAAGCCGACCCTACCCCCCCCCAAGACCGATCGGCCAAATTTTCTAATTTTGGGACACAAAAAAAAATGTCCTCTAACCCCCCCCCCCCCCTCCCGCTTATTCAGCGGTTGGCTGAGTCGTTGCGAAAATTTTTGGGACCGAAAAAAAAAAAAAAAAAATTCTCTAATTTTTACTCTTATTCAGCGGCTGATTTTCAAATTTTTTAACCCCCCCCCTTGAAAAAGTCCTGCGTTTGCGCCTGTATGTATCTTTATCATGACATGTAAATGGGTTGTACTCTCATACCCCAGAAGACGGGGGTCGCAAGAGTCAATAAGTTCTATTCTGACTATTCTATTCTGTCTGGTTTGTAAAGACGTGTTCCCAGACAATAATTGTCTACCGGTACTCTTTAGGCATACATGGGATCCGCATGATCCGGGTCAGATTAGGAAATCAAGAGACAACCAAAACATCTCTCCCAAATGGAAAGGAGAAGCCTGTTTGCATAATGATGATTTGAGGCATATGCTCATCGCGAAAAAAGCATTATAATGATCGACCCAATCAGGGGCGTACGCAGGGGGGGGGGGGGGGGGGGGGGGGGGGGGGATTTGGGGTTCAAACCCCCCCCCCTTTGGTATTTTTATGTGTGTAAACCCCCCCTTAAAAAAATTAAACCCCCCCCCCTTTGTTTTTTGTTTTAAATTAAAAAAAAAAAAAAATTATGCCCACGGCTAACGTAAAGTGACCTTAGCCCCCCCCCCCCCACGAAAAAAATGTCAATTTTTCAAATTTCGAGACCAAAAAAAAAAAAAGTATCCGCTTACCCCCCCCCCCCCCCCCCCCCCCCCCCCCCCCCCCACTGAGCGACTTTTCGGTTGGCTGAGTCTTTGCGATTTTTTTTTGGACTACCAAAAAAAAAAAAAAAAGTGTCCGCTTATGGATTATTTAAATAGAGCTGGTTGTTTGGATAGTACCTCATAGTTAGGGTGACTATAGCTGTTACCCTATGCAGGAGCGGCACCCCCTTCCCTTTTTAGTTAGGCTGATCTAGAGAAGTATATAATGCCAAGAAGATGTGTGATAATAGGATCGATGATAGTTTATTTAAAGATATATATAATACTTACTGACAAACAAAATAATTTCGATGTGTTGTGATCTTAAAGTTGCATTTCCAAAAATAATATTTTTTATTATACAATAATAATCAATCTTTTTTCGGCCAAAACTTTATAATTTATTGAAACGATCTTTGCTTTTGATTACTGGAAGTTTTAACATTTGGTCTGTGACGGACCTCCTGAGTGCATTGAAAGCCGGAGATGCCGGTATCTGGTATGCTTCCAAGGTTTCCTCCTCATTACAGCAGATAATTGTTAGCATCATATGTATTTAATGACTTGCCATTACATCGTTTTTATTACTGTTGTATCAATCGAATATTATTTACATGTTTTGTTACCTTGTATATGCCTTACTTTGTAAATTCTTTTCATATGCAGTTAATGTGGAAATAAAACCTAAATAAAAATAATAAAAACAATATATTGACAGATGGCGCCCTAGCTCCAGAATAATTATAAGACTCGATCCGGTAAGTTCCGAGGAGCTAATTTTCCGGGGGTAATTGTCGTTCGGAGTGGTTGTCCTCTGGGGAGGAGGGGGGGGGGGTGTTCCGGGGATAATTTTATGGGGGTAATTGTCCTTCGGTAATACTAGAACGAGAGAGAGAGAGAGAGAGAGAGAGAGAGAGAGAGAGAGAGAGAGAGAGAGAGAGAGAGAGAGAGAACGAAAGAGAAAGATATCCAGTCAAATAGCAATTTACCCAAAGTGCAAAAGAATTAATTCCTTTGCATTGAACGAAGGAATATTAATCCTCTGAACAACTTGAAAATCTGAGTAGTGGAAAGTAGGCCTAGTTATATCGGCATATAATGGAAATTAGATATTGCCAGTAGAAAGTTCACGTTTTCCAAATGAATTTGTATCCATAAACAAACTGAAAGGGAATAAATAGTGCTTTAAAGTGAACACAAGAGCAACTTTTTCAGATTGTAATAGTGAATAAAATTTGCATAATTATACAAATGGTGGTCATGATATCAATTTCTACTGAACTTAGAAAAATCATTCAGGCAATATTTAAACCCTTTAAATTTAATAGGGAAAACAGGAATTTTCTAATATGAAAATTATGCAAATTTGACTACTTTATTTTTAATGCTTAGATTTTAATTCCCATATATTGTTTAGAGCATAGAGGGTTATTCCGATATCCGAAGGATCCAAAATAATGTAAAAGATAGACGTAATACTAGCTAGGCCTACAACTAATTTAAAGCTGATACCCGGGCCCGGCACAGCTAGTAAGGGCTCCCGGCGTCCGCAAAAACTCCCCCCCCCCCCCCCGGCCCCCCGCCCCTCTCCTCACTCCATTTGAATACACTGATTAGATTAATTTAATACCTTTTGATTCAAACAGGTTACATACATTGAAATGCATTAACCAGAAGCCTATATTTTCTCGAAACGGGTCTGTGATCTATTATCAACTTCTTTCACACCCCCCCCCCCCCCATCCTCCAAACCCCTCCCCGCGGTAACCACCCATAGATAAATAATAGAGTTGGCACTCAATGCATGGAGTAAATCCATGCTCAATGCGACCGCAATCGTAGACCGCGCTGCATGCGTTTATGTGTTTATGCGAAACCGGAAGTAAGTTTCATTTAATTCAAGTTGCACTGCATTGCGCTGTATCTGAACTGAAATTGTTTCTTCATATTTTCACATCCTGTATCAACCGGCTGTTCCAGTCTAAATTGTCCTTTCTCATCTACTCAAGTCATGAATTTGGTTAGCAATTACTTGTAAGTAGAACAGTGTAATTATTAATGGGCGAAACAAAAACAATCATATTGCCTTGAAATTTGGTTGTCTCCGGTTGTGATTTCAATTTCGGATTGTGACTGTGAGCTGTGTGAGCTGTGTGAGATTGTGATTGTGAGTGGGTGTGTAGACTTACTATTTTTGTTCAATGTGCATTCTTACTATTCTTAGCATGTTGAGCAATGTGATAGATATAACTTTGACTTGGCTTTGTGTATGAAGAGCTTTTTTAAAGACTTATATAAGGCCATATCTGACAGTTAATTTAAGACCATATCAATTTCAAGAATATCGAATAGGTGGACTGATAAAAACAAAGTTGTTGTCTGTTGACGTTGTCGTCTTGATGCTGAGCTGAAACCATGGAACACTTCAAGCTTAAGTTAACTTGAAGGTATCGTTTAACAATGTTCACAGTTTTACAAATCTGAGATGCAAGGCCCTACTAGTGTTGTCGGTGTCTGTGCAGGGTATAATGAATATTGAAGCCCTAACAAAATTGCGCTTCAAAATGGATCATGAAGTGTCTCATAAAAGTAAACATCTTTGAGTGACTGGTTTTACCATACTCATTTTTTCCCCAATAGGTTATAGACTGCACTGTAGTCTGTAGGGGCGCTGGTCGGAGGATGAGGATCGTCCGCATAAACAAGGATATCCTCGTTCATCCTTGTAAATGCGGACAAAATGCGTCCTAAAAAAGTAATTTTTGCAGACGTTTTTTTTCTTTGTTGCTCTGCGGGTTGATATTGGAGGTCGTCCAAAGACAGTGCAGCTTGCTTCAACCAAAGATGCTTAGTTACACAACAGGTGTCATGTTTGTTTTGGCAGTGATTATAGAATTGGAGGCCATTTACTAGAAACCAAGGATAACTGGCACATCTATTAAAGGGGTGTAGCATGGCCATCTACGACTTCTTTTGGACAACTGCACATAAACGAATGGACTTGATTAAAGGTCAGTGCGCGCAAGCGGCCGCACAACAGACGAAGTTCTCCTCCTGCCGCGGTTTTGTGTATGTTGCATGCAGGTGAATAATGCGGTACCTTGTGTTCGTCTCTTCCGAAAGGTCCGCTAGGAACTATCTATAGCGTCGTCTGTAGTCATATTATACCCGATAGGCCCAGAGTCGGGCCACAGGAAAGACACATAGTCTTGTCATGCTAGTCTTGTCATGTACCCCTCTTTAATGCTTCAGACTGGGATCCACACTAACTTCTATGGAAGAGGGTGAGGATTTGAATGGTTAGAGTCTGAGCACTACATGTACATGTACATGTATGTAGATATCTTGATTTTTGTGGGGTCCGGACCTTGATTTTGAGTGTCCATGTGTTCAGGGTGCCTTCTAGTGTCGATCGAGCCCTGCTTCAAAAGATACATACAAATATATACCAGTCCTGCGCTTGTAGTTGTATGTCCATAGCTACATGTACAGTGTACATGTACATTTATGTGGGTTTAATGGCAAATGTTCACTTCTTTGAAAAAATAAAACAACAACAACACAGATATCATTGTAAGTACAAGGACTCGAGATGAGTAGGATTGACTTTACTTATATCCGCTGAATGACTTGATGCAGGCTCTTCAATTCAAATATTCTCTGTGCCAAATTTAGGGTCTCCAGTATGACAATGTTCCCTTTCCCACTCGATACAATTCTCTTTGAGATTTCATCCCTGGGTCAGTGTTCAAGTAAAAATAGCGGTGACAGTGCGAATACAATGAATGCCTATATGGTTTCAGAATGGATCTCTTCAAAAGTCTGTTTAAAAGATTCTACAATTAGTGATGATTTCAGTTGAGGAGGGAGCCTGTTACAGATTTTGGGAGCATTAGAGGAGAAATCTGCATTACCAGTTAGTCCCTTGGATAGGATGTTCAATGGAGGCTTGTGTACAGGAGAGTCACCCCTTTGCACGTTAAAGGGATCCAGTAACTTTGTCTCAGATTCTGAAAAAAAATCCTGGATATAGCTCATGCTGCAATGATAATTATAAACCTTTAGGTCAGTCAGGAACCCCATGAATTTTACAAGCCGATCGCCTGTCTGATTATTTATCAATATATTTATGATTGAAATTACAAATTTTGAAAACCGTTTGCCAAACGATTTTCATAACACAACAGTCTATTGGGGAAAATGAGTATATTAAAACCGGTAACTCAAAGATTTTTACTTTTTTGAGGCACTTCTTGATCATTTTGAAGCGCGATTTTTTTAGGGCTTCAATATTATACCATATCACAGACACTGATAACACGTAGGGCCGTCCATCTCGGATTAAACATTGTTAAATGATGCCTTTAAGAACCCACTGCACCAGTCGTATAAGAGTAAGGGTAAATCCTGGTGTAGTGGTTAGTGGTTGACCTGCAAACCCTAGTAACATTGGCATTATATCCTGACTTATGGATCCTGTCAAGTATTAGTAGAAGTGGTTGAGTGGTTGAATGAAATAAAGGCATGACCATCAGAAGGAAGTGAATGAAATTAAATAGGACTGGATGAATAATGGGAATATATAGAGGAAGTACTTGAATGCTCTACCCCCCTCCCCCCTCCTTGAAGTTTGACCACTCATTGATAATTCAGAACATCACCTAATGTAGGAAATCACTGTACTCAGTGTACTGTACATACATGTACATGTACATAGCTGTTTGAAGTACAAGGTACAGTTTGTATGTACATGTGGGAGAATTTATAGCCCCCCCCCCCCCTCCAAGGAAGGCTCACAACACAAACACACAACTACATGTAAACAGTGGGTCCTTCCAATATGTCATATCCAACAACACTAGAAGTTACTCATTGACTACAGCACAACAAATTTACTGTAAAACAATACTTTGCCTTGACAAACTTGACCCGTTTTGACTCGGGGCCCAGTTCACAGCTAGTTGTAACTTGCTGGCCATTGATCTGTTAGATATACTTTTGTTTTGAATTTATGATGCATGTGAATGCTGATGGGATTGGTAAAATGAACATATAGTATCAAATGAATAAATTAGGAGTGATAGGACAAGATACATGTATGTACATGTATGTGTACACATGCATGTGTAGTTGCTACAATTTTGCTAGTGATTATCCAAAAAATGATATTAAAAAGAAATAAACTAAACTAAGAGAACACCAAACAAAGTAGAGCAAGCTTTGTGATGCATACATGTACATGTGTATGCTGATGGTATAATGCATATGTTCCCTTATATCAAATGAATAAGTTAGGAAAAGATACATACATGTACACATACATCTGTACAGTATCTTGGATCTTGGATTCATTTCCTCCTAAATACCCCAAAGAAGAGTTTCGACCGGAGGTGGTGGAGGGTGGACGATGAAATTGTGCAAAAAGTTCTTTAGTGACATGTCTTTACACTTGGGAAAGAGGAGTTGGCATACCGGTAGACGTCCTTTGAAGTCCTTGTCTACGTCTGTTTGGCTTAGGGTTATTGTAAGATTGGTAGTCGTTGTCGAGGTGTCCCGTTAAAAGAGGCAGGTAAGATGGCGTGCTTCCCTTCTGTCTTTAAGAGACCCCCCTCCCCCAGTTGAGTTGGTCGAGCAGCTTGGTGACAACGGTGTCCCATCCATAAATGTTGGTGACAAAAAGTATAATTGTGTTCTATACTTTCTGTATCCTAAAGATAAATGGAAACCAATCCTGTCACCCCTTTGAATAACTTTAACAACTTTAATATCTAGGGGTCTGTTGGCTGTTGCAGGAAACTCAACTCCAACTTTAAAAATTCCATATTTATACATTTACACTTTTTTAAAGGTGCATTTACATAGTAGATTGCAAGTTGGTGAAATTTCTTTCTTGCAACTGGTCTCTGTTGTATTTTATGTTCTGATTATGAAGGTTTTTTTATAATTATCCATGAGCAATTTGAAACATCATCTGAATGATACCCTTGAAGGGTCTGAATTGACAGAATATTTGTCAGGAAATAAACGGCATAATATGAAAGCTGTAATGTGGTTTCTTCCAGTTTTAATTATCCTATTAAATTGTAATTAAGTGCTCTCACATTTGGCGAGGAGTTGGTATCAGGTTTCTTGATGGTTTGGTTTCAGTGCACTTCTTAAATACAATCTCACCTTTGTAACAAGTTTCTTTAAATGAAAGCACAAAATACATGTATAAAAAAAACAGAGAGGTAAAGTTTAAATGACCAAATGGAATCAAGTACACTAGAAAGTCAAGTTTTCGACAGAACAAATCTTGAAGTGGTGAAAAGGTGATGTCACTGACTTAAAAGTAATGTGCATCATGTGCATGGGCTGGACATTACTCTCACATTAATTGGTTTTATCACACCAAGCTATCAAAATGTGATTAATGGAAATATATGATGAAGCAGGATTTCTTTTAATGTCCTTTAACATCTTGCCATCATTAGCTGCATTTACACTGCAGTCAAGAGTGATTTGTTTTTCTCACATTTCGGTCTCTCGTTGGAAGCAACTACCTGTAAACACATATAAAAACCCAAATAATAAAAAAGCCCACCTCTGGAGTGATGTTTTAAAACTGGCAGAAACTTCACAAGTTTTGGCAGTGTAAACTCTCAAAATACAGGTTAAGTTTGGTCACGTGACTCTCCTTGCTTCCGTGCTAACGCATGCAGTTCAAGTGGCACATGTGCACAACTCACCAACAAAAAATGAATTATCAAACATTTACGGTTTCTTGTGGGTAGTGTAAATGGCAGTAAAAAAAAAATGGTGTAAATGGGCCTTATGCTATGAGCTGGAAATTTACAATGTTTAGTGCTGAGCCATGGGAGTATACCAAGTAACAAGAGAGTTGATAACAAAATTTGAGAATGTACATGTACATATAGTACTTTATTTTTCTTTATTTTTCAGTTTGATTCAATTTTGGTTTGATTGTCAAAATAACACACAATAAAAGTCAGAAGACCAATGGTATCATATTTTACAATACCCCCCCCCCCCCAACATGTCCACAATGACATAATTTAGTGACAGAAAACATGATAGGATGTGGATTTTTAGATTATGATTTCTCTTGAACCATTATCTGCCCAAAAGAAACTTTCTTGTTTCATGATAAACTAACTTTCTTTTAGGGCAAGTCTCGTTTTGAATAATTTTATATTTCCCTGTACCATAGACTTGTATTCCATGTTGTAAGACGTACCAAAAGTCTAATTTTACTGAAAGAAGTGGCATACTTTAGGAATTGCAAATATATTTATGTACATACTTTTTTCTCGATTTAAATGGCGATATTTGTTTTTCATATTTGCTGAGAAGTCTATTTTAGAATTCCCTTGGTAGTAGTGGGTGTTCGAATACACACATACATGTACTCCTCAGTCTACAGTTGGCGTACCAAGAGATGTCTTTACATACACCCAATGTCAATTACGTTAACACAATGTCAATTACGTTAACACATTAGGCCCGTCTTCACTATCTCGAGATTGCCAAATATCCAGCTATTTGAACTATCCAGCTAATTGCGTCTTCATTAGACCGAAGTAGCAAATTAGCTGGATAGTTGGTCGGGATAATATCCCAAGATATCTCGGTCTAGTTTGCAAAATATCCCACTATTTCCGAACTAGCGGGATAGTTTGCGACCGTCTTCATTAGACCGAAGTACGGAGTCAAATATCCCGATCCCATCATGCACAACGATTTCCGGTTCGCACATGCGATCTATACCGCTCAGCGCGCTAGTTCTGTACAACCACTGACCTCGAGTAAACACGGAAAACCGCAAACTAGACCGAGATATCTTGGGATATTATCCCGACCAACTATCCAGCTAATTTGCTACTTCGGTCTAATGAAGACGCAAATTAGCTGGATATTTTGCGATCGGGATAGTTCAAATAGCTGGATATTTGGCAATCTCGAGATAGTGCAGACACGCCTATTGTAGGTGACAAGAGTGACTTTTCTAGGAATGATGGTGAATGTACATGTAGTCCTGAGGCAAAATGTTGTATGTGTCATGTATCTTTGACAGCTGGACAGACTTCTAAGGAAGTTTGTTGGGCTGCAATATGATGTGACAGTTGTGTAGTACATGTTAATTGTCAATTCTCATTGCAACCTACAGGTGTAAATGGCTCAGTGTATAAAGTTTGATTTAAGATCACCCTTGGTGCTTACCATATTTAATTTACTTAAGATTGTGACAAATAATCAAGATAACCTTTGTGTCAAGTCCAAAACATTGTTATGTGACATTTAAAAACTGATAATTCCAGGTACATATGTACATACTGTATATAACTTGTAAATATCGTAGTAATGAAAATGTGTAGTACACCTTCTTTTTTCTCTCATCTCCCAGTTCACCTACATGTACATGTAAGCTGCTCTGTATATGAATGCATCAACAACAAAAAAGGATTTTAGTTGCCTGTAGGTTGATGTCACGGAAAAATGACAATCAAGCTTACTAGTTTTAGGTCTCGGCTCAAAGAGAGTTTATTCACCTTTTTTATGGTGTATCTGAATTTCGAACAGATAAAAGAAAATCTCACTTTCGTCAGGGTAACATAATTCTTAATTTGCATGAGACTTGACACAGGTACAAAACATGTATGTCTGAAAAAAGCATTGCAGCAGTGAAAGTAAGCCAAGCTAGGTCTCGTACAAAAATGACTCAACATTCCCTGCTTTAAAATGAAAATAAAGTATGTGGTTTTGTTTTTTTGCATCACATGAAATAGATCATCAATCAATCTGTGCATAGCTCAGAACCCGTAAGTCATCCTAATTTACCATTTAAGTGAAAAATCCGGAGATCCGTGTACGCCTGGTGCTGCCAGATTTACCCAGATGACGGCTCTCGCTAGGCTCGGAGCCTCCCCTTTCCTATGACGAGGTACACCGTGAATCAGAAATCCCTACGATTATTTGGAACCGACTGCCGAGTTATGATTCATTCATTTAAATCCTGGCACTGTTTATGTCTTCTCTCTCTTCCCCCCCCAATCAACCTGCAGGTCTACCGTACAGCATACAAACACCACGTTGTAGCTAGCTACGTCCGTCGGCGCGTCCATGTGAACTAATTTGCTTTGTCCTGAGACGGATCACACCGATCATGGCGCAAGATATGCCGTAAGTGCTACCCTCCATCCGTTTTTTAGACAGGAAAATAATGATTTGACCTGAAAAGTTCTTGTTTTAAACATGTCTTAAAATAAACTGTGGTATCTGGATTTACATTCCATTGATCATGTACACCTGTAGTAAGTCACAGGTTTAAAGACATTTATGAGATCATGTCTTGACATGTCTTTGTTTGCATTATTTATAAAAAATGCATGTGAAATTCTTTGAGTCATCCCTTTTCTTATTCACCTCTTGACATGAAAAGGTACAATAAATTTTATTTTTGTTAAATACTGAAATTTGTAAAAAGTTCAAAAGATTATGATTGTGATGCTCTTTTTTACGACAATTGCTCCATGTCGACTTTCCAACACTAACTTGATTGCTTTTTTTCAACCCTGGGGCGGTATTCTGAAAATTTTCTTGTATCTTCCGGACATAATAGAGCTCTATTATGTTTGTACATGTAAGTTGGTTTTTTGAAAATTATCTTAGCCCTATATTATCTCTTGAAGGACAGCCTCATCTTTTCTTTGACACTCCTATTTGTATGGATCCTACCAATCAAGATATATTTTATATGTACAGTATGTCAACCAATAGGACTACTTTATGCCTTATCTAAAGATAATTTTTTTTTGGGCGTAATCAGTTAAGTGAGCGCTAAATACGCATCACAATAAATTATATATTGTACGCGCTGTGGCATAATCATGAAGACCAGTCATGTTTTCACCTAGTGGTTATTAAAGGCACATCGTAATGATGGCATCAAGTAAAAAAGAAACATCGCAGAGACTATTAAAATCGTCATGTCTCTGTAATTTCTTATAAAGTTCTCTTCTGTTATGTCTTTGGTAATGCACAATCTTCTTCTAACTTATCTTTTGGCACAAAGTTGGTGCTGGGCAAGGAAGATTTCCGCCATTTTATCACCATGCAAGACACAACAACCCCCTACCTATTGTAAATATTGTTGTAACTACCATGGAAGATAAGATAAGATAAATGATAACAACAATTTTTAGAAAACCAATTATCTTGTCATAATTATCTTCTATGTGCATATATATGCAAATGATACAGTAATTATTCAAGACAAAAGTTACAACAATTTTCAGAATACCAACTTTATTCAAACAGCAAAGAGAGAACAATATTAGAGATAAAACAAGTTTCAGAATACTGCCCCAGGACCCAAACCTAAACAAACCAGTTACAACCCTTACTCTAACCCTGTGTTCCTTACCTATTACAACTTAAAGCTTCAAACAGTTGAGTGCTGGAACAACTTTTATACCACTTTAATGATATAGTCATCTTTAAAAAAAATCTGTCTACTCTGGGTTCCTCAAAAGTATTATGTTGTTATGATATGACATGGCCTGTAAAGCCAAGTTTTCATTTGTATAATGTTACATCTGGTCACCTAGACCTTATCTTCCCTTAATCATTCTTACATTAGAGTTGCTCTGCTATCGGATGAATCAAAATCTTTGCTGGATATTTTACGAGGCAATCTTTAGAGGAAAGATATCAAGAAGATTTCATAATTAATACATGTACTTGGTTTCGTAGGAAGTCAGTACTTGTCAAATTGTTTATACACATGTACATCATTTTTTTTTGTGTGTGGAGGTTTCATATGTAAGGAAATACAATGTACATGTACGTGTATATTCCTGTAAAGTCAACTTAGATGTACATCAGTGTAAAATCGACTTACACTTACATAATATACTTGTTAGAGTTGCTTGGCATGAAAATATGATTGAAGTCCACCTTGTTCACTTAAAGATATGATATCCATCAAACATACACTGCCATTTGCCAAAATGTTGCAATTAAATGATGAAGGAAGCAATATATACACACATGTATTGATACTGTGAGATCAATGGAATTCAAGAGAGACAGAAAAAAGGCTAAAGAGAGACAAGGCCTTTGAGTGTGTTACTTCTCAGATTGCAATTTTTTTCTTCAGATTGATTGTTTTTGACATGCAAATTATGTGGCACTTTTAAGTGCTTCATGATAAAGAAAAATTGCATTTCCACAGAAAATTTAACATTTTATTATTGATATTTCAAATATCAATAATCATATCATGAGAAAGGAATACATTTCATTAATCAACTAAAATTAATTTATAAATTTAGTATTCCGTAAACATAATTTTCATCTTTTGACAAAAAATATATATGTGTATATGTTTTCTTTTTTTGATTTTGAGTATCCCACTATCGCAAGAGATGATTAATAATATTCCATCTATTTTGATCTCATATCATGACTGAAACCTTTTTTTAGGCCTCTAGGTGGCTAATACATACATGTAATATGGATCTTTCAGTTGGCATCTTATACATATGTACATGTATGTTAATCCTAGTAGTTTACGGTTTCAGCATGAAATTTGGCAAGGTGAAATTTATTTATAGTTGTCAGTTTGGACATGTACATGTACCGTAGGTTTTGGCATCAATGGGAGTATTCTTGGGGGAAGCTGGGAAATAGGCATATGGAACTCACTAGCCCAAATCCATACAACTTCTTATTTTATTTTTGATATTTTGTTTTTGATTGTTTCATTTTCAATTTTTTTTCAGTTTTCCTATTGATAAGAAGATGAATTAAAATGAAGTCTAATTAACCAAAATGAATGTTCCAAGTTTGGTACAAATTATTGTATGAGGGCAAGCACATTTTTCTTTAAAGAGGACAAATATGACATCAATATGTCACTAGTCAATAGAGGCAGTTCACCTCATTCTCAATTTACATACATGTACAGTACATGCATGTAATAAATCTGTTAGGGGAAAATATTGGCCAACATAACATTGATAATCCACAACGATTGTCTTTTTGAACTAACTTACACATCAAGTTGAATGAAATTAATTATTTATTCTGAATAAGTTTGAGCAAAGTAAGTTTGTTGCAGTGTTTGGGCAAATAAACCATACGATTATTTGCCCAACTGCATGAAGCAAATGGTAAGAACTGCGGGTTGTATGGCACATGGTCCTGTTAAAATTGCCCCTCGTCAATTTCCTATACTAAGCAAGTTCTTAACTTCAACCCTTGACCCGACAAGACACCCAACCTTTAACTAAACTTTATCTACACTGTTTAATCCACTAAACTTGACCTATAATCCAATTGCAAACCTAATCGAAACCCTATACTTTGGACAGAATAGATCCCTGAGCAATTGTGACCTGGGCCCTGTTACAAATAGAATTATAATTGTTATAAGCTACTGGAATCATGGTATTTGATTGGCTGAGAGCAAATTTGTCATAGAATATTAGAAATTGGTGTTGATCACAAGTTTTATGAAACGGCCCTCCGTAACACTATGTCAGATCATGTAACCGAAGGGGAGCATCATGCAGTCCTGGATCCTCAAAGTACAAACTCTTTTTCTTGTTCCCCCTGTAGGTTGGGGCTACATGGGAAGATCAGTCGGGAGAGGGCTGAGGCTCTGCTGAAACCCTGGCAAGACGGGTTCTACCTGATCAGGGAAAGCACCCATTACCCCGGAGACTTCACCCTGTGTGTCTGCATCTCCGGTCGGGTGGAGCACTACCACATCATCACCACACAGAACCACAACTCGTCGGGAAGAAATTCGTTAACGATAGACGAAGAGGTTTTCTTCCTCAATCTCCAGGAATTGATACAGGTGAGCGGGTATAACTGTCTGCTGATGTGTATTCATTCTTAGTTCCTTGATTATAATTGAATACTTCCTGTCTAGGTACGAACACTTACAGTACCATTTGCTCATGTTGCAGAACCAGGAAATAATAGGCCAGTTTGTATATGCTGTAGCATATGGTACCCATGACCCCAAATATCCACACATCTTTAATATGAACATAGAGGAACATAGAGAAGTTCCCACTTTGTGCATTTTAGAAGAGTCACTACCAAGATGATAGAGGTGCTCCATGAATACCTTCTGTTTGCCCTCGTGAAAAGAATTCTTCCACCTGTGTATTAGAGAATATACCGTCATCGGTGCATAACTGAATCAACTTTTATGAATGCATCCAATATTTTACTGGATGAGTTTTACAGTTATGTATGAATGACCCTTTTCTGTCCATATGCTGACAATATCTAAAAATTGGCTTATTTTGTTGGGTGTTTCTACCCTCACTGTTCTACATGTATGTCTAGCTTCAATCCAGTAATAGACCAAACAGTACTGATCACAAAATATGCCAATTAAATTTATATTTTAATGAATAATGTGAAGTTTATACATTCAGTATGTATTTCACTTGAGTTAATCACACTTGCATATTAGGGCACACGTACATACTTAAATGTACATATTCAAAGGGATGGGGGGGGGGGGGGGAGAGAAGTTTCTAATGGGGGGAAAAACCCTTGAACAAATTCTTCTTCAGCCACAACTGTGTGCCCCCCTCGGGCCCCTCTCTTATTTGTTTGCATGTTGTTCCTCTTTCACAAGCAGAGCATTGATAATCAGTTGACAAAGGAATATTTTGATTATGCTTCGTATGACAATTGTATTGAATTGTCAAAATCTCACGCGGGTCATATTACACTATAGAAAACGATTATGATTGAAACTAGCAAAGGAAATATCTGGACCTAAATGTGAAACTCAGAGTAAGGTTCCATTAATTGTGTACATCCTGTTATGATGTTTCTTTCGTGTCTTTTCTTTTGCTGTAAATTTTCTGAAAAGTATACATATATTTCTGTAAGAGCTGTACATATGTATTGTGCCATGTAGTTATGGTGCTTTGGTTCACTGGATCCTCGTAAAAAAGTTCAATATGAGACAATTTACATGATATTGTAAGCGGAAAGATGACCAAGAAAACAAAACAGTATAAATCTCTCACTAATCTTAAAGATTGATTGATTGATTCGAATTCATTACATTTCATATCAAATGTTTGCAACTTTGCACAATAAAGAACATAGTTAACAAAGTAAGTTCAAAATTATGAAATGAAACAGGAACCTACTGGAAAGCAAAGCTTGTTTTTTGTAGGTTCCCAAGAGTATGAACATTATTTTCATGAATCATTTTAAAGTGTCTAAATAATCAAAATATATGAAAGAATAGAATGACAGTAAGGTTTTAGTTTTTACTTTTTTAGACATGTTGTGTACATGCCTAAAGATACTTGTACTTGTATTTGTAAATGAGATGTAGAAATTAGAAATTACCAATCGAATCAAAATCTTTTCTAAAAACTTTCTGATATTTATTCATAACTCAACAGCAATCAACACCTTTAAAATTAAAGGGCTTGTCATATATTGATGATAACGCCAACAACAATAAAAATTGTTTACCGGTATATGGAAATGTATTGGTTCAAGAAAGTGGGTGCTGAAGGCTCATTAGCATATATCAACATGCACTATATATTCTTTACAATTTTATTGTTATTGTTGATATTGATGATATATGTGGTCAGTTCTTACCCTATAACTTGTGGACTACTGAAGTCTCTTATTCCCATAGGCTTAATACATGGGTCACACGGTTTCCACGGGCAATTGGTTCAACAGAACCTGTGTGTTTTTCCAATTTTTCATAAATTTTGAATGTAATTATTTCTCATTTCAATGTCATGCTTTTGATGTCTTTATATGTATACATAATTTTAATGTAAAATCCCACAATGAATTTCCATGTCATTATTGTACAGCACGAAATGAAATTGAATTGAATTGAAATAGTATCTCTATAATTTATTTGACAGCATTATACAGAAGATGCGGATGGGTTGGTGTGTAATTTAAAGAAACCTGTAGAGAGGAAACTTGATAACATCATGGATGGGCATCACCACTCCCAGAGGGGGCCGCAGCATACGGCTGACGGGTCTTTCAAGAAAGATGGAGATAAAAATGAGATGAAAAATCTCATGTCAGGTAGTTATGCATTTTGGCAGATGTCTCCTCTAGCTATATATGTTTATCAGGATAATGATGATGATGGTGATGGTGATGATGGTGATGATGATGATGATGATGATGATGATGATGATGATGATGATGATGATGATGGTGATGGAGATAATGATGGTGATGATGATGATGATGGTGATAATGATGGTGATGATGATGGTGATGATGATGTTGATGGTGATGATGATGTTGATGGTGATAATGATGCAAATGGTTTAAATGGTGATGGGGATGTTGATGATGATGATGATGATGATGATGATGATGATGATGGTGATGGTGATGGAGATAATGATGGTGATGATGATGATGATGGTGATAATGATGGTGATGATGATGGTGATGATGATGTTGATGGTGATGATGATGTTGATGGTGATAATGATGGTGATGATGATGATGATGGTGATGGAGATAATGATGGTGATGATGATAATGATGATGGTGATAATGATGGTGATGATGATGGTGATGATGATGTTGATGGTGATGATGATGTTGATGGTGATAATGATGCAAATGGTTTAAATGGTGATGGGGATGTTGATGTTGATGATGGTGATAATGGTGGGGGTGAGGGTAATGTTATGCTACTTCTGCTGCTATGTAGTAGCTGTCTGTCGCGAAGTGACAATGACCGCCTTCATTTTCACTTTACAGCTGTTCTCCATACAGCTCGCTGGCCTGCAGCAGTTGTCCAAGTCTTGGTTTCAATTTGCCTCCGCTTAAGGTTCCTCTTGATCGTGTCCTTGTAGCGAAGCCGTGGACGACCAATCCCTCTTTCGCCAGCGGGTAGTTGCGAGAATAGTACTTGCTTTGGTAACCTCTCAGAGGGCATCCTGATGACATGGCCTGTCCATCGTAGGTTCTTCCTGATGAGCAGGTCCTCCATAGAAGGAAGGTTTGCTCGCTCTAGTACCTCTTTGTTGGTCACCTTGTCCTTCCAACTGATTCTCATGATTGCTCGAAGGTGTCTCATCATGAACGCGTGAAGTTTCTTTACTTGACTTGTGTAGAGAGTCCAGCTTTCCGCACCGTATAAGAGAGTGGATAGGACGATAGCCCTGTAGATTTGACTTCTGCTGCTACTGCTGATGATATTGCCTGTATGCATCTTGTCTTTACAGCTTGTCTTTAGTTACTCTACAAAAGACAGACAATTTCCACAGAATTGATGTGAGTTTCCTTGAATAGCCATGGTGTTTGTCTCACATGTATTGCAGATACAAAATGTTTAAGTGTAGTAAAATATAGTCCTTAATAACTTCATCATGTACCACCTTTTTATCCTAGTGAAAAGGTGATCTTGGAGACATTGCCTTTGTACATCTGATGTATTAAAGTTAGAGTATTCAATTGTTTTTTTTCTTCTTCATTCTACAGGTCCTTGGGCAGTCAATAAGAATGAACTCAAGCTAGGAGAAGAAATTGGCCATGGATTCTTTGGAGGTAAGATATATATCAGAACCAAAAATTAATTAGTAGACAGTTTTGATTGGAGTCATGATCTCGGAAAATGATTTGTTTTAATTTAAACATATGTATTTAAGAAGATGATTTGGAAATAGATTCCCTTTTTTTCCCTCAAACATGTTGTGTTGAAATATCTGTAAAAATGTAATTAAGTGCAATTATATTCTGGCCATTATTTTGCATACTTATAGCATTCTTGAATCTGGATTTTGAGATGTTAATTGGATAATGAGTTAACCTTGACAGCTTATGGATTCAGTCTGCGTAATGATCAATCAAACTCTCTTTGAATCTTTCCTTGTAGCTGTAAAGGTTGGAGAGTACCAGAACAAGAAAGTAGCAGTGAAAGTGATTTCAGGAGACAATGAAGCAGCCCAGTCTATCGTAGCAGAAGCTTCCATTATGACGTAAGTAGGATACCAGTCAATGTTTATCAGTTTTGTACAGCATAAGGCACAGAGTGTTTAAAAAAACAAAACATATTTTGTTCCAAAATTTGAATAAAAGTCGATAGATTTGCGTAGTTCACATAACCCCTCAATGATATTACCAATATTCATAAAATATGTGTGAACTATGGGCAAGACTGATTAACCAAGAGATAATTGATTGATTGATTGATTTATATTCGCCAAGCTTCCACCATGCAACAATATAAAAGAATAACTGATCAATATTAAGTCAGCTTGAACAGGATAGCCCACAAAAGCTCGAGAGCATATTTCCAGTGGGGTCCCCGACATACATGTACAAAATTAATAAGTTAAAAATGTACTATTTACAGACAGATGAGAAGAAGAAAAAAAGGAAAAAAAAACTTATAAAAGATAATAATGATGGTAATAATAATGACAACATTAAACTGATCTTAGAAATGATGATAGAACAGTGTGCCTAAGAAAGTTGAGGGTTGATAAAACATCAGATACTTGGAGGGGATTGGTCAGGAGGGGATTGGTCAGGAGGGGATTGGTCAGGAGGGGATGGGTCAGGAGGGGATGGGTCAGGAGGGGATGGGTCAGGAGGGGATGGGTCAGGAGGGGATGGGTCAGGAGGGGATTGGTCAGGAGGGGATTGGTCAGGAGGGGATGGGTCAGGAGGGGATGGGTCAGGAGGGGATTGGTCAGGAGGGGATTGGTCAGGAGGGGATGGGAGGGGTGAGGTGAGGAATGGAGGGATACAGGGAAAAAAATCTGGGTTAGAAGCCAGCTACTTTAAGTGAACAGAAAGTTTGCTTGTCATAATTCTTCATTTGAATGATCTAAGAGGAATTAAACTACAGTATAACAAAATCTGGAGATTACCTTCAACACACATTGCAGATTAATTTCGAGATTATTATTTTTATGTTGTATTTAGTAAAGCTCCACTGTGGCTACTATTAAAGATGTTCATGCATGGGTTTATAGTCGTTCATGAAGTAGGCAGGTTGGCGATCACTACATAACACTGAGCCAAAGGGTATTATACTCCTGTGTGTAAAAAGTTGTACTGCCCTCTATATACTCACGCATGAGCGACTTTAACTCTTTGTATGTTCCTCTATCACCAGGCAATTGAGACATCCAAACTTGGTGGCTCTGATCGGTGTCATCCCAGACCAACCCAACTCAATCTCCATTGTGCTAGAATTCATGGCAAAGGTTTGTTGTTAATAATAATAATAATAGTTCGTTTTTATATAGCACTTTTCAGGACCGCAGGCTCTCTCAAAGTGCTTTAAAGATATATATTATTACCCCAGTCATCGGATTCAGGCTAACAATGTATGCACGTTCTCCACTCCCTGGGGAGCATTCCAGCCAGGTGTCATTTTTACAAGCGCACACTTGCTCATCTAACCACATTAACTTTCGCATCTTACCGGGTACCCATGTAACACCTGGGTGGAGAGTGGCAAATGTAGATCAATGTCTTGCTAAAGGACATTAGTGCTTTAGTCCAGTGACATATCCACCCGACCACGACACCTCTACATAGCTTAGGACAAGGTATTCGTGAAACCATATATAGACCTTCAGCTTGGATCTATTGGCTAAATCAATACATCTTTCCTCATTGCATTTTAACCATAGAAGGGAATCGAGGGACTATAGTTTCTTTTTCTGTTAAACCCACTAACAACCTATACTGGGTGGCTCCCATATTAAGCTTAAGGGAATGAGAGAACTCGGTAATCAACAGGTTAAATTAGTTATAATGAAGATAATGACGACATTCTGCAGTGCTTTTACACTACCTGTCGATGCCACAGCATCTCTTCGCACATGTCATGCCATTTTGCAAGTGTTTGAAAGTAATCGAAAGTAGGTGAAAGTACACACACTACACTTTTTTGTCTTAATGTTCTTCACTGAATGTACAGAAGTTGGTTGATGTCTTGAGAATGTATTCACCTCCTGTGGTTTGAAAACTAAAGTACTTGTAAGAACGATAACCAATGAATGGAATTCTTTTGATCTCAAGTGCCTATGAGTGTGTTACTTGGCTTGAATGCAGATATTTTTAATGCTCATACTCATTGTTGGTCAGTATACATGCGTAAAGATTACATACAGTGCAAGCATTTTCTACAGTATACAGTTAGGCAACTTACAGATGAATTTGCTAATGGGGTTTTTTCTTTATATATTTCCAAGACATGAAATTTCCCTAGTTTTTCTGATCGAGAAGGAATGGTTGCATATTTTTAGGTTTGTCCTACAATTGATATGCGTACTGCCTAGTTTTAAACTGTCTTGGAAAGTGCGGGATAAAGAATATATTTTGAGAACATGTACTGACCAAGTATACTGTTGAGGAGAACTTCCCAGGTGACCCGAGGGTTCAAAGATCAAAGGTGTAGTTTCTGTCAGGTGGACCTTCTGACAGCCAGTTGGAGGTCCATGAGATTGAGGGTCCTAGAGTCCTTTAGCTTCCGATACCAAATTATTTTTCCATTGGATTAATCTGTCTTATGAACTGTACCCATTCCTAGATGTGTGTGTAGTTTGTTAGTAGGTATCACAGTGAAATTTTAAAAGTTTCTAAATTTCACTTCCCCTGCCCATTTCCTTTTTGAGCATATGAAAAGAAGAATTTTGATACCTCTTTTGTCAAATTTGAGTACTTTTGTCAAATTTGAGTACTTTTGTCAAATTTGAGTACTTTTGAAAATACGGCCACTTACATAAGAGACGAAATGGTCAAATTTTGCGTAATTAGGCTATAACTGACAATTAGCCATTTTCAAGGTGATATAATTTTGTAATTAATTGATGAATCATCTTTCTTTTCAAGAAATCTGTTTTCTGTATGGATTTCTACATGCCTATTTTTTTTCAGGTTCTTTTGACAAATATTTTTTTTGGTGGAATTTTTCAAAAATTAAATGAAGCCCATTTTCATGCGTGTGACAAATGGCTATTTTTGCGTCGCCGGAACAAGTTTTCATGGGTTTTGAAACATGGCTAGATTTAAGAGTGTCTATCAAGAAGGGCTGAATTTCGGCATATCTGGGGTATATATATATATATACATTAATTATTTCTGTAAGTTTGGACCACCAAATCCATTTAAATTAATTTTAAATGGCATTTGAAAATGGCTCTAAACTCGTCAAGAAGCCCAGGTAGACAAAAGGAACATCCCTTCACTGCTATCGTGTAAAAGTGTGTAGAACAGGTGTCACATGCATATTCACCTGTTCTACACATTTTTACATAATAGCAGTGAAGGGATGTTTGTCTGTCATGTTCATAGTGTCAGGGTACAGCTGTATTCATCGGATTTGCGCTTAAGCACCATCTCGCGGTCATTCTTAATATTTACATGATCGTATTCTCCAAAAAATTCTCTTTCTTCTCGTATCAAAATTGAATTAAAAGTATGTTTTTCTGATATAGAAAAATTGTTTCAAACTTTTCACTCTGATTTTTCACGATCTTTTTAAAACATACCCCCATCATTTATTATATGAAAATAAAGCTTAAAATGTGCTCTTTCCAACCAGGGGATTTTTAAAACTCAAAGACAATGGTGTTCAAGCGCATTGAGCTAAAACTAGTGATACGAATCGGCGATCAAATAAAAATGGGGACAAACGAAGTGACACGGTACGAATTAGAGGGTAAATCTCAAGCAACTGTGTCGTAAGTAATTGATAGATTTTGATTAAAATGACATGACATGAAAGACAGAATCCTGAGCTTTCGAGAAACATATAATTTTATAATATTTATTTTTTCCATGATATGAAAATCTTCCTTGATAAGGAGAGAATTTACATGGTTGAGCTCTGCGTGTCCCCACTCAACGCAGCTCTTCTAAGAGGTGAAAAATAATTTGTGAGCGTTATCATCGTATTACGCAAGTGTAGAAGAACATCAGATAAAAAAAAATCCCTGAAAAGCATGGCTCTTCAAATGGCTGCCGGTAATATTCTAAATATGGCATGTAACATCATAAAAATCGGGACAGATTTTTACGCCACATGTTCGTGTACTCCCATATGCATCTTTCTGTGTACAGTCCTTGTAACTTTACCAAAACTGGGCCTAATTTCTTATCATTTTGATGACTCCAGAACCGTGCAGTACACACCAATACTTATATGCTAGATGATCCACCTTTTCTGATCGATTCAACAAAGTTTCTTTCACAATGCAATCGCATGACCAGAACTCTACTTTATCTTTAAAGAGATGGTTTATTGATTTCAAAATTGACTGAATTTGGTATCATTGCAATCGAAAAATTACACTGAGTAAAATCATTACATTTTTGTAACTTGTACATTCGAGCGAAATTTTTAAACGTTGATTGAACTTGACGAAAAATCAACCCACTCAACACCCTGAAAACATCGTAAGTCAGCAGATTATTGAAGTGACGTCACAATATGAACAGCGGACCGCTCAGCTGAAATGATTGACGACGGTGCGGGATGCAATTTGCGTGCGATTCACATGTATTGCATTCATTGACTCTCGAGTACCATACCCATTTATACGTACCTAACGCTGTTTACCTTCATCAAAATCCCCTGGAAATATGGATATGGACGAAAACATACTTGAGTATACTCCAGAAGGCTCCACCATGGCATTGTTTTGGTTCTTAATCTGACGTTAGTCTAGATAAATGGTATATAACTTCCAAAAAGCGAGTGAATATATCGTCAATGTAGCGTTCAAGTTTCCCGTAGCTAGTAGCTGTGCGTGCGTACTCTGTGCATGTACTATGTGTGCAATACACTGACCTCTATGCGTGCATCACATCTAACGCAGCTCGCTAGCCAGCTTGCCCGTAGCCCGGTGCTCGAACTAAACGTGAATCGAGAACCGGACTGATCTGTTTACGACTTAATATATCAAAAATGTAAATTAATCAGTCTAATCACTCATTTTTGTAATGAATATCTGGACAATTCTATGTAAATTTGTCGTCTTTTTTACTCCAAAAGAGTCGTTAGGTCGATCAGCATGCAAAATGTCCTTTGCCTTCCCAGATCAGACACATACACGCTGAAGTGCCCTCAGAATATGTGATTATTGTTCCAATTTTTATGCTCAAACGTGACGGGAAAAAATATAAAAATCAAACAAACAATTGTAGAAAGTATCATTTATTCAGTGTATCTCATTCAAAATGCCAAAAATAGAGGAAATATCACCACTGACGATAAATATACATGCAAACAACGTTAACCCATATCTGAAAATTGCAATGGGTATCCAACATTGTCCCAATTGTGTGATGTAGGTTGTTCATATTGTGACGTCATAGTTTCGCATGTAAAATAACGCCGTCAATTCATTTAGTGAGTGGGTTCAGGAAAGGGTAACAAAATTGCATTTTATTTATTCCTCACAACAGTGAGGGCTTCAAAAGTACTTTGCTCATTTTGTTAATGTTCTCAGCATTCTATAGAGGTGTAATTTGCCCATTTTCCACATTTCAATGAACCATCTCTTTAAGATTACCTACGATTGATTTACAGTTTGCTGAGGAATACTATTTTGTGTCTTCTTCCTTTTTTTTCAGGGGAACCTCTTAGACTATGTGAGATCAAGAGGAAGGACAGTCATCACAAGGAAACTCCAGCTTAAGTTTTCAATGTAAGTACAAGGGATTAAAACATTTGAATCATCATCGATAAAAAGATTAATTCATTGAGGAGAAGAGTAAATGTAGTGGTGAATTGTTGTTTGGTCTACAACCAGTTTGTTTACAACTCAATTAGTCTAGTCCCATATGGTTTTCACCTAGCCAATTAGTCCACATATTCTAATATATGTAGGTTATTATCCAATGTGAGTCAGAAAAAATTAAATACTTTTTAAATTGCCCGTTGTTTCAAGATGGAGCTATGAATGTGAAATATCAGTAGCAGAGTCGTTTCCCTCTTCTACTGCTTCTGAAAATACAATTTTGCACCAAAAGAAACATTAATTTTACAAGGTCTTATGGTTTTTTAAAGCTTTTTATCATTCTCTTACATCATGTACAGCATATAATCTTTGTCTTTTATTTACATTTTTGAATTTTGTTAGCCTGTTTTTCATGACTTCTGTATGACTAGTTATACTTAAAATATATTTTTTAGTTATAACACTGTATGAAATTGACAACTAATCAATGTGCACAAAACAAATGAAATACATCAGTCTATCCCTTGTGCAATCATCCTTACTGAATTATCATATTATGATATATATGAATTATCATATATTTTATATTTTGTGAACATGTTACTGTTATGAACACAATATAATTCTTATATTTTATGCTAAGATTACATGCTCCTTCCTTGAAAACAATTACGATGGCAAGTGCTCCAAGACAATCGTTTATTTGTAGGACACCACTGAATGTTTATCAGTTTTTTGTACAACATGTGTGTGTAATTGGGTTTTTACAGACGTGTATCAATCAGATATGTTTATTTACGTCTGGGGAGCGACTTTTAACGTCATTTATCTAAAAAACAACAACTTTTGTTCCAAAATTGAATAAAAGTCGATAGATTTGCATAGTTCACATAACCCCTCGATGATATTACCAATAATTCATAAGCTTTGTGTGAACTATGGGCAAGACTGGTTAACCAAGAGATAGACAATCGTTTATTTGTTCTTTCATACACCAAAGCTGGCGACAAAGCTTTCCAGGCATGTGCTCCTCGACTCTGGAATGAGGTTCCACGTTTTATTAGTAGTACACATCACCATCGCTGGATGTCTTCCAAAATTCTCCTCTTTGACCATGATCAACAACAGATTCTTTGATAATTTTTATATAAAGCGCTGTGAAACAACAGTTTGTAAGAGAGCAATAGAAATTACTTTATTGTATCGTATTGTATTTCTTCTCTATCATGACAGAGACATAGGAGCAGGAATGTGTTACCTAGAGCAGAAACTCTTTGTCCATCGGGATCTAGCGGCCAGGAATATTCTCATCTCGGAGGATGACGTTGCTAAGGTGTCTGATTTCGGTCTCGCTCAAGATAACAGTACACAGCTAGGCACAGGAGGCAAGATACCTGTTAAATGGACCGCTCCAGAAGCTTATAAGAAAAAAGTAAGATACTACCGCATTTTCTAAAACATTCCTCAGTATGTAAAGCATTACTACAGCCAAATCTGCTGTTAATAGTGGCCATCTGTCTTCAAAGACCACATTTTTGGTTTCCCTCGAAAGTGGTTTCTCATTGAAACAGGTTCTATAGGCACCTGTACATAAAGACACCTGCCTGTAAAGACCACTTTTCTTGTTTCCTTGGGTGGTCTGTATAGACAGGTTTCACTGTATTTGAAATAAGAGAGGTTAAAGTCTACTGCACCCTACACAGTGAGAATATAATATTACAAAGCTAAACTTTCTTTCAATAAGATGGCAAACCACTGGGATTTTTCAGTATTTCAGTGTTTAGATAAACATACATCTTTTAGTAATTCACACTATGACCAAGTTCTAGGTACATGTATATAATAAAATGGTAGTCATTAAAATAATTTGATAGGATTAAACTCTGTTCTACAAAACTTTGCATTAGTTTATGTTTTGGATGCAGTGTGATAAATATTAGCCTGTACTGGCCACCATCAAAGTGATTTGCTCTTCTTATTTAAATACACTAATTTGATGACCCCGATATTTAATTAAAATAGATGACAAAGACAAATATATATAGCAGAACCAGAAGTCTATCCTTTATGCTAGAGAAAAGGACACCATTGAAAGAATTAAGTTGACTTCCTCAATAATCATGTGTATGTTTTTATATTTTTCTACTTTCTCAGCTATTCACAACAAAATCTGATGTATGGAGTTTTGGTATACTGCTTTGGGAGCTGTTCTCGTTTGGAAGAGTACCATATCCACGAGTGGTAAGTTACAGTGAAATGTTGTTACGATTTTAACCATTATGATCTTAACCATTTTTTATTATATACATTATCATTATATAAAGGTCACAGAGGATGATTTCTGAAATTCCAGCTATTAGCCTCGTTATTGCAAAATCTCTAGAACCACTAGAGATATGAAGCTCACAATCTGATCAGCTTTGGGGTTAATATGTGGAAGGTCAAAGGTCACAGAGGTCAATCCCTCAAATTCTAGATATAGCCTTGTTATCTCGATATCTCCAGAACCACAAGAGATACAAGGCTCAAACTTGGTGATAGTATGTATCACCATAGGAAGACAATCTGATCAGGTTTTGGGGTTAAAAGGTGAAAGATGAAAGGTCACAGGGGGCAATTCCTCAGATTCTAGATAATAGAGTACCAAAGCTGAGACATCATAAAAATCTATTTTTGGAATTTCTCAAATATTTCTTCATTTTCCGAAAGAACATCAAAAATAATGTCCAAATGTCGAAAACCAATTGAATATGTTAAGTATTGGCTGAGATATGAACATCCGAATAAATAGATTTCCTATAAGAACTCCGTGTTATATTGCTCTGGCTCATAATTTTATGTACCAGAGCAATATAACACTGAGCTCCCATAGGAAATCTATTTATTCAGATGGTCATATCTCAGCCAATACTTAACCTATTCAATTGATTTTCGACAATTGGACATTATTTTTTATACGCTTTCGGAAAATAAATCACCATAGAATAAAATGTAACACCATAGAAAGATAATCTGATCAGTTTTTTGATTCAAAGGTCAAAAGTCACAGAGGTAAGTTTTAGCCTTGCTATTGCAATATCTCAAGAACCACAAGAGATAGGCTTTTGTTTTCATCGTGTTTTGTCATGAATAAATCCATCCTTTTCCTATATACTGATTTTAACACAAAGGTATATAAAAGACGCAGTCGCATTTTTCTTGTTTAAGTATGTAAAAAATTGATTTGTCTTGACTTTTGTTTCTTGGAAATGTGACATATTAAAGCTTACGTCTAAAAGTATTGTACAAAGGCCCCAATTCAACCAGTCCACATTTCTTTCTTGGGTTAAATCCCCCCCCCCCCAAAAAAAAGACCCTTCAAATTTACAAGGGTATGAATCATTAAGTCATTAAATGTATATGGGCATTGAAAACTTGGCATGAATCTTTGTTTAACTTTACAAAAATTGTGTTGGCACCATATCGTGTTAAATATTAAATCATTTCCTTTGATAGGAAATTGCCTACTTTCATGACCACAAATATCTACACATGTAAATGTATTGTTTTTAATGGAGGAAGCTATTAATATCAAAGGAAGTGAAACTACTTAAAAGGAAAACTGTAAATATGACAACCACTGGAATTTTTAAAGGGAGAAGATTAAAGGTACATGACGTTCTGGTAACGAGTCACAGTATCTACCCAGGGAATAAGATTTACTCTGAAAGTTTAAGGACTAAATACAAATAAATGATATCTGGCATTCATCAATAGTAAAACATATGCAAAAGCTGTGTCATGGGCAAGGTATATAATCCAATGTACATGTGTGATTATATGTTTTTTAACAAATTTCTGGAAGTTCGTTTACAGATTAGTAGTCCAGACATTCCATTGATTGCATAATAAACAATTCATAAAGACTTGGCCAGTTCTCTTGAGATGGAGATCTGCTTTATAATACCAGACCTCAATATTTTATATATCTTAAGTGGGAAATGCTATCTCAGTGAGGAGGCGAGTTGGCTCAGTCAGTAAAGCGTCTGCCAGTCGACCCAAAGATGGTGGGTTTGAATTCAACCCAGACGGATGACTAAAGCCTGCGTTGTGTGTTTAAAAAGGTGGCCCCTCCCCAGTTTCATAGACGCAGGCTACGTTACAGTGGGAAACATTCCTTCCCTCAGTTAGGATGTTAAATGGAAGTCTAGTGTAGAGGAGAGGCACAACCTTTGCATGTTAAGAACCCATTGCAGTATTTGAGTTGTAGGAAACCCCAGTGTAGAGTTCCACCTGCATGCCCCAGTCGTGCAGATCGGGAGGAGAGAGACCGGAGAGTGACAGTGATTCAGTTCCCTTTTTACCCTCCCAGTCACGGGCAATGCCAAATACTTAAGAATGCTTGCATTGTACGCACATGTAGAACTATTCCCAGTCAGTATTTTTCACTATACTGCCCAGCAATCTGTAGCCAATTTCATGCCTATACTATTGACCTATCAGAGGCCTAGAATCTTCATGTGAGGTGTATATAATGGAGCTATTACACTTCATCATCATATCTGAGTGAGAATAAATCTTTCTCATTTTCTGTATTTGGAGAGCTTAATTCCAAAATGAGCTAAATCCACTTTTGATGAAAATTGAGATATTGATATCAGAACATTGTTCACTTAGAGACATCGTTTAACAATGTTAAATCTGAGATGCAATGCCCTACGTATTATCAGTGTCTGTGATATGGTGTAATATTGAAACCCTAAAAAAATTGCGCTTCAAAATGATCATGAAGTGCACCAAAAAAGTAAAAATCTGTGAGTGACCGGTTTTACCATACTTGTTTCCCCCAATAGACTGTAGTGTTATGAAAACCGTTCGGCAAACGGTTTTCAAAATTTGTAATTCCAATCATAAATACCTTGATAATCAGACAGGCGACCGGCTTGTAAAAGTCATGGGGTTCCTGACTGACCTAAAGGGTAATAATTATCATTGCAGCATGAGCGAAATCCAGGATTTTGTTTCAGAATCTGAGACAAAGTTACCGGATCCCTTTTAGTTTTCAAAATTTGTAATTCCAATCATAAATATTTTGATAATCGGACAGGCGATCGGCTTGTAAAAGTCATGGGGTTCCTGACTGACCTAAAAGTTAATAATTATCATTGCAGCATGAGCTAAATCCAGGATTTTGTTTCAGAATCTGAGACAAAGTTATGGGATCCCTTTTAGTACCCGTCTTTCAACAAAATTATTTACCTAAATTTTGAGAGCAATTATGAAAAAATGCACCTTCTAATATCACTTTTTCATAGATGCCTGTTCAAAATCTGGTAAATTTCTTTTTTCTCTCAAGTTACAAAAATTGATTCAGCTCCTTTTGGAATTAAACTCTTCATTTATTTATCTATTTTCAGCCTGCCGATGATGTGATGACGTTCCTGACGGAAGGCAGTCGTATGCAGGCTCCGGGAGACAACTGCAAGGATGTCCACGAACTCATGATGAAGTGCTGGCAGACGGAACCGGAGAAGAGGCCCACGTTTTCACAGCTCCAAGTGCGGTTAAAAGAATTACCAGCGACAGCGAAGAACGATTCATGATGCTCCTCACACTGCTTTCAATATGTATATATTGGTGATTGGTCGTAGTTTTAAACTAAAATTAATTGCCGTTTTGTGTAAATTCTTAGGAAAGGCGGCATCTGCTTAGTTTCTTCTTTTTCTTTTTAATACAGCTGTTGTAAAAACCTGCCAAAAAGTTATTTCCAGACTAGTGTTTACAGGTAAACTACATCTGCCAGAATACTCTTGCTTCAATATGTTTTTCAAAGTCATTGCGTGATACGATGGTCCTTCTATTAATAGCTTCAGTTGCAAAAATTATAACTCTGATTTCACAAGTAATGAAAATCACTAGGATCTTCTTTCGCGAACTCTGTTTCGTTTATATATTTTCTTATAAGATGCCAGATTTTAAAAATGACTAGGTATGTATAGCTCTTTATGGTACATAATCCAACTTGCTTTCTCTAGAACGTGAGGTAGCATATGCAACAAGGCCATGAAGCTTATATTTATTAGTATTTTGAAAGGCAGTGATATGTTTTGTGAGTATTCATTATTCTGGGAGACAAGACTTTCTAGAGAAATAGCGACATGTAATTATTTCTTCATCATTTGAATCGCAAAACGCATATATTCGGTATTTACATGAGGATATATATTCTGGAAAAAGCTTTATGCATCTTTAAATGTTTATAACGCCAGAGTTCTGGTTGCCATTTTATTGTCAAAGCTTTATTTGTAAAGTGCTTTATTTGCTTGGAGATGTAAATAAGGGATATGCGCGGAATTGTTCTGCTTAAAATATAAATTGGTGAACTCTGTATGTACTAGGTTAAAATGTTTGTGGGTGACTTGTCCAGTGTTTCAGAGAGACAATTATTTACATGTAAATAGAAATAGGAGGTGAAAAGTTGAAAAGGAAAACGTAAGCAGTCTAAAGAAAAGCAGAAGAAAGGCAGTGATTATATCTATCTGTTGAGACAGATAACATTAACTCCTATCTGTCACTGTCTCAGTCTGCCTATATTATTAAAACAAAAACATAATTTCTTCTCTATGATTAATGCTGCTCTAAGAATAAGAATTTTAAAAGAAGGTATTGACTGATAAAAATCTTGATTATCACTTTTGTGCTGGTAGCAAAAGATGTTTGGTGTCTCTTAAAAAAATACTGTATTAAAAAAAAGTCTTCTAACCAAGAAAGGTGGACCATGTTGTGTATTCAATCTATATCAGGCATGTCACAATTAAACTTCTGATATAACTCTAGAATTAGTATTAGGATTGATTTCTTTAATTTTTTTTGGTACTGATTTTTTTGAATACCATTACACATGTATTACAAATGGATTTCACACTGGTATACTGACTAATATATTGATTTCAAAATCCTTATTTATTTTTCATTTGGGGGAGGGAGTATCAAGCAGTGCATTCACATTAACTCAGATGTGTAGACATGTGTAGAGAAAACTTCAAAATGAAACCAACATGCGCCATCCTAAAAAATATTGACAAAAGTGAGAAGTGCTTGATACAAAAAAATTACTAATAGACTTATAAATAAATTCATTTTTTCGTTACTTACTGGTTTTGGCCTAAACTTTGCCATAATTATGTTCAGAGATCAAGAAATTGAGAGTTAGACAGAAGTGATTTGCTTCAATCGATATTAAAAAAATACAGTGCATTCCAATACCACACAGGGTAGCAGCTGCGGTGTATAACGTAGTTAGCTAGCTAGCTGTCGCTACGCGCTAGTGAGCGTCGAGCGCGTATGTACATTGGTATAGTGCATTACAGTGGGATATGTCGAGGAAAAAGAAAAATCTATACTTTCAATCCTGTATTTGTTTAAAATAAAAAATCAAGCAAATAGACGTCATTACATACACATTTAAGATATAAAAAAATGGTATGAATTCAGAGATAGTCTGTATGGCGGTATCACAGTATGAAATTATGATGGCGGTATTCATACAGATGTTAATCTATTACCGTATGGCATTACTAAAACTGGTTAACCGAAAAAAAGCATAATTTATTTCACCATGATGTTCATGACACTTGCTCCAGAAATTAGGCATTACATTTTGTGTGTGTTTAAAATTATTGTGAAGGCAGCAAGGAGAATTGAAGTGCACAGAAATATGACATCTTGCTCGTAGATTGATGGAATTCATCTTGTTTTCTCAAATAATATTGTTTTATTTGGTTGATTTTGATTTATGTTATGTCCTTAAGGAAACCAAGAAGCAGTACATTGATCCTTACAGAGTATACATTGCAAAGAAAATAGAGCAAAATAGTGAAGAGCATTAGTTTTGTTGAATACACCTTTAAAAAACAATAGGTATGCCACCCAGCATATTTTTGTGTGTAGCGCAATACATAATAATATGCCAGTGTATTACATATCTGCATACATGATATGCTCATGATGTAAAGAAACAGAAGAGAGCCATTGGCAGGAAAACAGAGATTGAACTTGATATTTCAGTTAGTATTATTACTACAATTTTATATCTCTTCCATTGATAGATTTCGGTTAGGTCAATACTCTAAAAAAATTTGTGGAATGTAGCTCGTAAGTGAAATTGGACTCTAATTTAAATTTGTGAATTCTATTTTTATCTAGGCAATGAAAGACGAAGAATGATAGAGAAGAATAGTATGAAACTATACACAGAAATAATATTGATAATTAGAGATAATACATGGAGCTTAGGAAATATGTGTTTTTCCATCATAAATTATTTTGTGTACTCAAGAAAGCTTCATCCTTTGATGACCGCAACTGAATTTGTAATTTGAATCAAATGATATTTATTTACTATTTTGAAAGTATTATCGTAGCATATGACGTCATATCTCATAAATCAAAAGATGATTTCATAGAAGCCTTTGCTTGTAATGAAATGGACTAGAATTTCACCTTACAGTCTAGATTATTTGATTCTAATATATTTAAATAAATATTTGTAGGCAAAATTTGGTTGGATAGTGTAAAACAAAAACATTTTGCATGCATGAGTGGTTCAGATTTGCAAGAAAATGGCAGTCCTTAACAATTTGCAAGAGTTTCATGTCGAGAAAGTTTCTCGTTTTAGAGTAATGGATTGAATATTTATAAATGCCCAATAGTCATATTTTTGTAATACTTCATTTATGCTAAATTAGTCTAGACTGCATGTGGACTAAATCATCCACTGATGAATGTTAGCAGATCGTTGAATTAAGAGGTGCATTGAATGCTCTATTCACTATTTGATGTAGGTGATATCGCAGATATTCTTTGGATGTGAGTATGATATTCTCACCTTGATTAAGAAAAGAAGAATTGCAGAGTATTTATATGGCCCTGGATGATTAAAGTTCTTCATATCATTTTAAACAACTGAATATACATGTAGAAAGAGTGTACTGTTCATGTTAGCCAAACAGACCTTCGTCATTGAATATGTTTATATCAGGTTTTTGGTTTTTCGTTAACTATGTTTTTGTAAATGTCTTTTATATACACATCAATGCTTCATTGCTACACTGCTTAAAATATGAAACTTACTGACCATTCTTATAACAAATTTAAAAACAAATCTGTTAAACCTCGGTGCCAATATTCTTGACTACCAAGATATTAGTGAGTTCTAGGAGCACAATTGATAAAACTTCTTTTTGTTGTAGATTATTCATAACTTAAGTTGCATTATTTTGACAATGTTTATTTTTCTTCATTTACGGTAGTTATACATGTATCTCAAAGATTACGTCTTTCATATTTTTGTACGATTTGTAAACGTCCAACCAGGTGCCTTCATATATGAAATCAATGATTTGTTAAAAAATTAATTATTTTTGTTTGTGAGACATTAGTGCTCCAGACCGTACACTTACTCTAGCTTCTTTATGCATGGGATGAATATAGTTTCTTACCATGGATGGCAAAAGACCATTGCACCATTTTTCAGTTCATAGGAAACATATGTATCAGTTGTAGGAATTTTTTTTTAATGAGCAGTAATTGAATTACACAATCTGTTTGGCACTAACTTTACTGGTTAAATTAATATTTAGGTTCTCACTTTTTCATATGACTTTGACATAGACAGTTGATATACTTGCTATGAAATCAGTGTTGAGAAAATGAAATCAACTTAAAGGCTTTAAGATTAAATCGATGATATTGGCATTACATCAGAGCGTTTGGCATATCGTCTGTTTTTGGAGCCAGATGAGTTTTTAGGAAGGTTTAAAGATTTGAACTTGACTCATAAGACTATACTGTTTTTCTATATAATTTTCATTCGTAATCATTGTACAGTTATTTATGCAAAATTTAATTGATGAGCCTTTTCTCTTATCACATGAAAATGTCCATTGTATATAATACCGCTTCAATAAATATAAAAGGTCCAGATGAATTGTATGTATGCAGTAAATATAAATAATTTTTTCAAGGTCAACTTAAAAAAAGAATATGATTTGTAAATCTAATCATAACATAATTGAAAGCACAAATTGTCTTCTGCTTTTAATATTTATTAATTGCTTCTTGCTGCAAAGAAGGTTATATTTTGATGAAAAATTACATTTTTCACTCAAATAAAAGTATCAAGAATTTTGCTTGCCTGCTTGATTTGCTCGGTTGTAAAATTGAGAAACTAGAAAGTTGATTTCTAAGTGAGAGACATCAGCCCTGCCTGTGAATGAGCCCATAATATTACCTTTCTGTGTTAAAACCAGATGGGTGTAATAAACTTCGTTTTAGACAATGGTACCCCATGTAAGATATAAGATGTACCCAAACATCTGTTTGTAATGATGAGGTGGTACATTTATACGTAATAGACTTGTCCTAATTAAGTACATTATTTTGAAGGCCTTTGTAATTAATGAGTCAATGCAGAAAACTACTTTTATATCGTGCTGCTTTATAGACATTTATTTACGTCCGTGCTTCTTTGAAAAAATGTTTGTTTTTTGCATAGGGTTTTGTTTAGAGATTCTTGAAGCATTGAGTTGATGACAGCTGGATTTAACATTCTGTCTGTAAGCTCTACTATAAGATTGAACATACAATTGTAAAATGACATTTTAAAGAAAACAAATATAATATTGAATAAATGAGAATGACATGCAGAATATTGTATCTTGCTTTGTTGTTTGTTGAAATGTGGCGTGGTGAAGCACTCTTTCATCATGTGGAAGATAACAGAGGGGGCTGTGCAAGGTAGTCTTAGGAGAGATAGGGAGAGAGATGAGAGAGGGAGAGAGAGAGAGAGAGAGAGAGAGAGAGAGAGAGAGAGAGAGAGAGAGAGAGAGGGGGGGGGTGGTAGGCAGTAAGTAGGCAGGGAGTAAGAATTAGGAAGGAAATAAGTGACAGAAGGAGATTGGAGTATAGGGATCGTGTTTGTAGAAGGGGATCGAGGGAGAGAAAGATTCCATTTAAAGAGACAGAAAAGTGAGTGAGGGAGGTTTTTATGGCGAGTGCAGACAGAGGAGGGAAACATATTACAACAGGAAGGGGAAGTGGAAGAGCGGAAGGACGCGAGAGAAAGGGGGGGGGGGGGGGTAGATAGTAAGAGAGAGATTGATCAGGAAAGAAACACATAATATTGGCCCTGTCCTAATTTTCGGGAATCTGGATAATTATAACAGCCAAATTAAAAGAAACAATATCGAAATTTCTCTGTTGATAAGTTTGAAGTATGCTTTGACTAACCATTACATAATTAAATCATTATACACTTGCCCCTTTTTCTATTTATTTATTTCTTTCTTTTTCTCAATGTGGTTCAAATGTTTATTGAAACTAGAAAACGGCCAAAAACAATTATGCCTATTGATTGACTTTAGGCTTATTCATTAAAAAAAGTTTATTTCTATGCTTATTACCCATTTAAACATTTCATAAACTATTCAATATGAATATTTAAAATCGAGGAGACTAGACAAAGAGATTCATCTTTTGTTTGAGAGATCTTCAAAGTTCAATGAAAAAGTAGACCGTGCCATTATTTCGACTAATTATTTCGAAAATTGCGACGCCCTCAAGTGTCCATGACGACGGGAATCAAATCCGGCTGTTGTTGCCCGATTCGATTTTTAAATGACTGATTTGAAACTTATTCACAAGTTTTGAACGATTTGAATGGGACAAAATGGTTAACGGATATCTGTTATTAATCCAAGCTTTTTGGAGGGAAGGAGAGAAAATGAAGGCGAGGCAAAAATTGTGCCAATGGTAAGTCAGTTTCATTTTACAGTCCCATTAATTAATATCCATGTAGATCTATTGTAACCTGTAACTAAAAAAGGTAATCGGTGCCTGTGAGTGTGGCTGTGGCCTGTGCTTAGACAGAAATAACCGTCTGATATGGGTAATTTCTTCAATAAAACTGACATTTGTTGACATTCCCCATATACAGACGGTACTACTACAGAGGTCTCGTACCGTGGGGGTAATCTAGAGCCACAGCGGAACATCTTTTCGTTCCCGACATTTTCCCCCCGATTTTCTTTATTTAGAGAGTCTAGATCTAATTTTCTGATTTCTAAATCAGATGTAAATTAGGTTGGTATGTCATTTGTCCTAATTACAGTTATCAAAATTTGATAACTTAATATTAAATGCATGACCCGGCGGCAGATATATTTCCGGGTCAACCTACCAAAACATAGCCAATGGCCAATCAGAGCACTCGTTTCGTGGGAGTTCGTTGGTCAAGCTGACTCGTACGTAGCTACGGTAGCTATTGGACATTCGAAAAGAAAAAATGAATATTCATCAACTAAAACCAAGACGGATAATGTTGACGACGAGACTTTCTCGGATTAATCATTAGACTAATTTAGGATCTAAATGAGCAAGCTATCGTAAGTCAAATAAGCTAGAGTAGAGGCTCCGGTTTGCGGCATAGCCCAGTTTGCGGCCCTCGGTCAAGGTCAAAGTAATTATTATATGCAAATTAATTATATGCGCTTAAAAAATTACCCCTGGATTCCCAGGTAAGTATGCTTTGCCGAAATACATCGACAGTACAAGTACTTGCCGTACGAATTCTCCGCTGACGCCGACAGAAATCTACGTCACCAGTCGCTGATAAGAAAATCAGCAGGTGCTAACAGGTGAGTTAAGAGATTGAGACATAACTAGATCAATATTATAGCTCTATTCGTCTGATTGGAGGTGAAATTTGGTGTTGATGTGAGAGTATGTTGGCTGTGGTCCGTCCTGTATCGCAGACATTTTGATAATGCCGCCGCAGAGCTAGTTAAGGGGGTGGCCATGTAGCTATGACGTATTTGGTGGCCACGCCCTACTTGCGGCCGGGGGCGCTAATACACGTATAAAATGCGGGTTTGTGTGTAACGTGGTGTTGCGTTCAGAGCACGTCTACGTCGTTGATTAAATCATTGGTTCTGGTAGATTTTACGGGTTTCTGCATTTCATTAGTTGTTTTTATTGAGTTCGTTAGTTCAAAATATAAAATTTGATATCGTTTTAAAGTTATTTAGCTGGTGTTTGTCGCAAATAGGCGTGAACGTTGTATGTTGAAAAGTATAATGAACCGAGGTGTGTACCCTCTAGTTTCTAGTAGTTCGCACCCCTTTCCTCCGTTCTTTTATTCTAGTCGGGAGGTACCATTCAAGGAAAAGGTGAATTTGTTTCAAACTTAATAAATTTACCGTAACAAGAGATAGACAATTATTACTTGGCTCACCCGTAGTAGTTTGGTACATGCTTTGATCGTGACGTGGCATATAGCTTTGTGACGTACTGTAGATGTATCGTAGCGCACTAATTGAAAGAAAGCAACAGGTGCATCGATCTCGATCTATACTAGTAGGTCGCGTCTCGATCTCGAGCATACGTTATCAAAAATGAAAATACTTCGAATGGATGAAATTATCATAACCTTACGTTGAATATTTAATTATATTAACAATATGATAAGGATAGTTTGATACATCTAGACTCTAGATCTAATTGTATTTTGTAGTTCAGTAATGTCTTTTTTAATGGGAAATGGAATAAAGATTCATTGATTCTTTTTTAATGATATTGTAGGCCTATGTCGTGGCAGCTGATAGCTATGACTATATGTAGTCTCCTAATATTTTCTTTCTGTTTCAATATTTCAAAAGCTGCTTAATAATGGATGGTAATGAAAATAATGGTATGATGACATTAAGTTCTAGAAATGCTTCACCTAATCTGCATCTAGTTTTCTGTTAATACATTTTCTCCTATTTTCCTCATTAACAGAAAATGCCTGCAAGAAGAAAGTATACAGGGGCCTCACTGGCGGAGGCTGTAAATAGAGTTAGATTGGGCGAGCTATCCCAGAGACAGGCTTCCGCACAATATGGAATACCGAGGGCAACAATCTTTGATAAGATATCAGGTCGACGACCCCCTGAGATGTGTGCCATGGGGCCATCCCCCTACCTGACCATGGCCGAGGAAGCGAAAATTGCCACCTGGGCAATTCAGATGTCGAGAATTGGCTATGGTAGGACCAAGCCCCAAATATTGCAGGTAATAAGATACATAAAAAATAAAGTAGGCCTATATACTTTTATTTTACTTGATGATATAATACAATTCCACAATCGTGTTTTAACTGTGACTTTATAGAAGAAAATATAAAAAAGCTTTATTCTGATTTAGATTGAAGATTCGTACGGAAATTATTTAAATTTAAACCAACAAATTGCTCATTTCACTTATTGAATTAATTACATCATTAAACATGGATTCATATTACGATTTTCCTTTTTCTCCTTTTCCTTTTCTTCACCTCATGCAGATGGCCCAGCGGATCATCCGGGATGATGGGAGACCCAACCCGTTTAAGGACGACAAGCCGGGGAAGAATTGGTTCAGTCGTTTTATGACTAGAAACCCCACCCTTTCCCTGAGGACCCCCCAAGCTCTAGGGCAGGAGAGGGCAGTCCTCACCCCTCAGAAAATTGACAAGTGGTTCGAGGGACTGCACCAATACATGGTGGAGAAGAATGCAGTGAGCATCTTATCATGCCCGGACAGAATCTGGAATGCAGATGAGAGTGGCTTCGCTCTCTCGCCGACGGGAGACAGGGTCATCGGGATGCGAGGGGCGAAGTTCGTGTATTCATTTTCGTCGACCACCAAGACCAACTTGAGTACGCTAGAGGCAGCATCGGCCAGTGGCATCTTTTGTCCCCCGTTCGTCATCTACCCGGGGAAGAGGGTCTCCCGGAACTGGAAGCCAATGGAAGGAGCACCGGAAAGCTGGTTGTACGGCTTCAGTGAGAGTGGATGGATGAACTCCGAGCTGTTCTATTCATGGCTCGCCAACCATTTCCATCCATTCCTACTGAGCCGTGGAACCCACTTTCCCGTGCTCCTTCTTGTGGATGGTCACGCCAGCCACGTCGACCTGCATGTAGCGGAGTTTTGCCAGCATAACAATATAATTTTGTACAGGTTACAGGCACACGCGAGCCACATCATCCAGCCGCTAGACCTGTCAGTCTTTGGACCTCTGAAGAAGGCATACAAGAAGAGGGAAGGGGAGTGGAAGGATGCGCATCCTGGTCAGTTCGTCACCAAGGCATTCTTTGCCGGCGTGTTCGCCAATGCATGGGCGGACATTAAACCAGAGTTGGCAACGGCAGGCTTCAGAGCGGCAGGCATATATCCTTTCACACGTGGATATTGCCGGGACAAACTTGCCCCGTCGCAGGTGTTTACCACCCAAGCTCCACCAGCCGCCCCACCAGCCACCCCACCAGCCGCTCCAGCACTACCACCAGCCGCCCCAGCACCACCACCAGCCGCCCCAGCACCACCACCAGCCGCCCCAGCACCACCACCAGCCGCCCCAGCACCACCACCAGCCGCCCCAGCACCACCACCAGCCGCCCCAGCACCACCACCAGCCGCCCCAGCACCACCACCAGCCGCCCCAGCACCACCACCAGCCGCCCCAGTCATTCCAGCACCGCCACCCGCCCAAGAAGAACCATCAACCTCAACCGCCATGCCAATAAGACCCAGCACTGCGTATCAATATCGGCCACCCACCTACGTGTCCCCAGCTTTCGACAAGTATCTCAAGTTTCCCGAGGCAGTGAGGAGTGCCCCAAAGAGGAAGACCGGGGATGAGCTGCCGAACGCCATCTCCGGTCTAGACTGGATCAGGTACCAGACAAAGAGGCGAAGCGACAAGGAGGCTGAAGAGGAAAGGAAGAAGAAGAAAAGGGAAGAAAGGGAAGCTAAGAAGGCAGAGAAGGAGAAGGAGAAGCTAGAGAAGAAGAAGAAGGGAGGGAAGAGATCGAGGAAGGTGCAATTAAGGGAAGAAGAAGTCGACGAGATGGTTTGCAGCGAGTGCCAGGACGATTTCGACGATGAAGACGGCAACAACTGTGTAGGGTGCAACTACTGCCCACGGTGGTTTCACGTTGAGTGCACGGAGTTAATTGGGCTAAATATAGAGGAAGTTGAAGCAACCGATTTTAAATGCGGGGTTTGCGATGAAGAGTAATTTTACGTTTTTAATAATTTGTATTGTTTAATGAATCTTCCGTCCATTTATTTCTTCCTTTTTTAAATCAAGCGGGTATTTTAAGCACTGATGTGGTTGCAGCCTGCACAGTTGTCGTTGTCTTCATTGTCGAAATCATCCAGCACTCGTTACAAACCATCTCGTCGACTTCGTCGTTGTCGAAATCTGTTTTGCTCTCCTTATTCTCCATTATACTTCCCAACTGTTGACGTTGTAAAACCTTTGTTTTTATACCTATTTATTTTGTATAACTTAGTTTATTTTCGACAAAAATAGCCTATTTTACATGTAGATCTGATTCCGTATTTTATTTGTGCAATGCAGTAGTTTCGTACCTCAACCTGTTCAAGTGCAATTTATTTGATTTGATGTACCTGTAAATTGATTCCTTTCATATATCTAAATATTATGTTGCATATTTTATTGACAGTTTATGAATTTCCTTCATTTTAATTTCACTGCCTATTATTCATTCTGTTATATTTCATTTTACATCATACCAAAGGTCCAATTGTATAGGACTTTCGTCACACTTGTGTAAAATAATTTTGTTTAATTTTACATCATATCGAAAGTCAATTACTAATTCATGAATGTTCAAGAAACTTGTGTTTCTACTCACACACAAAGAGAGAGAGAGATAAATAGATCAGCATGAGGACAAAAAGAAGGAAAAAGTAAATAAAATGATTTTGGATTTCAACCAAAATCAAGTTTGTTCATCATGAATTCAGAGTCTTAGAAATTATCTTTATTTATTTCGTTCGAATATTGGGTGATTACTTTGATTGAAATGTATGTAAAGTGATAAACGAGAAAGCGCTGAGAGAAGTTGAGGGGGGGGGGGAGAGATTGAGAGAGAGAGAGAGTGTGTGTGTGTGTATACGTGTGTGAGAGATAATAGAAGATAGAGAAAAAATAGAAAGAGAATTAAGGAATGTAAGGATTTTAGTTGAGGGAGAGATAAGAGTAGCCGTGAATTGAAAGAGGGACCCAATGAATGAACAAAGCTTTTACATTGAGACTCGGCTGATAATTTATTGAACAGATTTAAATGCAACAAAATAATCAAGCATGCATGTAGATCGACACAGATAAACTATAAAGTTTACAAGGAAAAAAAAGGGCATGCTAAAATTAATTAAAACCAGAATATTTACATTAAATTATTTCTTTAAAATGCCATGCAAACAAAAAATGAAGATATAAGCATTCAGTAAATGATAGACTTATTTCTAAACAACAACAATGAGTTCGGGAAGGAAGAAACACTAAAAAAAATCGGGGCATTATGACGTAAAGAGGTTATACATCTGTCCTACATTTTCTGGGTCGGGATATACCTGGACAGGATGAAAAGAATATGAAGGTTAAATGCCTATTCATGAATCAAAATGATTTCTTAATTGAAGATAAATAAATATAACAGAAGGAAATACATGCTTAAAGTATAAAATAATATGAAAAGACCAATATTCTCTAATATTTACAGCCAAATTATACTTAAACAGCGCACCGGCAACGCACTGCCGCAAACCGGGTTACGCACGGCCGCAAACCGGGCAACTTTTACGTCTTCTAAAGTGGACAGTACTGACCACGCTGTGGGTCAGTTACGTTATTTGTGCCTTCTATTTAATAACTAAATATATAAACTCTCCATTGACGGTATTGAAGCATTCTGTGAGTAATTGCATAAAAAATAAAATCGGCAATTCCCACTGGACGGCCGCACACCGGAGCCGCTACTCTATATATAGTCTATGTTATTTTTAATTAGACTCTAATTATTGTAGTATTGCAGCATGTATGAGGATGTAAAGAGTGAAAATCTTGTTGCATATCTCATTCATCGCGGTCCTGCCGAACCGAACCATTGGTTCCGTACAGTCTCGATAGGATAAACTTCAGTCTCTATAATCGGAGGTCTAGTGGAGCCAGACGTAGTCTCAGTGGAACAACCGACAATTAGAGAGACTGAAGCTTTTGGTCTAGGCTGTGCTGTGTGTGTTGGATAAGGGAATTAGTAAAACAGAGAACTGAACTACGGTAAACTAATGACCCCAAAATGACAGGGTAATCGGCCATATCTACTTGGCTTAGATATACATGTAAGTGTAGAAACTTAACTGCAAAGTGAAATTGGAAAGTAAGATGGGGTTTGTGTGTCCAGATGCTTTAAAATGAAAGCTCATACTATATGGCTTTGATTTCATGAAGGAAATGTGTCAAATAACACCGACCAGCATAAGTCTTAAAAGATTCATGAACAAGTGCTAGTAAACTTCAAATTACTGTATAAAATCAACTGTCCAAATTACCAACCTGTTAGGACACACAACGATGATTATACCCCAGCAAAGTATCAATTTAAAAAAAAATTAATGCTCACCTCAACCTTCATTACTTTCTCATTTATTACTGAAAGTTTAGGACAGGATAATACTTTGTGAGTCTGTGCTTTATGAGATGATTTTCTTTTACTAATAAAAAAATATAATTACAAATAACAGTTACAAATGACAGGTATATACACTTATACAGGGTGTATTCATTATTATATTTTAAAGGTTAGAAGGTCTACATCAACATGTATTTTTATGATCATGTCTGTTTTTACAGGTGGGTTTCAGGGAGAAGTCCAGATGGACGAGTGAAGCACTACCTCTTGAAGCTAGATGACAGATGACACTCCATGGCGACAACATGGCTTGCTTCATTCTAAGGGTGCCTGCTGCTTCTGGTAACATGCGAACCTGTGCGAGAGTTGGACTGCATTCAAACCTTACCGCTTTCCTGCTGTTGAAGTGGCAACTGACACGAAGCCAAGACAGTATGGCCAAGATACTAGTTTGATCCCAAGAGAGGGATCATTATGGATTCTTTCTTCTTGTCCTCAGATTGCACAATTTTGCACACGGTCGCAAAGATGTTACTGTTGGAGTTGGTGCCTCGAGACATGGCACTCCTTGTGGCTACTTGCCTCTCCTACCATCCCAGTATAGCTTCCCGAGTGAGCTGCTGTAAAGGGAATTTCTCTATGAAGTATCAAGACACTGAGCATGAGCTGCTTCCTGGTTAACTGCACTGGAATCTGTAGCAGCCGAGAGGAACTTCCCCTCAAGGAGTGCTGATCCAGACATTGATGTCACATTCCATTGATTTTCCAAGATTGTAGTACCTGTCCTGTATATCTCAAAAGATGCCTGTCAAGTCTTTTTAAATTTTAAAAGATTATGTCAAGTTAAAAAATTTGATCAGTAGTGTCAGCTTCTATAAGGGGACCCAGATATTAATAAAAAGAGAAATGCAGCTTTACCTTTGCTGTTTATGCTAAGATGTGTGTTATGCAGCTACCGGTGGTACCAAAGTAACTTTTATTATGATTTGAAAAACATGAAAGATTTTTCTTTGGAAGAACTTAGGCGAAATTTGTTTGTGTAATGTGGTAATAGTTCAGTCATTCATGGAAGTGATAAATATCTTTATTGCATTTGCATTATCACTATTGCAATTTTTTTCCTTTCAAATATAAAATTTGTATTTAGGTAGTTTCAAGTTCTGGTAAAGGTGGAAAATGATTTCTTATATATTCCAACAAAAATTTACATTGAACTAGCAATACTAAATTTGAATAATATTTGCTTGTGTGTGTTGTAGAAAATGTAATATCTGGGTAATGTGCAAAGAAAATAAAAGGAGTACACCTATTCCAAACCCTATGTATCTATTCTTTAGCCTCCTTCAATTTTTCTTCTCCAGATATGAATTATGCTCTTTAATGAATATGATTTCAAGGTTTCATTTACGGTATTTGCTTTAATTTTGTTCTGGTCCGGCCAACCCACATGTTGCATAATGAAAACTTCAAGATAAACTTTAGTACTGGTAATGCGATTCCATTGTGAAAGAAAAGGTGTGGAAAGGATCAGAAACAGTTGATCATGTAGCATGTAAGTATTGGTGTGCACTGCAAGGTTCTGGAGTCATCAAAATCATAATAAATTTGACCAAGTCTTGGTAAAGTAACAAGCACTCACATAGAAAGCTATATATGGGACAACACACATGGTGTCGGGGCTAGTACTACCTTGATTTCCTTGTCTTTCTATGCTCATTACTCAGCCAGTATACATTTTCTTCCAAAATTGTTTGGCACATGTCATTTATTTGTAATCTTGAACATTCAGTGTAAGTATCGCTTGATTCTGTGAGAATTATTATTATTTTTTTACCAGTACTGGAGTTTATGTTTCAGCATACCTTTTCAGCTACTTTCTCTCAAAAACCAATTCTATTTGCAACAGTCTTTATATCGGACCCATATGTGGAAATAATTTCTTTAAAAAAATGAATGAGTAAAGTGTTATACTCTTCACATTTCTGTATCTTATAACACAGAGCTCAGGGAATATTAGCACTTTTATGTTGCACGCTTTTGCCATTCATTTTACAAAAAAAGGTGGGTGTTTTTATTTAAAGATGACATGTTGATGAAGCTGTCTGCAACTGAAGAAATTTTGTGTTCTGCTTTACTTGAAATTTAAGTTCCACAGCTATGTTAAATGTATTATAAAATTTGAAAATACAGTGAATTTAGTGTAATTGAGTCCCTCATTACCTTTACCATTAACAATACACATACGTGTATGTGAATTGTTAATATGACAACTTTATATTAAAGGTACTCTGTATAGCAAAAACATAATGGCAAACAGCTGTATTTGGAATACATATATGTATGTAGTAGCATCATATAAAGACATACCTGTATATTTGGATTTAGAGCTATACCCCTACTACCTAAATTTGATTCAATCATAACAAGGTTGACATTTGGCATGAAATCAACAACTATCAACCTTGATCCGTTCAAGAAACAATTTTTTTTGGTTTTGTTAAACAAGAATTAACCTCTCCAAAATAGTCAGCAAAATCACATGATACTTACATAAAGAAATACACAATGCAATTATACATGAAATTCATGTTTATTGAACATATGAAAACATAATTTACAATCAGGTAAATGTTGTTTTGTACTTCATATGACAAATGGTATCGTACAAATTTACAGTTTACTTGTTGACACAAAACAGTTCTCTTTTGATTGCAGTATTGGGCTAGAATTTTTGACAATTTCATTATTGTATGTTAATGGACACTTGTATATGTATATTTTTACTTTACAAATATTGAAATGAAGCTTCATTTTTATATTCTCTGATGTTGAAATGGCAACTGATCTTAAAAATAAATGTTGAGATAATAAACTTACAAACTGATTTCTGAGTCACATGTTACATTACATTTTCTGAAACTATCAAACTACATTCTCTCCATTTTTCTGAGAAATGAAATACAGCTTTTCTGCACAAATTATGTTGCATTACAGAGGAATTTAAATGTTGGAACTCTTTACAGAGAGCCCTGATGGATAACAATATCCTCTTACAAACAGTAATTTGCTGGTCATAGCTCTTTTCTAACTCTAATTTTTACCCTGATATAACAAAGTATCTTTCATGGTCCTATGATCCTCATTATAACCAGGTTTCACTGTACCTGAAGATTCAGTTCTGACAAATACAAAAAAAAAGAAAAAAAAGCTCTGAATGTTTCGGGTGGTATTCTGAAGAAAACCGCACAATACGTTAAGTATATGTACACAAATGGGCCTTCAAGTCTTGTAAAGCCTTAAACAGTTTTGTATGAGCAAAATGCCAACACGAGGCAAATAAGGAGATGACATTGAAACAGTTTTCATAACTTCATTCTTTTGGATTACACAGATAAAGGTAGTAAACGATCCATGTTTGAAAGAAAAAGAACATTCTACTTGACAGCAAATTAGAGTTAATATCTCAACATTCCATGAGACGGTGATGTGATGTGATGGGCAAAGCTATTTTGAGCAAAATGAGCTATCGGTATAAAACAAAAACGATGTATGTGACACTAATCCTCTTCAGTCATACTGAATAAGGAAAGGAATCCATACAGGTATTTCTGAAGACAAAACATCTTAAACGGTACAAATACTACTTAATCTACACAGGAATATGACAAGGCTTCAAGCCACACATTATTTCTCCTTTTCTTTCTTCTTTGCTGCCTCTTCCTTGGCCTCTCTTTCCTCGTGCTCCTTGATAAGCTTTTGGAGTTCCTCTACAGGTAGGATGCGGATCTTCGTCTTACCGTCTTCTCTTGTCAGAGAAGCAATCTCAACTGGATAAAGGGAGATAATATGGGGGTTTTTCTGATTAATTTTATTCATTTAATTTCTTTTATAAATTTGTCAAAACTTGTTTTTGTTTTGAAGTCTTTCCTGTTGCATTTGACCAACGGATATATCTACCTAAATCCTCGTTGAGATAAAGATGAAAGATACCGTAGTTTCTTTGGAGTACCTATGAGAAAATCACACCAGTAGTCCATTTCCACCTTCCCCCAAATAATGGGTTTATAATCATAAATGTTCTGGTGTGGGTTCTTATTGGTATTTGGTAACGGGTCCTTCATACTGGGCAAACCGTTCAACAACTTCCAAGAGAACCATCCTGTTTCTCAATTCTTTCCCAGAATTGAACTGAAGGCTTTCCAGTCTACAGTAGGCCATGTTCTGATGTTTCAGAGTAGGGTGGTGTTCTAGCGGAGGCCTGAAAGATCTTTCTGCATGAAAGGTACACACATCACATGGGAAATCTACTTGGTACAGTGTGAGCTGACTGTGATGTTTGGCACATACCGGTAGATTCCTCAACACACATTGATAACTCATGCACGTTAACCAATTGTAATGATACCCCAGTCACACTCTGCTGAGACCAACATCAGGGGGGCATTTCACAAAACTTGTCATCAGTGACAAATGACAGTTTTTGTTATAAGCTACTGAAATCCTTGCTTCTGATTGGTTATCAGCAGATTTGTCACTGATTTTGTCGTTTGTCATTTAAAAAAGGCTTTGTGAAACAGGTTCCAGATTGACCACACACTGAAAGGAAATTTACAAATGGCCCAGAATCACTCGGTTTGAAGTAAGATTCATGGAGCAAGAAATAGCAGCATGTATTTATTTTGCTTCATAACATATTCATTTAAATATGAATAGCAACTTGAAGCTCTTGGGTCTTAAATCATGGAATAAGGAACAAACTACTTACTTTTCTCTGGGGTAACCTTGGTCATATCTAGTGTCTTGCTGAGCACCTTCACGGCCAGAGCTAAGGCACCCTTGAGGTCTGTGTCTCCTTCCTTGTATTCTTGCTTCAACATCGAGATAGCAGCCTTGGGGGAAATATTAAAATACAAAATGTTTTCATAGTGCTTAAGGATATGTGGATGCATTTTGTTATACAGTGCGTCCCGGAAAAAAATAAACTGAGAATCATTGTTGTTTTATCATAATTTATTAATTACAATTATAATTAATAAATGACACATATTTGTAAAGCTTAGATCCTCCTCTTTCATTTGATGCAACTCATTTGATGCATATTTTATGCTTGATTTATCAAAACCAATTTGAAGAAATGGTACCAAAAAGTCATTTGGCGGACGGTATCTAAATTTCAAAGAGAAAATCACATTTCTAGAAAGTTCATTTTTTGCCCTTTCATATGACACCTCAATCAGGAAAAATGAGCTAAGAATGACAAAGTTCTGTTTGTTGAAAGTAATGCTTGCATTTCCATAATTTTATTAAACAAACTCGTTTTCACTGGCTGCCTGCCGTAGCAACGAACAGAATTGACAAAGACTTAACTCCGCTTCGTTGACAATCAGCCATAGATGAAAGACTTCATGCAGAAAAAGAGTGAGCAAGCGAGAGAGAGAGAGAGAGAGAGAAAGACATAGAGAGAGAGAGAAAGAAAGGTGAGAGAGAGAGGGGAGATAAAAGATAACCTACTGCACTGTTGTTCCCGATACATGTGGCTTTCCATCCTCCGTAGTTTCCACTGGGATCACTCTGATAAAGCTGGAATCCGTAGTGTTTGTCCCATCCCATGTAGAGAATAGATACACCAAAGGGTCTCTTTCCTAGGGTATGAAAAAAGGTTTTAGAGTTAGTATTCTACAGTAGGATCATTTTGACAAAGCTAAAATAAATATTGTTTGTCCCATGATCCATCCCATATAAAGAATAAATACATCAAAGGGGCTATATATTGGGGGATCAAATGAAAAGATAACATTGATCATTTTGAACAAAATCATTTTGATATGTACAAGCATTTACACATGCAAATTTCAAAATTTGATTGCTATGGTGGTATTCTGTAAATGAATCTGTTTCTGTTAGTATAAAGATGTTAAGGGTTATAACAAATCAAAATCAGGACAATCATTGGTTAATATCTGTGAATTTAGGTGCTTTTGCAAGATACATCTACGCAAGCACCAATGATAAGTGCTTAATCTTCACAAATTCAGTTTGTTATGACAATTAACATCTTTTAAACTAACATAAAAGATAACACTGTTTTCGGAATACGGCCCCTCATCTTACTGCAATTCCTTGAACATCATATAATTGGGTTGTAAGGTGTGTGCAGCAGCATTTCCATATATCCCATTGTATAGCATAATTAGTAACTCTAATCAAGGCAAACCTAACAGGTTGGTTTTGATTTGATTTCATATAAAGGCTCTTGCAAAATACAATATGTACATCTTGGGGGTATTAATGTGACCAAACTCTTAGAACAGTCATTAAGCCTTGATCACCTGTAGTTTACCAAGGAATTTTAAAAGGTGACCATTATAACAGAACATTCATTCTGATGGTCAAGAGATGTGATGACCCCATTACTGACCTCCTGCTTGTGTGTAGAACTGCTTGATGTCACATAACGTGCTGACTAGCTGTTCATTGGGAATGTTCTCCTGATACTGGAGGAAATATCTGTAGAAGAGAACAACACCCATGCACATTATATATTGTATACTCTTTTAATCTTAATGCAGCGTCTTGGTCCATCTCATTACAGTCAAGCAATATAATATTTCATGAATGAACACAATGATTACAGATTTTAAATGGTCAAATTTAATATATTTTTGAAGTTTTGCCTTTGTTACATTAAATTTTCATACTGAATAGTATAACTCCATATACAAATGATTCTAACAGGGACCTTTAGAATGGAAAAAAGTACAATTTATATTGCAACATGCAACTGTCCTACTATTAATTGTTGTGTTTCCTTGTTGTTGTTGTTGTTGTGTTTTTTTTTTTTTTTGGGGGGGGGGATTGTACAGTTACATGTAGTGAGGTATCACTTACAAGCAGCCTTTACCATATACACTCTGTGAAATTAACATTTTGTTGGACAAAGCTTCACTGGTGCTAAATACATTTTTAACAAAGTGATTATTGGGAGGGAAGCAGAGGTGCTGGGGTAGAATGTGGCTCTTCTTTCTGCATCCTGTTGTGCCCTACTTCCTTTATGGTATTAAGTTTAATCCATTTACCCTATAATTATTTAAATTCTATTTGATTAAATTAATGATCACTATAATCCTTTCACCCAATTTAACCCCTTCCATTCTTTTACATTGTAATCCCTTTCATGACTGAATATCTAATTGGTAAATCCTGTTGATTTTGCTCACAACACAAATATTTTATTCTCATCAAAGACAGTTACATGCATGTGTGATGTGTGATGTGGAGGATTTACATACAGCCCTTTTCTTCCCTGAACACAAGATTGTGGAATCTAAAGATGGTGTGGTACACCTCATGGAAGGTTTTCCTTTTGCTCTTCTAATTAGTTTCCTTATTATTATTTTTGTTGTTGGATAACTTACTTGAATCAAGATTTTTTTTTTTTTTTTTTACATACAAATATCCTTATAACATGTCCCAAAGCCAATAATTAAGTAGATTTAGTTCTGACCTTTGACCGGCGAGCCTGAGTTCACTGGTCAGGACGTTAGCATCTGATGTGATTCCTGAGACACTACATGCCATGTCACTGTAGAAGGAATACAGAGATACATCATTAACATTGTATTTTCTATTCTAGAATCATATGTCAGGAATATGCAGTGGCAAGTGGCTCCAGATCAATATGAAATAACTTTCGTTAAAGAAAAGAAAGAAAAAAAGAAGAAGAAATGAAGGAAGAAAGCATGAAAGAAAGCTAGAAAAACAAAAAATGGTTGCTCCACTCGACACTTAGAACGACCCTAAGATACAAAATACATGGAGGTAGGGTTCTCCTAGTTTAAACATGCCAATCGATACTTAAATATCAGATTGTTTAAAAAAAACTGGAAGTGACACTTCACTTCAATACAGACTTTAAGTTGGGGGTATGGTTCTATTCTGAAAATTGCATCAAAAGATGATACATATAAAATGTATATATTTGATTAACCTCTACATTTTTTATAACATGATTTTATCTTGAAGACAACTCACTACTGATTAAAACAAACAACAATACCGTAATTAACGTTGTATAAACAGCTCTCGTGTATTAACCGCTCCCCTCTTTTTCGCCCTTAATTTTTTTTTTGCCAAGATTTTTTTTTTTTGTGTGTAAGATCATTACGGTAATGTAAATTAAAAAAACAGTAGGGACCTAGGATAGAACCTTGTGGTACACCATGTAATAGAAGAAAAATTGAGGGATTATTATTATAAACTACATATTGAGATCTATCAGAAAGATTACTTTTAAACCAAGATGACAGACAAATTTGAGTGTTGTTCTAGTTTCCGAGTGGTGAGTCAACACACCGATTACCGAGCTGGGAGACATTGCCAGGCATAGCGCCAGGTGGAGGGGCATAAATCGAAACTTTAATTTTACCGTGTATAAGCCGCACCCCTGACTTTGAATTTTTTTTGGTGGCAAAAAGGTGCAGTTAATACACCGTTAATTACGGTATGTGAATAAAATGGTTTGTCGATTGAAAAGAAGTGTTTATTGAACCCTTTATGAATATGGTGTATTTTCATGCACTATGTAAAGTACGCATTTACCTATTAAGTTTGTAGATTTTATCTGAGAATACGACATCATCTAGAAGCTTGTGAGTGTTCCTCCTCTCTGCAGCCAGAAGTACTCCATCTGAAGCCAAGATACCCAGTGAGGTACCTGCATGGCCTATGGCTTCCATGGCATACTCCACCTGGTATAGACGCCCTGGATTCATTTGAGAGAAGCGTATGATGTATCATGACTTATCATTGATTATATTTAATAGCTATGTGTACTAAATACCCAGAATGAATGGAAGCAATTTTTTAATTAGAAGCAGAAAAATGAGAGAAATAGGTCAGTGAAAATTTGAGCAAAAAACAATTAAAAATAAGAATGTTATGAATTGGAAAATAATTTGTTTTATTTTTTAGTACAGTGTTGCCAATTTGTGTTTCACTGATGTCAACTTCAAAAATTCATAACTTCCTTATTTTTAATCAGATTTTGCTTAACTTTTCACTTACATGTATTTGTCTCTATCATTTTTCTGCTTTAAAAAACAACAACTTAATACCACAGTGGACTTTCCCTTCAATAATGATAATAATAGTGGTCATAAGATGAAGACAAAATCTAGCTCTTTGGAAATGATGGGTATACAGTTGTTTTCTGAATGTGGATAATTTTTTTTTTAGTGTTTGAGTCGAGCATGGTAAACTGTTCCAGATTAAGCGAGGTCTTTTGCCAGTTCTGTTGAATAATTAACTACCGGTAATAGAAATGTTAAGCATCTCACTGTATCTTTTCATTCTTTCTCTAAAGATAGTGGAATGATTGTTTTACTACAGGACGACCTCATATTATAATGTTCTTATTACAGATTTAGGTCATTTATGCTCAGTTCTCTTACCTTCGGGCGAAAAGATGGTGGTCTTCGAATCATACCTTCGTGACTGCAAGAATGAAATGAGATCAAACAAGATTGTAATATGACAATCAATTATTCAAATACATGTACTGTATATATCATATCTTAACATATTTATTCAATCTTGTTTTTGATGATTACTTACTCTGTTCACATTGATATATTTTTCATATGTATTGAAATGTGTAGGTTTATTTGTAATATTTTGTTTTGTTTGATATGTAATTGTTTATCTTTGTATTTTGTTTTTTATAGTGCTTAGAGACTTTGGTGGAAAGCGTTTTATAAGAAACGTTTTTAGTATTTACTATTATTATGTGTGAGTGTAAGATTCTGCATTTATGAATCTACAAAACATAGATCTATGAAGAAAATGCCTCCATAAAGGGTTCTAGTATGCGCATTTGAGGCAACCGCGGCTGTGCGCTCACATGTGCGAACGCACATACACATATCAGTGAGCACCTTCCTACAAGTGACCAGGCCCGAGCTAGATTCGAGAGCAGATGATCACAAGACACTGACCTGAGCACAACAAGACAACGATCCTGCAGACTACATTATTGTTTTCTCGTCTTTTTTTTATTCGGCCCATTATCCAACATTGGCAATGCAGTAGGGTGAATCTTGGGCAGCTATTGGAATTTTAATTTTCCCAATCTACTGAATTTGCCGGCAGGGGAAGGTTCGCCAGCAAAATTATTTGGGTAATTTTTTAAATCCAAGCTTACTGGAGGAAGTACAGCCTATGTGTGACCTTGCGAGGAATGACCTTCAAGGTGAAGAAAGACATGGAAAGACTGTAGGATTCACACAGACAAGGAAAGAGCATAGCCCCAAAGAGCAAGCCTTGAAGGATAAAGAGTTATTTCTATACCCTGACAGCCAAGCTACAGTTTCAAAGCCTGGAACTGTGAATGACAAGGGTCTAGAGCCAGAATCTGGAGCTGTCAATAACAAGATTTCAGAGCTGGGATCTGCAGTTGTCAACAACCATGGTATGTCGATGAAAAGCCCAGATTCAAAGCAAGTTCTTAAAAGTATAGCCCTAAACAGCAAGACTTAAAGGAAAAAGAGCTCATTCTATACACCATATCTTTGATGGAGATCTTGATATCTAATGGAGATGAATGAATTTTTCTTTATGGATGATATCAGACAGATCAATCATCATGTCCAGGCTTGCAAATCTTCACACTGAACATGCAGACGTGAAAATTGGGAATATGTTCATCAATGATCCCATGAGAGCCTTTCTCATCAACTTTGTCAAGTCCAAGAAGCAGAACAGTAAGGCTGCACTTCTTGAGGAATCTATCATTGATGTGAAACCAATGTGCAGGGTCAGGGGGTCCTGCTTATTCTACATGAGGAACTAACCTCCAGACTTTCAGAATAGCAATCAGAAAGCAGAGACAGTATTGTTCACTCTGCTTTGTAGAGGATACAGAGATGGTATAACAGCAAAAGATTTTTCCTGAAGAGCTTGGGTAAATTATAGTTGATCATCGAGATGAGGGAACAACAAGAGGCTCGACGACGAGTGCCAAGAAGGAGGAAGATGCATGATCTAACACAAAGGCTGAGAGTGGCTTGCAGTTTCTCAAGAGCCATTACTAACCTTGGTCCACAGACAGACCCCCAAGCTGTTGACAACTAGTTTCCAGAGCCAAGATCTGGAGCCCTTGACAGACAAGGTTCAGTTTCAAAGTCTTGAGCTATGGATGACAAGGGTCTGGAACTCTAGATCCAGAATCTGGAGCTGTCAATAACAAGATTTCAGAGCAGTTGTCAACAGCCACGGTCTGTTGATGAAAAGCCCAGATTCAAAGCAAGTACCTAAACGTACAGCCCCAAAGAGCAAGCCTTGAAGGAGAAAGAGTTCATTCTATACACCATCTCTTTGATGAAGATCTTTCTATCTGATAGAGATGAATGGATTTTTCTTTTGGATGACATCATGCAGATCAATCATCATGTCATGTAATGTCCATGCTTGGTGGTCTTCACACTGAATAAATAGTATATGCAGACGTGCAAGTTGGGAATCTTCATCAATGACCACATGAGAGCCTTTCTCATCAACTCTGTCAAATCCAAGAAGCGAAACAGTAAGGCTGTACTTCTTGAAGAATCTATCATTGATGTGAAAACTATGTGCAAGGTCAGGGGTCATGCTCATTCTACATGAGGAACAAGCCTTCAGACTTTCAGAATAGCAACCAGAAAGCAGAGACAGCATTGTTCACTGTGCTTTGTAGAGGTATAATAGCAAATGATTTTCTGGAAGAGCTTGGGTAAATCGAAGTTGATTATCGAGTTAAGGAACAAGAAGAGGCCCAACAACAAGTGTCGAGAAGAAAGTGGCTTGCAGTTTCTCAAGAGCCATTACTAATCTTGGTCCACAGCCAGACCCTTGAGCTGTTGACAACTAGTGTCCAGAGCCAAGATCTGGAGCCTTTGACAGACAATGTTTAGTTTCAGAGTCTTGAGCTGTTGTCCAGGGTCAAGATATGGACACCTTAACAGCCAAGCTCCAGTTTCAAAGCCTAGAACTGTGGATGACAAGGGTCTAGAGCCAGATGAAATCTATCAGTGTGATAAATTTGATAACAAATGGGATTGTATTTGGATTTTTTTAATGCGATAGGCTTCACCTGTGCTTCTTCGTATTTTGTATAAAATTGAATATCTTTTATACTGTGTAAAACTGATGTATTGACATTTCAAATTGATATACAACTAATAAAAGTAAATTCAACTAATTTGGTAGCATATACATGTATGTGAAATATTGTGAAATATTTTTATGTTTATCTATCGATTAGTGTTAGTTTTTAAAGTGCTAAGTGTGTAAGGTATGTGCGAGATGAGATTTATGAATATGCAATTAGCTTTTGCTTAGCCCTCAGCTGCCTCATGAATTATGCATTACAGGATTTTGCGCATGTAATGTAGCTGCAAGGGGCATCAATGCAGAACTGTTATACTCTATACACAGGGCATGCATGTAGAACTTTAGCGTACAATTAGCGCATGCGCAGATCGTTTATCCGATGTCAGCCTCATTTTCATAAGTTGGCGCCTAGCCTAGCTGACATGGGCCCTTCAGATTGGCTATTGCTGTTCTCCGTTCACTCAATGCTATAAGATATTTGTGCGAGGAGCAAGCTTGCAATTTTCCTGTTTTTTCTATACCAAAAATATGATATTTCAGTCAAACCTTGAACAATTCTAATTTTCGTCATATTTGCAATGCCATGTACGCGTCAGTTATGTGTGAAGTGCGTCACCTGTTTAAAGCAGGACATGTGACGTGATGTGATGTGCTGTGATGAAATATTACGTAAGCATCACAGCTACATCGCATCGAGGAACATCGGACATTGGACTACAGTGCAGCTTTATCGGTGAGTCCTTTTCGAGACACGCACAGATTTACTTCATTCCACTGCAGGGATCAGGAGCTATCAACAATGAAGGTCCAGGAAATAAGTCTAGGGACGAAAACAGGCCCAAGCTAGATAAGATGATCACAAGAGGCTGACCTGAACACATGTACAACCCCTGAACGAAAGCAGAATCTGGAACCATGGGATGACGATCCTGCAGACTACCCCATTGGACAGTCTTCTTGTCATTTTATTATTCGGCAGATTACACAACATTGGCACTGCGTCAAAGCGTCAAATTTCTATGAATGTTTGTAGATTATGTTGGCATATATAGAGTAGAATCTAGTTTTTTTAAGGCATTGACTTATATCTTACACTACAGTTAGTAAAGCTGATAAAACTAAGCAATCAAACCAATTTCAAGTTTATTTGACATGATCGTGAATAGATCAAGAGTGAAGTGCCCTAGATTCACAGACTACCATGGCTTACACACATATCAAGACATGCCAAGACATCTATTACACTTGATTGAGTTGATTCCCAGTTTGTTGATTATTGTGGCATAAATAGACTAATTAATTTAGTCTACCTCTTCAATTTCAAATCAGAACTTTAATTAAAACAAAAATGACAGAAGTTCATGATGAACTTAGCTTAGAGGCTTACCATGGCCAAAATTGACACAACCCCACACGAAAGAGACACAATCTTGATAGACATTGGCTAGGCTTCTGAGTAAATACATAATTTTCACTTAAATCACAAACACAAGGAGTGAATTCACGTCTTCTCCATCATTTTTTCCTCTTCTTCATCAACACACAAAATCAGGTTAGTGGGACCATGCACACAAATAGCTGGATATCACACAACAAATTCCTTATATTAAAAAAAATATACAATGAATCAATACCATTATCTGAAATAGTAAGGTTTATATTTATCTTAGTGGCTTTATTGATTAGTAAAATTATGCTTAATAAGTTTAACTAACCATTTTATCCTGCGGAGTTTTGAGTTAATGAACAAATTTCGCTGAGCAACGATGACTGCAAGCTTTTCGTCGTAGAGGGCTCAATATCTTATTTTTAGTGGAGGAGTTGACTGGGGGTTGGGACGAAAATATAATTGCTAAAAAATACGAATAATGATACTTAATCGTATACCAGGAACGAGAGATGAAGAAGAAACCCCTAAATATCAAGAAGATTCAGTTACTTCGGCTCAAGATCAGATAATGGCAGCTGTAAGAATGGCTGCACCTAACCAGCAGCAAAACGGTATGTGGGTCAAAATTAGTTCTGTGTGGTCCCACATGATCATATATGTGTTAATGTAATTCTTGATGCTTGTGAAGAGTGCTTGATTTAAATTCAAAAAGAAAAAGAAGAAGAAGATTTTGATTATATGAGGCCTATATTTTGCATGGCTGCCTAGTAGATTTGATTTTGAAGATCATGATCATGAGTCATGATCATGTCTCGTCATGACGATGCATGGTAATGATGGAGGGATTTCCTTTTGTTAGTAGTAGTAGATCTAGATCTAAAGTTAGACATAAAGGGGGTGACCAAAGTTTGCGGATATTTTAGAACATATTACAGAATGTGATATTCGAACTATGATTTCTCATATTCTACACAATTTTTTTTATTTCAATCATTACCAAATGGACCGCAACATTTTTTTTACTACAGATTGGTTCAACTAGATCTAGAAAATTTATTTTCGAAGGATTTCGGAGATATCGCAATCTAAAAATTTGATGTCCGATCGTTCGTGCGCGCTGCATCTAAAAAAGTCATAAAAACAACGAGACCTAACTTCACGCACAGGGGTTTACAGTTGATTTATCAAAAAGTGTGATCCATCAAAAAATAAGGTAATATCATAATTTGCAAGGCAAGATATACAATTATTTAGTCCCACTTTTTACTTACACTTTTGAAGAAATCTGCTCTCAAATTGATTGAAGATTTTCAGACCTTTATCGGTAAGTTGATCATTTTTCGAAACGGATGCAAAATATTGCAAAGTTTGCCGATCTTTTGTCAATATTTTCACAATTTCGTAGCCAATTCCAAAGAAAATTTCACCTCGGGTAATTTTATGTTCCTCTTTCCATTGTTGATATCAGATTTTCGTAATCTTATTGATTTTTTTAGATAGCGAACTTAGGTCATGCGCGAACTTTGGTCACACCACCATAGATGTGTTGCCTCAGTCAGAAGAGTGTCCGCCTCACAACCTGGGGCCCGTTCCATAAGTCTAACTTTTAGACTAAATCAGCGTTAGTGGGCAACTTGTCCGCTACGTGTTTCACGAAGCCCTCTTTGCCAAGATCAACAACAACATCCTGACTAAGTAGTTTTGACGCCTCTGACACCGTTGTATCTCTGTCATTATGTGTCATAACTATTTAGTCGATGGGCAGCACCATCACATGTCATTTATTGGGTAGACTATGGCTAGCAAGAAAGGACAATAAATCCTCCAGCTCTGATCTTTCTTCACATTCACTTAAACAGGAAGTTATCATTTCTTCACATCAGCAAATCTTTTGAAAATATGCCATGTTTATATTTTGAGTTTTCCCACTTTTATAAACTGATTATATGTATAATCCTCGAAGGGATGGGTAATTTTCTGACCCATATTGCCTTCGAGATAAATTCTATCTTCAAATGTGTAAAATGAATAGTTTAAAACATGTTTTTTTTTATGTTTGGAATGTTGAAGTTTTGTCATTTGATTATTCAACTGACACCTAAAACATTGGACAAAACTTTCAAAACATTGTATTTTTACTAAGAATAATTTAAGGGTGTATTTTTATAAGCTATCAAATGAAAATATTCGGGGGGTACCCATCTCAAGAACAAAACTGATTCACCGGTCATGTAATGAAATACTCACAATTATATTTTACAAGTACTTCTATTGTATAATCTACACAAATTTGGAAGTATAGGCCTATTGCATCTCTTATTTCTTGGTATCATTTTCAATCTTTTTTATTACTAATTCATTTAAATAATTGTATTTTCCCTAATATTAATTTTGTAATAATCCAGTGGTACTGCGACTAAGACTAATTCTCGGCTCCTCTTCTCCCCATTAGTATCGATCTCACGAGATATCTATCTAGTAAGCTCTTCGTGAAATGGTTTAGGAAGATCGGAGACATCTCCGTAGTTGGCGGATAAAGTTATGACTGTCTTGTCGTTGGTTTCTAGGAACGAGCACCGGGACTCCGGGAGGTCGTGGTTTCGAATCCCGGCTGCGTCATACCAAAAGGCGGGATTTGCTGCTACCTTGTTTGGCATTCAACAATAAGGGATAGATTTTCTAGACTAGAGCAACGTCGATCTGGCGCTGCTCGGTGGCTGCCGGGCCCACGATCAATTGGGCAAAAAGAATTTCCATTTTCAGTTTAACTTAATAAAATTTGGAGTGGATTTTAAAAGATTATTATTATTATTAGTCTATTAGATCTATAATTTAATTACTATTATTTTTTTTTTAATTATTCAAAGCCAAAGGAGAGAGAGGGGACATGTTGGATGTAGGTATGTTACCAAAAAAAAAAAAAATCTCAGAATTCAAGCTCTTGCTTTATGCCATCAAACAGAGCTTGATAAGACCTTTTATTTGATGCCTCATTCATCCTAATAACCCCAGTAATAAGAAAGTTATGCAAATTTTAAATGCCCGGAAAACATGTATTTAATTGCTTTGTTTTCCTTTGTTTTCCTTTGTTTTTAAAACAAAAGTTGTGATTTCAAATGCGACCAAAAGATTTTATTTCATTACAAAAAAATCGCCCCAAAATGTATGTAAATACGCCAAAACCGCTAATCATTTTTGCATGACATTTCACATTCCTCATTCAAAAAAACATATTTCTCATCCATAGATTTCACTGAAATTTCACCAAAAGCAAATTCACATGTTAAAGATACTATGTCCCTTTTGCAGCCAACATCAAATTCTGTAGAACTTTGCAGGAATTATGAATATGTCATGTATGTCCTAACTGTGAAATTTAAACTTTAGCAGTGTCCTACTATTCAAATTATGCAAGGAAACCCGTTTACTTGCTAGACTTCACTGTCAGACACTATTGAGTGACTGACTGGCTTTTTTCATCTCTTGTAATAATAGTGATAACATACATAAAATGAGCTGTAAAGGGAAAATGAGCATTTGTCTACATCAATAACCCACTTCTTGTTATCGCCAAAATATTAAACTGATTGAATCTTTGTGCAGCATAAAACGTACGACCATTCCGTACAATGGTCTGAAAAATCAAACCACTACTTACTGGCTCTATAGCTCCTAAGTCGATTTGACAACTAATAGTCTTTATTTTCCCACTTAAAGACATTTTCAAGCCCCTCTTTTTTTAGGGAAGTTCTAAATTAGTATTGTCTTTCAAATGCCGTTGGAATTTAACCTTTTCATTTGTTTGGCCTGCAAATGGGACAAAGTACCTTTAACCAATCATCCTAAATACCTTTTTTCTCATCCTGAATGTGGGATCAGGGTACAGAATGGCACGAAACACGGCTCTTGTGAAACAGTGCAGCAAAACAAAAAATGCAGAAAACATAAAACTTAGAAAGTTTAGTATGAAATGAAAGATAACAATGTCGTTCTTCTCATCCAATAGAAATCATGAAACAAAAATCTAATCAGCCCATCAATAGATCACATTTGCGTAGGCTCTCCAAATGGTCTCCAATAATGCATAACAGCCCCATGGCAGAAACCTTGACGGAGAAGGCGCACACATTGTAACTTACCTACTGTCTGTTTGTGAGATTCAGGGTTTACAGATGTATATAATTTTTATTAGATTTGTTCTGACACATAATGTATAGAGATAGTTATTGTAGTTTTGTACCAAATTACCAAAAAAGTGACAAGAAGTTAGACCTGGAAAGTGGAAGCAGGGCTGCTAACTGCTGGCTGCTGCCTCAGCATTTTTCAAGTATTTGCAGTAAGTTTAATGTAAAGTCACAAGGGAGAAGTTGTCAGTGACTTCGTACTAAAATAGAGGCTGAATACTGTGGTTTGCAGCCGGCCTTGGATAAGAGTAATGTCCGTCGTTTGCACTGCAAAATCATGTGAAAATGCATGCCATCATAGAATACAACATCACTGACATGACCTGACATGACATTCCTGCCTGCTATGACCAGAGACGCCAAGTTCAAAGATCAGCTATGCTTGACATTTCATGACTCCGCGCGGGCGAGGGTATAACATACGTATAGCGTCTTTTCGAAATCGCGCGTTGTGTGCGTGAGAGCGTTTTCAGAACCTCGAAATGTGTGACACTTGGTAGCTCTGTATGACCTACTTGCTATGACAAATTGTAGTTCTCCGATGGTGAGGAGGAGGAGGAGGAGGAGGAGGAGGAGGAGGAGGAGGAGGAGGAGGAGGAGGAGGAGGAGGAGGAGGAGGAGGAGGAGGAGGAGGAGGAGGAGGAGGAGGAGGAGGAGGAGGAGGAGGAGGAGGAGGAGGAGGAGGAGGAGGAGGAGGAGGAGGAGGAGGAGGAGGAGGAGGAGGAGGAGGAGGAGGAGGAGGAGGAGGAGGAGGAGGAGGGAGGGAGGGAGGGAAAGGGGGGGGGGGGGGTTAAACTTTTTAGAGATGCAGACGCCAGCCCCTCCCTCGCCCCCAAATAAAAATCCATTATAATGTAGGATACAATATCGCGTGCAGCCGTACAAATTTAATAATTTTGATTAAATCTTCAATACTCATCAATCTTGATCATCTTCTTCAATACTCATCTATCTTGATCATATCTTGATCATCTGACATATTTTTGATTTTACTGCTGTTTTTTTTTTACTGTGGTAACAAGCCAATCATATTCCTTGAAGCTCCATTGCGTGCTCATCTATTGTACAAATTTACCCCCGCGTTGAATGAGGTTATCTCAAATGAACTTGTTAAAAAAATAAGCACCTAAGCTGCAACTTTTAATTCTGTAGCAGTACATCCATGCTGCATGCTAATAATAATAGTCAAATCTATTGTTTGTGAAATTGCTTTCAGTGCAGTCATCATTCACACAATTACATTTTATGTGAATATTTCAATGTATATCCTAGACCTAATAAAATTTCAGTGGTAATGCACACTGTTTAGATGATCAAATTTGATTTTTTATATTTTTCAAATGAAGATAATTATCACTAATATTGTGTATCATGTACATATCACAATATAATCAACAGATGTTTTTATTTCTTTGCAGAGAATATGCAGAGATTCGCTGGATTTGGCATTGGTCTTGCAAGTCTTCTCACTGAAAATGTCCTTTCTCATCCTTTCATAATGTTCAGGAGACAGTGCCAGGTAAACACTTATTGGCTAGAAAATCTTTTTTTGGAGTAAATGTGTAGAAGTGTGTTTTCAAAAGTCTTACATGTACGTATCAACATATTTTACAATTGTTGACAACATTTAGGGGCATGGTTTAAAACTATTGCCCAAAGGTAATGTCAAAACTGTGCTGTGCAACCTCTTGAAAAATTGTGTAAGAACAGCAGATACATTCTGAAATTTACTAATATCTATTTTTTCCAGTCTGCATTGAAGCCAGTATTGATGGCAAAATGTTTCTCCAAAATTCACATCTGTACCAGTCACTTATATTTTATGATGTAGTTGTTAGTCATAAATGACACTCAATACAAAAAATGTACTTCTTCCATTAAAATATGTACCAAATTATGTTCCTGTTTAAAGGGATCCGGTAACTTTGTCTCAGATTCTGAAACAAAATTCTGGATTTAGCTCATGGTCCAATGATAATTATAAACCTTTAGGTCAGTCAGGAACCCCATGACTTTTACAAGCCGATCGCCTGTCTGATTATCAAGATATTTATGATTGGAATTACAAATTTTGAAAACCGTTCGCCTGACGGTTTTCATAACACTACAGTCTATTGGGAAAAAAGAGTATAGTAAAACCGGTCACTCAAAGATTTTTAGTTTTTTGAGGCACTTCTTGATCATTTTGAAGCGCAATTTTTTTAGGGCTTCAATATAACACCACATCACAGACATTGATAACGCGTAGGGCCATGTATCTCAGATTTAACATTGTTAAACGATCCCTTTAAATAAAAGATAATAATATTTTTGTTGAATAGGGTGAAACACTTTAGAATTGTTTATTACCCTTTTATATTTGTTTGCACAGGTGAACCATCATGCCTACCGCTACCACATTCATCCCTTCTCAGTTCTACCTGTGATCGTTACACTACAGAGACAACATGTAAGAAATGAGATCTTTCTGAAGTTTTATTAGTGTTTCTGTACAGTACTGTCAGCTTGCTCTATTCTCTAGATCTGTATTTTCCTCTCTTCCATCCCACTTTTTCTGTATCTATCTTCCCCTCTATCTTTCTGTTCCTTTGTCTATCACTTGTTTCTACTTTTTCTCTCTCTCTTTGAGATGATTAACAGATCTGTTAACAAAATCTTTTGTGTTCCTTTAAAACAAAAAAAATTTGCACAAATTGTATTGAACCAGGTGCATTTGTCCTCACCTACATGTATCAAGGTTTGCATTTATGCAACATAATAATGATTATGATAATAATAATATAATTTTACAAAGTGTAGAAACTATGGAAATATATTCTACTTTGTTGCAAGAGCTAATGATCTGCTTAAAGATAAAGGTGAGTTCTGGTAAAAAAAAAAAAAAAGAATTCACACAGAATCAAACAAAACTTACACTGAATGTTCAAGATTACAAATAAATGTCATTTGCCCAACATTTTTAGTAGAAAATGATACTGGCTGAGTAATGAGCATAGAAAGATTAGGAAATCAAAGTTAGTAGCCCCAAAAACATTTGTGTAGTCCCATATACATCTTTCTGTGTACAGTGCTTGTTACTTTACCAAGACTGGGCCAAATTTATTAGGATTTTAATGACTCCAGAACTTTGCAGTACACACCAATACTTACATGCTACATGATCAACTTTTTCTAATCCATTCCACACCTTTTCTTTCACAATGCAATCAGATGACCTGAACTCACCTTTATCTTTAAAAAGTACATCATTGAGTTAAATGATAATATGTGCTTTTAGACAGTTTTATTTCAATTTAAAATTATTTTAATGATGGTGACTTGACTTCTATAGTGATTATTTCCTTTTGTAACAGGGTTTCTTTACATTGTGGAAGGGTATTGGCAGTGCATTCATGGTTCAGGGCATCAATCTAGGCAGTGAATCACTCATTAGTGAGTTTACACCGTTTCCAAGGTAACCAGCTTGTTTTAATTCATACTCACAATGTACTGCTAAGCCATGGGATATACATGTTGGCCAACATGGATATGTTGGGAAATGATCAAGGATTAATGATGAACTATGAAAAGCAGTACCAGTAGCTTGGACAATCTTGCACCTAAAGGCGTTGCTGAGCACTGGATTTTGTACAAGAATACCTACACTGAACCTAATCATTTTCTTTCTAACCTCTTTTGTAGGGGGGAAAAAGGCGTATTGTAAAATTCAAGAGTTTAATGTACTCTTGAAAATGATCTATTTAATATTCACCATGATTTTTAAATGGTATTAGAGGGAGAACGATATGTTCAATGTACATACATTACTGTTAAATCATCCCTGGTTCATGTAAGTGCAGTGCTTAATTAAGCCTATGCACGTGAAATTAGAGATGAATTGCTGAACATTATAGACTAAATTTTCAGGTACTACCACTACTTTTCTGCTCCTGCAACTTTTTTAGATACTGCAGTGTTTATTCTCAAGCTCACCTCGAGTACCGTATCTCATCTCTAATTTTATTAACAGGGAGATACATACATACAGCACACCGAGGCAGGTCGTAGGTCACATCGCACTCAAGACCATCAGTATGGCTATCACTACACCGTTCCTCTCGGCGAGTCTAGTGGAGTCAGTTCAGGTGAGATCATCAAATATCTTCCAAGAAATACTTAAAGCCAGTGGGTCGTCGAGTTTCCATGTGCAAAAGGTTCTAATTTGCTTGAAATACCATTTAATGGGTGTACAAGTCTGCACACAGCAAACCTGTAGGTCAATCAAGAAATATCCCAAGTCTCTCAGAGTGACTTTGGGTGAGGCAAATGTCAGATGAGGACATTACCATATATATGGGAAAAAGACCAAATATTACATAAAGCTTGTTGGTCATAAAACTTTAGGCTAATCCTGGTGATTGACAACACCTGTTATAGGGTAAACATCCGAACGATGTCGAATTCCCCATGGGAGTCCGCTTCTATGTGTCTTTAATAGTGATAATTATTCTTCTTATTCTCCTTATTTAGTTAACCTTGATGCTGGGTGGAATATGATATAGGCCTTGGTTCTTTATTTTTTTGTTAACTTGCCTTGAGAGTAAGCTTAAGCAAAGCATATGGAGGAATACCACCCATTAAAAAAACAGCTTTTTGTTAAGGAGATGAAAACTAATAATTTTCTTGTAGACAGAATTATGTATACCGGTATTCTTTTAAGAGAGATCAAATGAAATGAAAGGAAAAAAAAATCAATCAGTAAAATATAATATTAGTAACAGATGTGTTAATTTCGTGTAGCTGGTTTGTATTGAACACTAAAGTAGCAAAAGTGCCATGTGAAATAAAATATTGCCTTGTTTGAGAGTGGAAGTGTTTAGCTGGATTTGGATTTTTATTCAGAGAATTTTTTTTTTTTTTTCACTTCATGCAAATCAATGAAGGATGAATGTTGGTAAAGAGTAAATTGATGTGAGGAATCAAAAAGATGTCAATATTTTCTTTCGTAGATAATCCTGTATCACTCAAGTCATTTTGTTTATTTGATGCAGAGCGATATAGCAAGTGACAGACCTGGTGTGTTAGACTGCATCAAGGAAGGGTTCCTTCGTCTGACGGGATGGGGTACATCTTCCACCCGTCTCCTCCCCATCTACACCCTCCTCCTACCCACCGTTTTCCACGGTGTCGCCAAGTACATCATCACCTCCACCGTGCAATACATCGTCCTCGCCATCCACAAGCAGAAACTCCGGGAAGCCGGCCGCGACCGTCTCGACGCCCCCGCGACCCCAGGCACCATGAAGGAAGCCTACTTTCCAGAGTTGGTAGCAACGTTTGCCGGGAACCTGACCGCGGATGTTCTCCTGTACCCCCTCGCCACCCTCATGATGAAATTACACGTGCAAGGCACAAGGACAATTATCGATAACACAGACTTTGGAAAGGGCGTCGTACCCATCAGCACGAGATTTGACGGACTCTCCGACTGTCTCGCGCATATATTGGAAGAGGAAGGGGTTGAAGGCCTTTTCAAAGGCTTCGGTGCTGTTGTCCTGCAGTACGTCATGTATGCGGCAATTTTGAAATTGACGCACTTTGTTTATCAGACACTGATGGAGGACTTTGTGCCGCCGCGAGATAACAGGTCGTGATGACCGGTCATGTCTTGCCATGGTGATTTGAAGATTTCGTCATCGGTGCTTTCATAATCATAGACTGAGAAAATCACTTTATATCAGATATTGATCACAACATTGAATACATATCATGATAACATCATCGCATCAGATAAGTCTGAGGTATTTTGTACCATTTGTTACCAAAACAAACGTTTGGTATATGTGGTAATTGTACTTGTTGATATAAATTGAAATCCCTACTATTGCATGGATCAAACCAAATATCAATGGAAATGATGCATTCACCCTTAATTATTGTTGCATTTTCTTCATACTTGGCAACATATGAAATATAAAATGACCTTATCTCTTGGACTTGCCCATATGTATACGGTAACTGAATATCAATTGGTCATAGAAAATTGTAAAAATGATGTCTTGTGTGTCATGAAAATATATTGATCATGTTAATGCCCATTAGTGGAACCTTGTGCAAGGGACATAGACCCACTGAAAATAAATAGTAATTTATTTTATGTTTCAAAAACAGCTCTGTAACTTCTAAAAATTATGATGGTAGGAAAAATTAGATATATTGCTGGTTCCCAAAGGTATATCAGAGTTATTTGAAAGATTATTTATCCATAAATGATATTATTTAACAAACCCTTCATCAATAAAGCATGTACATTTGTGATTGTATTAGATATCACAAATCCTATGTTTTGAAAGCAGATAAGTTCTATCAGATTGAAAGTCACCATGCCAATTTTGTTATACCTATTACGCATTTTCTAAAAAGTTGTCACAGATATATGTATTTTCTTTTGCTTGCTGGCTTTGTTTTGCTTATACAATACATCATTTTGGTTTACAGATCAAATCTGTTCATGTCGATTTGTTGCAATGCGTGCGATAAATACTAAAATTCAGAATCCTGTAGATCAACATTTGAATATGTAGATAATGTAATCCTATAACTATAAGTGAAAAAGAATAAAAGGTGATAATATCATGCAACCTATGATGGCTGAAAGGCTTGCTTTGGCCCTTTGAAAGACTTTGTATGGTAAATTAAAATTGTAATTCTAAATTGTGTTAAGATGAGATCATGAGAAAACAGTATAAGAAATTGAAGCAATTACCCAATTGACTGTCATCCCCTTTGATATCTGCACTAATATACAGTTTATTTTGCCATTTTTGATTATCGTTACTGAAAAGTTGAAGTATACCGTCATACAGTTAATTTACTCTTCCTGAAATACACCACATCCTTATGGCCATTCTGTATGTTGGTATCCAATTTGTCATTATCTTCTGTGTTCATGTATATGATTACATGTTATAGAAAAGAAACAAATTATGAAAGAGGAAGATATTTATGGTTGCGATAAGGAGTTCCCTTACATGTCTGTAATTGCATGCTCTGTGGGTTGTACTCTGTTATAAAGAATGGATTTTATTTACTGCTATGCTGTTAAGGTCCACATGAGGTAATTTTTATGCCTCCGCCCACTAAAAGTGGTGCCAGCCAGAAGCTTTCAGTTTTTAATGCTACGCAATCACGCATCCCAAAATAAATGCTTGCCTATTGAGATCTTTCATCTCATTTTGGATGTTACAAATTGTGTGCATTGTCATTTGATGTCTACATCATCGTTTTGAGATTTAAAAAAAAAAAATGGAACATTCATGATACATGTAATTTCCTGGCCGTTGGAGAAGTATCTTTTTATGCAGCTTTATAGTAGTCATTTAAGGAATCAAACCCTTTTGAATTGATGCAAAATTCATATCATTGCGAAGGGGAAGCCTTACTGATCAAATATAACAACATCCCTCTTCAAAATATTTTTGGGGCCCGCAGTAATAAACTCGAAAATGTTAATTTTGAGATCCAGATTTCTTGCTTTCAGCGGTCCTCCGTCGAGCGTTAAGATTCGTGACATCACATGCGAATTACAGCTAGCCACAAAGCAGGATTTTACGCCTTTCCATAATATCTACATGATTTTTCAGCAAATTATTCTTGTTTTTCAAGAGAAAATGTTTCCATCCATATATAATTTGTCCATAATTATCAGTTGTGAATTTCCTTCGGGTGACTACTTTAAGTATGGTGTAAAAATTTGTAAGACCCTTCTTCATCATACATGAAGCCTTATCAGATCTCAGGGAAGGACATTGTAACCTTCTTATTTGTGCGATTTCACCCTATGCTAACATCTGTATTAAGTTTCTACAGTTTAAGACATTTCAAAGTTATGTGTATGCTGCTGTCCAACATTTTTTTGTGCAAAGAAAATGTTTTATACCGGAATTCCACCAACAATACCGACACCAGACCGACAATAGACCAACCAAAAAACATTTATTACCCATATTGCAAAAAATCAGTTGATTTGGAGTCGGTGTGGAGTCACAGACAGCGGTGAGGTATAATGTGAGAGTAAATTGCATGTCCAGTGGTGTAACATGAAGTATTGTAGTCTAGTGGATGGTGTACTTACACAGAGACATTGGGTCAACAGGTCAGCTGTGACCAGGGTTTGCGTAAATTTGTTAACCCTTGGTCCAAATTGAGCATACCTGGGAAATGATTGGTGTGGACATATCTATTACTGTGTCAGTACCCTTGTTGAAGGAGATTTCACCCTTGGGTGTTTTCTTTCTTAAAAAACCCCACGTTTGGTTCGAGTACTGTACGTGATCCGAGAACCTGAATCTTTATTTGCCACTAAGAGAGAGAAGATGTGGAGGGCTGCAGAAATCGAAAAGACCAGTTCACAGCAATTTTTCTCAAAATAGTGGCCGCTTACCACCACTTTATAGTTTCCTAAAGTATTTGATGCCAAGTCAGGTAGCCTCGGGCAAACTTGAGGTCATCATGAGTAACCATTATAATAAAGGCATGCATGAAATTTGAGAATGTTTTGCATAAAATTTGAAGACATTTGTAAGCTGTGTAATATTTTATATTACTATCTATGGAAACCAAAATATGGTGCCAAGAAATGGAAAGATGAGAAGAAAACAAAATAATGGTATCTACTTAGAAATCTAATTTCTCATGTCACTTTTTACCATTTGGCCCATGTGTAGCAAGATTCTATGGGAGATACAACTTTATACATGATGTATGGAATTACATATACATGTATATGGAAATAAAAATTACTCATTGGGGAAATCCCATCGATGACATGGGACTTGATTTACATGTCATTAAAATGAAGCAATTTACTATTAAAAGACAGTATGATTCATTTGTATTTGATTGAAAGATGGTAGATGGATGGTCGTGAGTTGGATGTTGTTCTTATATTTTTTTTTGCTTTCTTTTATACACCTGTATTATGTATGAAACTAATTAGAAAAGTTCTTGTGTAGATTGTAGAGAGATAGACAGACAAATCAGGGAAAGAGAGATGGAGAGAGTGGAGGACATATACGAAGAGTATGTGCACATTAAGATATGTGTAAGAGGAAGAGATTCATGAAAAATGTGACAGAGATGAGAGAGAGAGAGAGAGAGAGAGGGGGGGGGGGGGGAGATGTGTAGAGAAGTGAGTGAAAAAGGGCATGTATCGTTGTAAAATCCTTGATGATAATGCCACTGCAAGTTACAGTGTTTAAATACATGTATGTAACCCTACATTCCATTGGCTTACATTAAATTATTGTGTCGCATCGCGTCTGGTCGGGTTACCAGACTTTTTGTGAAAACGTGCCCCTTTATTCAAAAACAAATAAACCCCTCTCATCTACAAATGGTCTGGTCCAATTTACAAGACACTTTGTCTTGTTTTCGTTTCACAAAAGGCTGTGTAACGGAACCACCAGACCGGACGCGAGGACTCCAGGATTCGAAGTAAGCCCATTTCATTTATGAATTCTAGATGTGGTGCAAACTCAAATTCAAAAGCTTTCATGATTTTTGTCTTTCATATTCATCTTTGGAATTCATCTTACTATCCAAAGTTTCCAAACTTTACAAGGAGCAAAGGGTCAATAATTTGTCAGAGTAAAATTGCCAGGGCCGAGCATCACTAGAGGGATGGCATGACACTCCATTCAAGTATTGCGCCAATCACCAAAAGAAATTTTGCAAGGGGTTCCATGTCACTATACTGTATTCAAAATTTAAGCTTCAAACATTAATTATACAAATAGATATTGCTGTTTAAAATGATTCCATGACATTTGCTCCGGCGACAATTGCTCCGCTGTAAATTTCATACACTAATCGAATGGCTAACTTCAACCCTGGATTCAACACTATACCCTACCCTAAACCTAACCCTAAACCTAACATAAAACCCTATTGAAACCCTAACCCTAACCCTACATCTTAGACGAAATAAAGCCCGGAGCAATTGTCGCAGGAGCAAATGTCGTGTCACCGTTTAAAATACCCCAGCGAACAGCAAAATGTTGTGGAGTAGACTACTTAACGCATGTGAATGCACTTGCATATAATAGGGCGGGCACACAGAACCCTGGTCTGACTTGGGTTCTGTGCAAGCCCTTTACACACGGTTTCATGTTATCCATTATATTCTTTATACTCTCCTTATCCGTATACCTAAAGAATGACAGGCAAAGTTTTTTTTTTGTTTTGATTTTTTATATATTTGATATACATAACAATTATTTTTTAGTTTATTGATATGCTTTGAGCGAAATTGCAAGTGTGTAAACCCAATGTTTTTCTTGTAGGAGGAAAATCTTTCACAAACTTGTTGGCATTATTTGTCCAATATCCCATCCCCATTACTTGGAAAGTGTAAAAACACCCTAAAAACATTACCTTACAGAACTCACAATGGATATACATGTAGCTTAAATTTACCTAGATATAATTTCCAACAAGGAAAAAGAAGAAGGAAAGAAATAAATAAATATATAAGTAATAAAGGGAAAACAGCTAAGAGGGAGAGCAATTAAGAGACAGAGCAAGAAAGAGGAGAAATAAAACCAATGAAAATAATTAAAAACAAGCAAAATGCACAAATATTCCTTTTCACAGGCACAGAACAAGGCTTATTTATTATCATTTTCATACAATGATATAACTTTGTATCTTGCATTCTTTTTATACAACAGCTATTTCATGTGTCTGTAAATACAACTGACACATGTATAAATGGTGTGTGCTCTTTTCTTTATACAGCAAATTTTGGTACAGAAATGACTTTTATATAATCCAGCTCCAAATTTGTTAGATGTCCAGATGTTGAAACCAGCTAAATTACAAAATTAAAGTTATTTGATAACTACACAATTATATACTTTACAACTTCAGAAATCACAAAATAATAGATTTAGGATAATACAACAGTTTGGAGACATCTATCTTTATTAGTGGGCCACCTGTTTATAGTGGTAACTATTATTGCCCCCTCCAGATAAAAATATCAACTGTTTTGGAACCAGATGAGCACCAACTCATGTATTTTAATACGGATGCTTCTGGTTAAAAAAATAGATAATATGAATGACGAACGTCATCTAGAAAGGTCATTTTTTAACAGTAGCCACATTCACGGTTTCCTTCATCTGGCCAATATAGACAGGTTTCATGGTATTTCAAAGGTGACTAAATTTAATAGCTAAATGGTGAGTTCTTATTCTTATTCTTATATTCTGGTTCCCTCTGGTACAAAGTCCTTCCTATGTGACTTTGTGAAGTACCCGGCCACACAAGCAAGGGGAATGCAACGTATCACTACATTACGATGAATGCAATATAAATATATTGATGATATAAGCACTAAATTTATTTTCATTTCAAATTCAAAACTCATTCTGCTATTTAGATTTAATTCTTGCTGAATTATTAAATCGTAAGGTGGGCATGGGACGAACAATTAAACAATACTCTGATTACAATGCCTGCATTGAAATAATCATCTTAAATCTCATTAAAAAAACTACACACATATGTGAACATTTTCTACAGTGATATTCTCTTTTTCACATTCATGGAACATGGTAAAGATCAATTCTTTACATATACCTTGATATACGATGCCAGAAAGGTGCTAACAATTTTTAAAAGCATTCGGGCTCTCACTTGATCGTTTCCAGGACTTTAAAAAAAGATATATTTTTGGCCTTTACGGTATACAACAATATTCCCTAAATTCTGAGTACAATTCTTTTCTCTTTTAAGAGATAAAACATTGTATGCTTGGTAATAATAGTTTCATTCAGTGAATTATAATTCATTGGTGAAATAAAAAGGCTGTTAAACATGAACAAAATATACAAATACAGATATGTTTAAAACCATGATAGAAGCGTGAAGGGAAATATTGAGAGGATCTTGAGAACAGCTCAAATGGAGAAAGAAATGAATTCCTACAAAGACGATTAATACGTCTATTTCAGAACCGAGAGTCTGAGATATGTCTTCATATAACTCATTGGAAATAAATTGTTATAGGAAAATAAGATCTCCAACAGATTGTATTTTTTTTTTTTTTTTAATCATCATTCTTGTTTTAGGAAATGGATACATCAAAGTGATATATCTTTCTATTTTCAATCTCCTTCCCATTAGGAATATCACAATTTTGAAATTATTTAGTAAAACATCTCTTTTTTTAATATCCATTTCCAAATTGAAACAAGAGTTATCATCACTCGCTCATGAGCACTGTTAGGAACCTTATCCATTTATCTCAACACTTTTAGAGGACCTTCAAAATATAGGAAAAAATGAGCAAAGGAAATGATATACAGGTAAGACATTAAAATATAAACATAACAAGCACAAACGTGGATGGAAAAGCTACACAAAAAACATAGATAAAGCAATTATAACCAATATAGCTTTGTACACAGAAATATAACTTTTTAATAAGAATCATAAAATGGATAACTTTTTGAAGTAAATGCACTGTAAGTGACATGAATGAAATGAGTTGTATCAAATGATATTCACAGCAAGTAAATACAAACAACCCAGATATATTACGGAAGTGTAGACGAACAAGAAAAGCAAATAATAGTTATGCATTGGGCTCTATAATATGACTCCACATTCTTGCTCACAATAAGGCCTTAAAAAAAAGATGTTGTATTGCCGTTTAGGTGCCAAAACATGAGTCGGTTGGTTGGTCAGAGATCTTTTTTTCTTTTTTAAAAACTTCTTTTTTCTTTTTTTCTCCCTCTTTGGGCTGATATTTCTCAGTTTTGCTTTAATATTTTGTTTCTCTGAAAAGGTGGTTTAAAAAAAAAAAGACCATAGATTTCAAGATTTTTGGGTCCGTCGCAGAGGGCAATACCACATCTTTTTATTTTAGGCATAATATTTGCTCCAGATTCTATTATGATTAGTTCTTTGGTTTGAAATGGGATTCAGATTGAGTTCAGGTTTAGCGTTATGGTTAGGTCTTATGTTGGATCAAGGGTTGAAGGCAGGAATTTGACTAGAGTTAGAAATTGACCTATGAGCAATTGTTGTTGAGCCTTTGTAGTACAATGCACAGAAACAAGTTTTCAAACATCTCATCCTCATAACCTTTGATACATATGTACTTATAATGTCATAAATATGCCACAATTGCTAAGAAACTACCCGGTAGATTATGAGCCAACAATCTTGGTTAAAATTTATGATATTTTGAGCAATGTAGAGAGTTACCTCTAGATGTAAATATTCAAACACAAAAGGAATAAAATATTTGACCGTTCATAAAACTCCTTTTACACAACCTTACGCAAATTAGATGTAAAAAAAGCAAAATAACTACTTGTTTTTGTGAATTGGCAGTCATTATTTTTTGTTTTTTTAAAAACATTGCTATATACTGAAATCAACTTTAATCATCTTTATACTGTCATTTGAAAATGATATACATTTAGAGCAAACACTGGTATCAACATTCAGCTGTTTACAAGTCGATGAAATGAACTTTAACCTCTTGTATCTTGAAAAATATATATCCTGAATTCTACACCAATTTATTATCTGTACAAGCTATGAGTATGAGGTGATACAAATGATGCTATACATGTCAAACTAGAGTATCGTGAATTCATTATTTAAGCCGCAACATATGTATGATCCAACTACAACCAGATTGGGAAAGATTCATGTACAGACAGTCAAACCTGTCTATAAAGGCCACTTGAGGGGACAAAGAACAAGTGGCCACTGTAGACAGGTGGCCTTTCTAGAGAGGTGACCACTATGAGGCAGGTTTTACTGTACATGTATATGATTGGGAGAGTCACACCGAGATCGACAACGGACCGAATACATATTTTCGCATTGTAACCAAATTTGTAAAACGTCTCAATACAAATCATTTCATTCACCAGTTACAAATAAATGTATCTCAATGCTCAGAATTCAAATTGAATACATATTTTGTTGCTAGATAGGACAAACATTATGGCTTGCCCTACCTCACAACACATAACATATGCAATTTGCATTCTGACTTTTGAAATACAATTATTTGTAACAGTGATTGAAATAATTTGTATCGAGGTACTTTTAAGTAGAAATTTAGTTACATTACGAAAAAGGCCCATTCTACTCATTATCTATCATTTTAATTGTTGAATCACCAGCACAGAGAGAGAGAGAGAGAGAGGGGGAAGGAGGGAGAGACAGAGAGAGAGAGAGAGAAGGGGGGGGGGGGGAGGGAGGGAGGGAGAGAGAGAGAGAGAGAGAGAGAGAGAGAGAGAGAGGACATGATTTTGTGTTTGTCTTCACTCTCAAGTGGCTTGTAGTAGACGTTGCTTGGTGTGAGAATCAAAAGTACCATATACATGTAGACTATCACAGGTACTCTGTTAAGTGTTATTCATACTCTTCGTTATCTACAAAGCTCCAGATACTTACAGCATAGTCACAAACAATTCAAATCATATACCGGTATGACATATATTGCTGTAGGTGAATAAGGCAAAAAATAAAGTGATTTCATTTCAAGCAATAGGTTTGGTATTGTGAAGTACATACTCATATGATATGAATAAATGCTGTATATCGTATTGTATATGTACCTATAGCTGTACAGGTTGATAAGTATTGAAAATGCCTAGGGTATGTACGTCATAAAATTGTTACGTATACACAAAAGAATACATGCTTTAGCAGCATGACATGACACACACTTTGAACACACCGGATCATTCATTTATTATCAAAGTTCATAGGTACGAATTCTTTAAGTATTTTACGACCAAAATATGCATTTCCTAAACCAACATGCAATGCCTAAATGGTGATGGGTAATAAATGGGGTATGTTTGTAAGAATCTAGTTTACCCATGTATTACTTGAATCAGCCGAGCACAATTGAGTGAGTCTGTTGAGCAGAAATATGTTTCCCTTATAGATACAATGATACTTGACTTAAAGATGTAAGAATGATAGTACATGTATGTATTCAAACAGGGTGTAGACTAAATACATTCAAGACATTGCGACACTCTATCAAAATAAAAACATGTTTTTAAAGACAGTTGATATCAAAGGAATAGAATCAGCGTGTGAATAAATGTTTCTCTCAATCTATAACAGCATATATTTATTCAAGCGAGAAAACACATCTTTAAAGAACATCAGGTTTCCTTCCGTATCACCACCTTGTTTAGCCTTCGCTAGCCCATGGTAAAAAATAATAGACCATATTCTGTGTACAACACCTGTAAACGTCCAGAGTATAAAAATAACTGGTTATAAAAAGAGCATACCACTGGTTTTATGATATGTAAGAACTGCTTGCCTGTATAAAGCTGTTTTTTTTATATATTTATATTTGTATATATAGTCTATCTGTCCTCTGTTGGTTTGCAAATAGTGCTTTGGTTTGATGTGAAGGTCAAAGGTCACAAGCCCTCGTCTTCTTCTTCAGTTATGATTTCTCTGTGCTCCGGTCTCTGTATGATTAAAAACATAAAAATTGAGAAGAGTAAATAAAAAGAATGAACAATATATATAAAATTCCCCAAATACAGTTAAACCTGTCTACAGCGACTGCCCAAGGGAAACACAAAAAGTGGCCTTTGTAGACAGGTTCCTTAAGTGCATGTTTCAATGAGAAACCATTTTCAAGGGAAACAAAAAATGTGCTTGTTGTAGAAAGGTGGTCACTAAAACAGGTTTGACTGTAGTATAACACATAGAATAAAACTGGTTGAATAGAATTTAAACAATTCGGAAAGCATTCCAAATAATTCTCCTTCCCAGGAATGATGTAGACCATATTAATTTTTTATTTTTAATTCCTGATGAATGACAGGAATGAAAAGAATCTGCACTATTTCTATGGGAAAATATATTTCATCCCATATCAAATTTTTGTTGCTATTCAAGATTTTCATCATTCATTTAAGGAGACACAATGTAAGGTCATTCTGAAGATAGCCATTTAATTTTTTCAATTTTTTGTGTGAAAAGAAAAAAAGTGTTTAAAAATAAACAAAAAATACAGGGAAGAGAAAGGTAGTTATAGAACAGAAGAGACATTATTTCTGGAGGGAGTTTTGAAAGGAACTTTTGGTATTCTCTGACAAATGAGAAGACAAAATATTTTTAACGCAAGCGTGTTCCCATTCTCCATTGTCAGGACAGTGCTAACTCATGTGATTAATACTGTCACAGCTAGAAGGAACATTAATGAAATGATAAACTCACTCTATGTAATTCCTCCTCTTCCTCCTCTCCATCGTCCTCTTCCTCCTCCTCCTCCTCTTCTTCTTCCTCCTCCTCTTCCTCTTCTTCCTCCTCCTCCTCTTCTTCTTCCTCCTCTTCTTCTTCTCTGTGATTGGTTGGTTGTTGTCCATTACCACGATGGTCATTTTCTCGACACCACTCCCTCTCCTTTAGCACCCTGGCGAAGCACTCGTTTAGGAATTCATACTGAAATACAAGAAGGAAAAACACAATATCAAACGTAACATATTTTAAAAAATGTATGCAGCATCCAACTAAATAACTTCTGGGCCCTGTTGCTTAAAACTTACCATTGATGTTAACTTTACCATGGTAACAGGGCTCAACAGCCAATCAAAATCAAGGTTTCCATGGTAGTTACCATTGATGGCAAAGTTACCATCAATGGTAAGTTTTGTGCAACGAGGCCCATTTCACTATTTCATATCCTTACTGATTATTGAAAGGTAAAATAATATTGTTATTAAGATCTGATATCAAACTCTAATTCAGCAACAATTATGTGGCAACCATAACAACCATATCCCCAACATAATGACACACCACCAATATTAACGGGTATTCTGAAAAAAACAGAACAATTGTTTAAATAGACCAGTTGCTATGTCAGAATGTCTAAATGAGGAGGATGCTCGAGACAACGAGGAGTGGAGGTAGGGAGTGTCTTGTTGGCGTGAAAAGTTGAGCATAAAATTTGAATATACATTCAACAGTGAACTGGGCCCTGTAACACAAAGATAAGTTGCAATTGACCATGATCAGACCTTCCAACATTTGAATTTCGAAATTCCTATTATTTTTTATTAATTTGTGGCACGTCGCGCCATGTCTGGCTTATCAAGAAATATGCATCATGCAGCTACCCAACACACATCTTGATGTTGGGCTCATTAACATGTGATTAACAGATTGTTTAAAGAAGTTTCAAATTGGATTTTAAAACAATCCAGGAAAACCTGAATAAAAGAGAAGATTATTTCTTCACCAATGTATTATTTTATTTTTTTGTGGGAAAGCAGAAAAAGAAAAATAAACTGGAAATTTTCGCCCAAAGCGGAAAGGTTGGGAGGTCTGCATGATGTACAATGAACTGATTGTAAGATCGATCATACATTCAATCATACAATCAATTGCTTGGTTTTGTGTTACATGGCTAGGGTCTACTGGAATGTCAAACTTTTAAAGCGAAATAATTGTGACAAGTTGAGCTACAATCCTGTGATGTGATGTAATGGGTCAAAGATGCTTTACACTGGCATGGGTCAAGACCTGAAACACCTCGGATACATCCTAAACTTAGGGTGCCCAATTTTACCCAATTGCTAAGAAAGCATGTGGATACATGTTAGTAAGTAACCAATGGCTTTAGGTCCTTCCCGAGGAACTTGGCAATGAGGACTAATGCATTACCAAAGGGCACCAGCGCATCGACTTGATTTCTAACCTGGGAACTCCAGGTTAAGAGACCACTGCTCTACCACTGAGCCATCATGCCTCACTTTACCCTTTCATAGTGGGAGTTAGGCACCTATGGTCTGGACCTTAAGTGCCCCAACTCCTGATGTAAATGGGGCATGACTCATTGGAATTAGACAGAATAAAACAAAAGTCATGAATGACATTTAACAAAATTCTCCCCTTTCAAGTAAGAAAATTGGGAAAAAATTGGGGGAAAAAAAGCGTAAAATCAGGAAGAAAAAAAAAAATTGGAAAAAAAAAAGAAAAAAAAAGAAAGAATTAAATTGGGTAATTATAAGGCCTGTATCTTACGTATTTGGTGAAGACTCTGACCCATCTTGGTTTCTTTCCAGGCTTGGTGTACTCAAAGCAGAACACCATCCCTTCCTCGTCCGTCTCGTACTGAGAAATCTCATCCCATTCAAATGAAGGAGCTTGGGCCTGAACGTCAAGGATGGAAAACATAAATCATTTGGTTTCAAATCATTTCCGGCAAAATAACTACATCATTTAGTGTATCCAAGCAGATACAATAGTAATAATTATATACCTCTCTTTAGAAATCTAGCCATCTGATTGGTGGAAATTGGAGTCGTGATTTTAGCCATGCCAGCCTACTGGTTAATAGTCTTTAAAAAAGATGCCCGCATTCCCGCCTACAGGTTATTAGTCCTTAAAAGATGCCCGCATTCTCGCCTACCGAATAATAGTCTTTTTAAAAGATGCCTGCATGCCCCGCTTAACAAGCAGCATAAATAAATTTTGATGAGATCCCCATTGGTTTACGTGTTGAAAGTTTTTTTGTACGAGCACGGATACAAAATATAGTGCAGTGTGTGTGTGCGATTCCCGAATGATCTTAACATTCAGGCAACTTTCCAGGGAAGATTTACAGACAGTGTCTCAGATTTTCTGTGATGTTTTAAACAGTCTTTACTCAAAAAAAGGATAAGGTAAGAATTCTTTGTAGATTTTTTGTGTGAATTCGGTAAATACAATATATCTGGACTGCTTTAATATTCGAAGCATAACTGTTTCTATACTGGCTCTCTGGGACGTTACATCCTACTATGACCCTTGAGCCTATAGAAACAGTGATGTCTCTCATAGCAGTCAATTTTTGATATATCTATACTATATTATTTAGTGTATCAGAGTAGAGTATAATAGTATACAAATATACAATGACACTCGAGGATCTAGTTGAAACTATTCGCATCGAAGGAACATCAACTAGTACTATTCTCCCGAGGGCCATCGGCCCGAGGGAGAAAAGTACTAATGATGTTCCTGAGTGCGAATAGTTTTAGCTTGTTCCGAGAATGAGTCATTTTATATTTGTTTTATATCCCTTCCATCTGTATTATTCCTTGTACACTTCTGTAATAACATGAACCTTATACTCACATTCACATCTACATTCAGATCGAAAAGAAATAAAGAAAATTGCACGGCTCAAATGAAACATTGAAGGATGTAAAAAATGTTTAGCTGGCGCTAGTGTAGTGCAGTTATCGCACAGCGTAAATTGCATATGGCTTGAGCGCCGTGACACCGCAGGGGTTGACCGCGCAGAGGCACTTTGAAATCATGTACATGTACGCGCTCGCTGGGAAAACGCATAGTTAAAGAATATGCGTTTTTTTATTGTGACGTCACGCATAGTACCTTTTTTCCCTAGGGAAAAAAAGGTACTATGCGTGACGTCATCAATAAAAATGAACTATTTCGATCTAGTCGGCAGGAAACGTCTTTTACAGTAAAACTATTCTTTTTCTTGTTGTGTACACACCTAATGCAACAACCTTACGATAAGGGATATAATAATAAATATATCTTCTAGGGTATTCCTCACACATCACCTACCTCTAAGGTGCCGTCCTCCTTGCAAGCTTGTAGCGTAAACTTCTTGTAGCTGACCGAAGGGATCACATGACCTGACTTCTTGGCATCACATGAACAATGAGGGAATACCATCATACCGTAACCGTCAAGACTCCTCGCAATTTTTAAGTACTGGAAGAAAATAAAAGAATGGTTTAAAAAGGGGTAAAAAGTACTCCGGTACTGGAGCTCAAATTCTTAAAAAAAGATAATTTACAAAACACACCTAATTTATATCAAATCACCTTCATTCTCTACTAGCATTTGTAAAACTTTTCCAATGCAACACTTTCAGGACAGTACAGACCTACATGTATATTGACCTGAATATTGAGTATTACAAAATGTTGGGGAAAAAAACTTTCAGTAATTCTGTTGTACATCACATGAAGCTAATAATTCTTTCCCAAAACTCAAAATGATAAAATAGGCAAGGAGATTTTGTTAACATACTAATCATGTATTCCAGTACAGGTGATCAAATTCAAATAAGCACCTTTATGAAAACACAGCACATCTATATTTAGTAACATTTCAAAGTGCGGGGAAAAACTTTAAGTAATTCCATCGTATGTAATGTGAGGATAGATAACTCTTTCCCAAAACTCAATATTGATAATCTTAATCAGCAGATCATCAAAAAAAATTAATGCAAAAAAAAAAAAAAAAAAAAAAGGTACTGCAAATTAATTTTCGACAATTCCCCCCTCCCCCTAAAGGAACAACAATGTATCATATTGGCTTGGCTCTAGTTCACTTTTAAAAGTGATCAAAATTGGGTCGGTCTCAATCAGATCCTCCTTGATAAACCCTAGCATCCTGTAATAGTCGAGACTGACTCTGATTCTCGTATACTATTTCTTCTCTCAGGAACTGATTGGTGACGTAACTGAATATTACTTCATTCTTCACAATCAATAGAAAAATTGCCTGTTTTAGTAAGCTTTCACTTGAGTGCAGCAAGCTTCTTCAGATTTATGTCGTAGCTGGCGCTGTTGCTCAAGCAGTATGACAATTTGGTAAAATGAACCATATACTCTTTCTTCAACGTCAATCCTATTTTATAAATTCCATCGTACTGCATCAGCAACAGTAAAGGAGCTTACCAAAACGGGTCATTTTTCTACTGACTGAAAAAAGAACTAATTTTCAAATTCACTTAAAGCCCCACTGTACTACATGTAGCTACTTGCTCCCTCTATATAGAAAACAATGCCTAATCAGTGACCATTGGTCCCCCATGATCCTCTTTTTCTTATGATAATTGAGAGCTGAGTTGATGACATAGCTACATGTCAGAGACCACCCTGGGTTGGCTAATACCTCCTAGCCAAACTAGTACAGATGGGCTTTAAATCCATGAAGACTGTAACTACCATCCTATAACACAAACAGTTTAACCACTGACTTAACCCAAGTGATCCAACACACACGCTCAGTCTTACCTGTAATTTATTTTCTTTATCCTGATGCACCTTCAATTCGTACATGGTTACCGATGGACATTTCACCCGATTCTGTGAAATGTCGCTAATCGCCTGCAGCAAATGAACAAAAATTGGAGGAAGAGGGAAAAAAAAGAGAAAACAATCTGATAACTCTTTTGTAGAAATTTGTCACTTTGAGCACTCACAGTGGTTTTGGGTTACCTTTGTTGATGTCTTCAGGCTATATGACGATGAATGGCGTATCGTTTATCCTCGACAAGATTGGTACGGTAATCTATACTGTATAGCTTTACCACAGTGGTTTTAAAATACGAAAGTTGAGTCTTGGTCATGTAATTTCATTGTTTAGAGTTTTGTTGAGTTGATTAGCAAGGTAGTCCACATTTGAAATGACTACATTGGAAAATATTATTGCTCAGTTTTGGAATCATTAATTATATGACAAATGACTCAATACTACGAAGAGCTCAACGAAAAGCACTGCACATAGATATGGTTACGTGGGACTACAAACATAAAGGCATCAAAATTTAGTATTTTTTTAAGGCATTTTCTAGTCATATTTGGAATATGATGCATTCAAGAGCAATCCTATTCATCCTAGGAAGGGGGGGGGGGACAGAAAAACTCATAAATCATTTATCACCGTGACCACAACTCAACTTTCCCTTTAAGTACATCTCCGAGAAATGTGATCTGTTGGGCACTGAGCAGCCAAAGAAAAGTCCAGTTCAAACCAATTGGGATCAACGTCTTTTAGGAGCAACCTTAAATCCCATTTATTCAATTTAGCGTTTTGAAGACAGACATTCATTCATTCTTTCATTTTTCTATTTTCTTTTTTATGTTAATGTACACGATTCTTTGTCATGATTTAATGTGTTTCCTAATATTTTGAAGCGCTTTGAGCATTTAATTAAAATGTAAAATGGCGCTATATAAATCTCATGTATTATTATTATTATTATTAACAAACAGATTTCTGTGTGCAATATGTGTAGGACCCCCCAAAAATTAATTTGCGACATTTCTTTGATGAATGAGCAAAATAGTCCACATTCTAAGTGACTGTTTTTTATGATTATTACTAACGATGTATCACATGTTTATTGCACTAACAGAAGGTGACAAATAATTCGGAACACCCAACAGCCAGAAATAGATTGTTTGTTGCACATTATTACCGTAACTTGTCTGAAATCATTACACAGAGGATATGAAGGGATAAAGGGTTGTCCACTGCCTATATCAATTTAGTAGAAATAAACAAGACTGAAATGGTGCTTTCATTACTGTGCATAGCCATTAGCATTTTTTCTCTATAAAAAGTACATCATTCCGAGAATTCAAAGCAAAAAACATCTCAATGAACTGATGAGGTTCTATCTTTCTATCTATTGGCCGTTGGGGCGACAATGAAATGGACCGTAACTTCCTGTCTTCAGATTCCCAAAATGAAAACAAGCACTTAGTTTGTTTCCCAATGGAGTTCCAACATTTCAAGATCATTGATGGAGGCATTTTACACACCAACATAGCGAATCAACAAGTGAAGCTGTGTCAACAAAATGAGACAAAATATAAGAGACCAACAACTTTCCTTTCAGGCAAACAAAATTCCCTAAAATTCCATAATTTGTTGTGATTTCCTCAATTTCCCTGATCTTTACCTAACTGGAAAAAAAATGAAGAGAGAATACTCATTTTCCAGGTTACTTCTTTCTTTTTCAGATTTGGGAAAACAGACCTATGTTTTAGTGATATTTTTGTAAAAGATGGGACCCATGTTCAGGGATTTTTTGTGAAAAAGTAAACCATTAGAGCGGCACACCCCGCATGTCTTAATATGTGAGTAACCCCCTCCCCAGGAGTTATTTTCACCATTCACTGCACACTTCTTTACCCATGAAAAATGGATAAGGCACATTTGATAACAGGATATTGCGTGTTCAATTGAGTTGACTCTATTCCCTTGCATGTAAAACCATCACACGATAGTCTGATTGAAATCTTGCTAGAAATCACATTTGTTGAAAAGCATAACTCACATTTCCGCAAATGAGATCAAGTGTTGTGCACATACATGGTACTTCTACTTCATTTTCTTACATTTCTTTTGATTTTTTATAAGGTCTTTCACATTTTCTACAAAGATTGTTGAAAAGATATCATGTATTTGAAGCCTTTCAAATTCAATGTAAGTTTCATGGGATTTGGGGAGAACTTATTTTCCACCATTATCAGAACTCAAGATTATCTTGAAATGTTGAAAACCCTAGGCTTTAGCGGTCTGTTATCTAAATACCTCTGTTGCCGATAAGCCGCCTCTTTACTTCTTTTTATAGCTCCTTCCTACTGACATTTATCGCACCCACATTGAAATGTGGTCATTGATTGATTAAACATATTCTAGGAACGAAGTCTTCAATCTCCTTCCAAAAACATGTCTAAATGGAACAATTTTGGAACACTCTAGACTTTAAACATCACTCTATATCTCATGTAGTCTGTTTGGAGCCTGAAGGCATCAACTTAATACAATTTTAAAAGAGTTAATGCCCTTCTTGGAAATTCTGGCTCCAAACAGATAACTTAAAAAAGATCTACTACGGAAATGAAACATATACATAGTACTGCACATTTTCCTTCCAGGCCTTAACTACAAGTTCATCTAATTTATCAAAGAAAGAAAAAAAAAGATGAATTAATTGTCCAGGATTCCTTCTCACATTTAGCCCTCCAGGCTAAGCTCCTTTATATCTTATAAGGGAATGAATCCCTGCAGTTAAGTTCAGGAAGTATTTGAATCTCATATATCAAAATAAAATTGTTTACTCTCGATTCTGTCTTGGGAAGAAATATGAGTATAAACTGTTTAATATCAACTTTATTCAGAAAGATGTAAACAAGCTGGCATAGCCTAAGGAAAGTAAAGGTGTTATGCTTCATTTTTTCCCCGACTTGTTCATGCTTCATACAAAATCTGAAGTAAGGTAGTTTATCTAGGCAGGATATTGAATATATTGCTTCTCTCTACCGGGTGTAGAAGTGGAAATATGAGATGCAAACAGTGTAAAGATTGTTAATCAGTTTGAAAACCTAGACTCAGGATGAGCTTTGAACCTCTTACCTGCCAAAAGAGGAATGACATGGTCTTCTCATCGTGGTTCATCAGAAGTTCTTGCGTTGGTGCAAAGACCCATTTCCTCAATGCTATGCAGCTTTCGTTAGGTTTGGCAGATGAGTAGTTCTGAATGTACAAGTTGTGAGGGAACTCTGTTCTTAATAGTTTCCGATCTGTAACATGGAGGAACACATCAAACATTGTAATTGTAATTGTAATTTAAATGGTATTTATTAAAAAATATCCACATGGCAGCCCAGGCTGAATTACATGAAGTTTACAACGTACAATCACAAAAAACAAAATGTCTTACGAATCTTCTTCTTCTTCTTCAAAATAATCTGCCTCCTTCACTGCTGAAGATTCTTGCAGATCTAAACATATTAATAGTCATACAATGTTATGAAGGCACTAGTCAGCATTCTATACATATAATGTATATTTGACAACCTTAAAAATTAAAGATGGACTTGAAAACTAAAGAATTTATTGCCAGAGATTAAAAAAATAGTTTTGCAAAGTGAGTTTTATTTTTAGAAAGGTTTCTACTTGTGAAATACTTGCTTTTAAATACAAAAGTTATATTCTACAACATAAACATTTCTGAGACACTGCGATTTATCAGTGGATTACCGTGGTCCTCTTACAATAATACCCCATTGGCAATTTAATTTACTCAAGAAAACTGGCTATAGATTATCTTCACTAAAACAATCACTTCCTGGAACCTACATGTACATGTATTCATCTTGGATATTGGTTGTGCTCCTAAACAAATAGGATCAATATATGGACATGCTAAATCTTATTTAAAAAAGAAGAAAACTTTTCAATCATCTTCTTTCAAAGTGATATTAAAGAGTGTAATTAGTTAGTTTGTAACAACATACGTTAAATTAGAATCAATAAAATCATATATGTAGCTTGCTATGAATATTTCTTGCTACCTATGCAATTCTGATCAGCTTGATTTAAGCTTTAAACAACATCTGCACCACAATCCATCCATGCACACAGTACATGCCTGTCTCTGCTTTCAAGTTTTTTTCTTCAAATGCATACATGAGAAGAGTATCGATTAAACATTTGAGTATCATTCCATTCTCTGGCAGTGACATAGTGGGATACAGAGTAACTCTTCGATCTCAGTATCTTTGCCATTCCCTGTTACATATCTAGAGCACAGGGTGAAACAGTAGGAGGTCTATTCCTTCCTAACATCCCTCATGCCGGTGACATTTGCAGATGTGTTGAAATATTAGTATACCATCTCACAATCATAATCGCTTCACTTTCTCTGTCCTGCATCATTCATGATGCATTAAAAGGGTATGCTACCTAAATCCACTATTAAGAATCAACCTACTGTCAACAGGCACACTTAATACTAGGTTAAAAATGGACAAAATTCAGAAAAATTAAGAAAAAGTATGCATCTGACAACTATGTACATAAAATAGGGCTGATGATGAGAAAGCTACCCCAAATAGTTCAAAATTGTAATTTCTCCAAGTATCCAATTTAAAAAAGAAATGGACATAAACAAATGAAATAAAATACGGCAGTAATGAGTTACGGAGTGCAAAAGGTCAACCTCTGTAAAAATTACTAAAACTAATAAATCCAAGTCGTAAAATAGAATTAAGCAACCAATTTCATAATTGCATGATTTTTTGTTTATTCAGTAGCATAATCATAATAGGAAATCCTCAGGGAGTTACAGAGGTTGGGGCTTCACTAGGTGCTTCAGAAATCAGTGGACTTTAATTTGCCCTTTACGGTCAGTTTCAAAACTTAAATAAATTTAGAATGCTTTACTAAATATCAGTCAAAAGTTTTTTAAAAGTGTTTGTTTAGAAGAAACTATCCGTCAATGGTGTTACTTACCAAAGCCACTTTCAGTGGTTTCAAACAGGTAGAAATAATTGACCATCCCTTTATCCAAGGCAATCTTGTGAACTAGACTCTGTAATGAAAGAAAACAAATCATGAAACATGGACTGTTGTGTACAGGGGCAGATCCAGCATTTTGTAGGGCATGGTGGCAAAAATTCTGGTGAAAAAAAACCTAACATGCTAACAGCAATCCAGACAAAAAAGAAGCAGATTTTCAGGTAACAATTTAACCTTTGGATTAAAAAATAAAGGGGGGGGGGGTGCATTTTGATGAACAGGGTTGATTAATTGCGATATCATAATTTGGTTTTAACGGAGGGGGGGGGGGGGCACACATTTTTGGAGGCGAAGGATGGGATAGAGTAATTAAGATATGTAAATGATCATGTATATGCAAAATGGATTTTAAAAGGGGGTGGCACAAGTAAGTTGTGCCCCCTGATCATTCATTGATGATGATATTACCTGCCTTTCCAACCAAATAAATCATCTGAGATTTGCTCCATTGTTATGACATGCCAAGGTTCCAATGATTGTTTCACATATGCTCCGGCAACATTTGCTATACTAATGGTTGTCTCATTCAAACATGTAGCTTAAATCCTGGACCCAAAGCTTATACTTTACACTAGAATATTAGATATATATTACTGTTGCCAATTTAAAGAATATATGTGATAATTTTAGCCCTAAAATAAATCCTATCTTGAAAGGATTAATTGCTGTTATCATCATTGTAAATAGTCATTTATTGTTTTACTCTTGACTCAAAATTTACTTACAACTATTGTTTTTTTTATAATGTATATCGCTGTAGATCATGTATTTTAATTTGTGACATGTTTATAATTATGTCATATTGACATTGTCATTGTACATTTATAAATCTTTTGTTTCAATCACAATGGTGTCAATGGCGGTGAATAAATAAATTCAAAATGTGACTGATGGATGTGAGGAAGATACTTGCATTATATACATCATCTGCAGTGTTGTTCCTCCTGACCGATACCGTGACAGACGTCCTGTCTGGAAGGTTTATCCTCATCTCAACCTGGACCTTAGGAGGCTCTGGACTCGACTGCATGACGGAGGAAACAAGATAGAAAGATAGAGAAAGATTTGGTCATTCATCATCTAACGCTTAAAGGGAGATTGTCATTTTCCATGTGCTGTAGGTCGTAATTCGCTTACACCAGACTTGGTGGAGATGCCATTGATGGATGTACAAGTCTCGCACAAAGCAAACCTGTAGTCCCATCAAGAAACACCCCCAGTCTCTCGGAGTGTCTTCGGTTGAGGGAAATGTAAGATAATGATTTTCTGTATGGGGCGATTGGTGGAAAATGCAGAGCATAATAAAGGCCTGTTGGTCATAAGATTGAAGGCTAATCCTCATGATTGAAAACATCTATTATTGGGTGAATGCCTGAATGGTGTTGAATTCCCCATGAGAGCCCACTCCTCTGCGTCTCAACAGCACAGTGTCCAACACCTCATTGGAAAAAAGGGTAATACATTTTGATAATCATAACAATAATTCAATTATAATTAATTTGTGACTATGATTTGTACTTCCTTTGAGAGACCAATGCCAGTGAATGGTGAGAGCAAATAGTGGCAAGAATAGCCTGTCATAGTTCAGGTCTAACTTAAGTCAATCTTAGTCTTTGTGAAACACCCCCTAATATATCACACATTTACGGCACAAGAATGAAACCCAGTATGATGACTACACCTCTAGAACGCAAAATAAGAAGAGATAAAGCTTCTGTCTACGTCTTTAATCTCCACTCGTCTTTAATCTCCGCTCAAATTGGCAATACAGCAGTGACCCCTTCACCGTTTCTTGACATTCACGCAGCAGTGTCCAGGAGATGAAGTGTTCACGATCAAAATTATTCATGCTTTCCACTATAAATCATATATGACAAAGCGATCATTGGCTTGAAAAAATGGCTGCATGTGCATGTACTATTGCAACTTATACAGTTTAATACTGTATTGGGAAAATGATAGCAGTTTCCATATAATTGTTATTTGTTTTCATATCATATAGCAACATCAATTAATTTGTTTGTAATAATGAAAGCATCATTAACAGTTACTCTTTTTCAAATGATATCAGCAATTACAACTACTCTGTTCGCAAATAAAACAGCAATTCTGGGATATGAATCCTTTCAATGTACTATGGAACTTTATTAAGTATTGTCTTTTATAAGAATATGCGTTTTTCTTTCACAATCTATAATTTGTTTAAGTCTTCATTCAAAGTCAAATTCTTATTTTTACATTGCTGCTTCTTTTCACATCTGTTGTATTGCAGCCCTAAGGTGTTTACAATTACAAAAACCTAATTACTGCAAAATTTGTTACCTTGAATTCTAATTAACCATATCAGCACCCTTAGAAACCTGCCCGTTCATTAAACCCATTCTTTAGTTAATCAAAGAGGTACAATTTTAAGTAGGACAACTCTTTTTGTATGACTGTTGGTAATTTTCCCCTTCCACTTTGGAAAAATAAATTATACCATCCTTGCCCCCCATAAACTTAACGAAATCTGGAGCCGAAAAGATTGAATTTCAAGAATCATTTACAATTATACCAGCATGTGTACATATGAAGTGAAAGTTCTGATACTGAATTTTTATAAAAGACTTTGATGGATTAAAATACTTCACACTAAAGCAAACATATGCATCTATGCTCTGTCTGATTCATTGAAGTAAAGATCAATTGAACTATATACAATAGATTAGCGTAGTTTTGATTAGTACTATCAAAGCATTATTCATCTAATCTTGAGTTTCTATATCATCAAAGTATCTATTGTCTAGTAATACATGTACATTCATATGTGATGTCTTTCTTCATTATGCTTTGTATCTTACTTTATACATTTTTGATGATGCAATTTTGTTGTTTGTGCAAGGCTCTCTGGTAAAACAGTGTTCTGGCCGCTAACGGGGCCTCCCTGATAAGTGAGTCTGAATAAACAAGATATGATTTCATTGTTGACACACAAGAGGGCCATTAGCTTGCCTGCATTGCTTCCCCGAAAGCCAAAGTATAGATAAACCACAATCACTTCATCAACATAATATGAATAACATTAGAAAGAGCTGGGTTTAAACCTTGTTCTAACCCCTGTTCTGGTTCAAACCACTGATGGGATCACCCTAGATAAGTGAGTCTGAATAAACAAAATATGATTTCATTGTTGACACACAAGAGGGTCATTAGCTTGCCTGCATTGCTTCCCCGAAAGCCAAGGCACAGTCATGCTTGCCACTATTGCTTCATCAATATAATATGAATAATATTAGAAAGAGCAGGGTTTAAACCTTTTTCTAACCCCTGATCTTGTTCAAACCACTTGAGGGCGACCTTAGATAAACGAGTCTGAATAAACTAAATATGATTTCATTGTTGACACACAAGAGGGCCATTAGCTTGCCTGCATTGCTTCCCTGAAAGCCAAGTCACAGACATGCTGCTATCGTTTCATCAATACAATACGAATAATATTAGATAGAGCTTGGTTTTAAACCGCTCTAATAAACAATGTCACTGTCAGATTGTTTTCCCCGTTGCTCCCCTTCACATTGCCAGAAGGGGTATTCCCCTGATGACATAACTGGGACACCACTGCCTCCGTCTCCAATCTTGCATTTGAAAGCTAAAATTATGAGCCACACCATCCTGCATATGAACACTATGGAAGTCATATATGGCAGGCAAGCTAGGGGCCTTCTTGACAAACTCCAATATTCTCTGAGTAAACAGGCATGAAATTGAACAGTAACAAGACACGGTCGCTGCAAATTCGAAACTCTGTCAATTGTAGGCGTTATTTCTTCTGGTTTCTCCCTATTCGCTTTTAAAATATGAAATGCCAATTTAGTTTCAAATTAGATGTGGGCTGGATGTGTGCTCTCGGGCAGTTTGCAAGGTTAGATGATGGTTTCAGTTTTCATCTGTACAATGATATTGAGACCATCTCCAAACATTTATATTATTTTTTTCATATGATCTAGTGAGATATTTTCCTATTTTGCTTGAAATTGTGTTATACTTTACAGTAACTGTTTATGCCCCCATTTCTGTCTCTCTCTTTCTCTCTAACACTGTATATTTTATCTGACATTTTCAGTCTTTCAAAAAGTATTAGAAGTAAAGTTTGTATAATTTGTAGAAGAATGAATAGAATAGTAGATGTAGAATTACCAGATAGTATAGAAGTATAATCAGGAGTATCGGCAGTCATAACTATCCACACAATCACAAATCGCATATTTTGTCGCAAATTTCACAACAAAGTTCATGATTTGTAATGTCCCTTCTGGGCCGCCATCATTTCCAGATGAAGGGTTGAACTAAACTTTGACCTAATTGCGAAACAAGAAGGCTATGTATTACATCATCATACCCTATCCTAAGAGACAGACAGCCATTCGCTCATGTAATTTTACATACAGTTAATGTCATTCTACCGTTCAACAGACAATATCATCATCATCATTCAAGAAGTCATTGCAAAGCTGCATGAAATCCATTTCAATTCATAAGGATCAATATGGGGTCCAAAGGTATTTGGTAGAGACTCGTAGAGGCGCACTACTTGTAGGAAAAGTCATTGCAACCATCTCAGTAATTGTACAATAGCTCAGGTTAGTTCTTGATACTCTGAAAAGAAATAATGCACATGGAAGGCTAAATGCAAGTTGCAAAAAGCTTTTTTAAAAGTAGCACCAGACAGGTGAATTTTCTAGGTGTTTAGATATTTTTATTCTATTTTTTATTTTCTTCAATTTAACAGTATAAATTTCATTAACCTGCAGCACATGTTATAAATGTTTCATGAAGATTTGTGCACAGGCCACATATGCATAACTGTGTACAGTATGTTTAAGGAGATAGATGTACCCTAACTGCCAAACTGTCTTCCTCCTATTTAAAAATCTCTCTCTCCCCCTCATCTCCATATTGCCTTCTCTTCCTTTTGTTTTCAATTCCTCTTTCTTCCTCTCAAGCCCCTCTCTCTCTCCCTTTCTTTTCCCTCCTCGCTCCTCTCTGTCTTCTCCTCTATCTTTCTCTCTCCCATCCCATCTCTCACTTCTCTCTCCTTATCGCTTCTCCTTCTCTTTCCCTCTCTCCCCTCTCCCTCTCTCTCTCCCCCCTCTCTCTCTCTCTCTCTTACCCCTTCTCTCCCTCCCCTCTCTCTTTTTCTCTGTAATTACATCACATAACTCATCCCAAATCCTCCCTAAGTCACGAAAGATGAGCCCACAGAATAACTCCTGGCTCTCTCTCCCTCTCCCTGATAAGAGACTATAAATCTTCTATTTATACCCTGGTCTTGATTGCATCAAAGTACTGAAGTGTATTCACCCCTTGGGCATGCATCTCATTCAGAATTGCATATTGTTTTGCTGGAGTCATTAACCAGCCTATTCGTATAATCACGACCATGTTCAACTGATAAAGGAAGCGGTTGAATTTTGTATGTACATGTATCTAAACAATGCTGATTTTTGTAATACCTAATGAATAATGCCACTTCCAGTTCCCTTGCGATTCCAAAAGTTGCAAAAACTTGGGGGAAAGATCCTTTGCTAAATGCATGTTCTACCTTATGGAATAGCCTTCCTGAAGACATGAAAAAAGTGTATAAAACCTCTTATTCCTTCAAAAACCATGTAAAAACGCTTGTTTAATTCTTAATTATTTCTACATGCGCCTTGAGCACTCCACAGAGTGGATTTGGCGCTATATAAGTTACATTTATTATTATTATTACTAATAAGTCTAAAGATAACTCAGGCTGAAGTCAAAGGAAATGCGCGTTATACCAAACTTAATTGGGTAAACTTCCGTAGTCATCAAGGTCTCTTCCTATTCACATAATGTTCTGCTGGAATCATTAACTGGCCTCTTCATGTAACCATGGCAATGTTCTATTGATGCCTAACATCAAGTGGTTGAATCATTTATACAATTGTATTCTACGCATTTTGCTTATCCATATATCTCATAATTTATTTAAAGACAGACTATTGACAACTTAATTATCTAAAGTTACATTGGTACCAATGTGTAATCTTAAATTGCATTCAAACTGTTCACAGGTAGCCTGAAATGGCTGTAAGAATCTATATATTTTGTGATGTACATATCACTTTTGATTGACTTGCATAATTAAAGTCGACTCCCAAGTTATTTTTGTTGTTGCTTATTGGTGGAAAGAGGGGAGGGGGAGGGGGGGGGGGGATCATAGAAACATTGGTTTGTTGACCGGTATAGAAAGTAACGTTTTGTGGATTTATATGAGAACATTTTGAATATTACGCTCTAAAAATATCTTGACTAATGTGAAAACATTTCTATGCATTCCATACAAAACCTTGTTTACCAGACAGAAAACCATCAAAATATCAAATTCCAACTAGGGGTTTAGAGAACCAGTTTCTTTCGACCGAGTTATTCCTAGGGATTGCGCTTTGCTTTGGTGGAAACAGTGGGCATTAGAGTAATTTTCTAGTTCTGATGCCAATGCTTTTTATAGCACTTTCATGCATTTGATCCTTCATAATACACTAATACTCAGCTTGCACATTTCCTACCTAATTAGAGAAGTTTTAAAAACCTGTAAATCTGGGATAAAAATCCAAACCAATATTTGCAGTCACTTGATCAAGCAAAATGTGAGCTTATGTATGCAGAAATCTACAGATATTAATGTATGTCTACATGAGAGTAAGTGAAGAAAATTTGCACATGCTGTTTTCACATCTTCACAAGATCAACATTTTGTATGATCTATGATCAATTGAGTCTTCAGTTTCCCGCCTATTTTTTCCTTTTCTTTATCATTTCTTACTACAAAATTGTGTATCTTTCTATATCTTTAAGTTTCAATAAAAATGAATAACCTGAAATTCTACATGTATATTCTCATTCTATGTGCTATTATCAAGGCCTTATTTCACACGTCAGCCTTCTCATCTTCATACATTATCCAGTTTTCAGCCAGCCTAGGTGTTTTTCCACGCCTGAAAATGAGAGAGAACTCTGTGATATCTGATACTCCAAATTACCATCCGACATACCTCACCCCGCGCAAAGCTCCCATTAGAGACAGGCTGCATTACAATACGCGTCATAATGGAATTGTCGCTGAGAGAAAGAGACCACGAAATATAGGTCTCAAATGACTACTGGCACAGCAAAGAGGGAGACACGTACGTCTCGCCAAAAAAAAGCCCCCATCCACCACTCGCAAATTCAATCTACTATTCAGACTTCGGCAGGCTCCAAAGAAATTAATACCCATGACTATCTCATTAGGACTCCTAAATATCATTAACAGCATATCTATACAGCAGAAATTTTTTGCTGATGTTTAGTGTGTGATGACTGTGCGATGGGGAAGAGAGCTAACATTGGATGTTTATAGTCTGGAAGCGAGAATGATACCAAAAACAGCCATTACTCTATTTTTTCAAAAGGGTACGAAAACATCATTGTCAGCCCCACAAGCATATGTACTGCTGACTAGAATCCAGTGAGGAGAATTAGGACCTTCAGTAAAATGAGATGCTGTATTGCATCAAAAACACCTTTTTGCTGTATTCATTCATGTACATTACTCATGTCTCTGTTGCAAACTAGAAGGCCATTAACTTCATTAAAACAGTTAGTGCCCTTCAGACTTTTGAAGTGATATGTTATTGTGTAAGAGGCCCAAACATGTGGGGCAATACGTGCAGCATTTTGCCACTTCAAGGAACAAGTGCTACATCAAACACCTTTTGGATTGGATTGGAACATTTTTCTTTGCGCACTTAAGATATGGTAAATTCTGGAGAGAATATTTGACATACATCAAAATCAGACTAGTGACTACAGAAAATGATCATTCTTAATGACTGATCCAGAGACATTAGAAATACACAGTAAATGGAAATGAAATTGTCTGTGAAAGGTTGATTTCATGATAGGAGAGCTAATAATCCCTTTAGGAGAGGTTCCAACTTTACTTCAGTGAATAAACAAGGTTCTTAAATTAAACTTGGGTGTAATGCAAGGTTCAAACCTTCATTAATATGCTCAAGTCATTAACATTATACAGTAAATAGAAAAGAAATTGTCTGTGACACAATTAATTTTAATGATAAAAGAACTTGTCCTTTAGGAGTCATTCCAACAATACTTCAGTGAATATGCAAGGTTCTTAAATTAGACTTGGGTATAATGCTAGATTCAAAACTTTAATAAACTCAAATCATTCGAAATAGACACTAAATGAAAAAGAAATTGCCCGTGGAAGGTTAATTAGTCCATCAGGCGAGGTTCAAACTTACTTGAGTGAATCTTTGACATTCGAAAAGTAGATATAAGTAAATTGAACCCTTTAATGACTGAGCAAAAGTCATTGGAAACGCACAGTAAATGGGAAAGGAATGATCTGTGAAAGGTCAATTAAAGGACAGCAGAACTACACGTATGCCTTTCGGACTGAATCAAGTTAACCCTAACCAGTAAATGGCCAAGTGCAAGTATATCCCAGTTCTATTCCACAACATTTTTGTTAAAATACCAAGTGAATTAAAAGGATGTCACCTTACAGGTAATTCCAGGGTTATATACAGTTAAGAACTAAATTATTTATAGTCTTACCAAGGTTTGTAATTTTCTAAGTACAGGTATGTGAAAATTGATTTGTTCCGATTTATGTTTCTTGAGAATGTGACATATTAAAGCTTACTTCTAAAAGTATTGAACAGAGGCCCCCAATTCAACTAGTCCATCTTTCATTCTTGAGTTACGGAAAGAAAAAACACAGATCAAATTTAAAAGGGTATGAATAATTCAGCTGTAAACTGTAACTAGGCCTGTAGGAGTTGTAGAAACATGAATCTATTCACTTCCAAGAACGTTGTTATATTTTTATACGCACAAATTGATGGCCTTCAAAACCATAACAAGATGATTTAATCTATTACATAATCAATCAGATACCAAACTACATGTATAACGGTGCATAACGTGAATAATGTATTATTCACTATTAACGAATCCTCGAGTCATGAAAGACAAAGGAATAAAAGAGCCAAAACTGGGTAGATGAATGTACTCCAGTGAACATAAATGTGACCCTTTAAAGCCTGTCTGCACTAGTTTTGCCAGGAGGGATTAGACCACCCAGGAAGGTCACTGACAGGTGGCTATCTCATCAACTCAGCTCTCAATTAACATAAGAAAAAAAGGATCATGGGGGACCAAAGGTCACCGATTAGGCATTGTTTTCTATATAGAGGGAGCAAGTAGCTAAAAGTAGTACAGAGGGCCTTTAATACCTCAGCCATCATCATTGAGAACGCAAAGTGACTAAGAATGCAATCATATGTGACAGTTAAATTTCAAGGTAGTGGAACCTGGTCCTCTGGGATCGGTCCTCTGGGATAGGTCCTAGCTTACACTTACCCTCTCCGGCTCTGTGTCGTCTATCTCTGTGCTGAGGAAGTCTCGCATGATGTCGCTCTCACCAATGGCCCTGACAGCACTTACTGCAAACAGAAGAGGAAAGAAGTAGAAAGATGATTAGAGACAGAAGATCACAAATGAAATGATGGAGGGGTAGACGTACATGTACAGTCAAACCTGCTTTAGTGACCACCTGTCTACAAAGACCACAGTTTTTTTTCTCCCTTAAAAATGGTTTCTCATTGAAACAGGTAGAAAGGAACCTGTCTACAAAGACTACTTTTTGTGTTTCCCTTGGGTGGTCGCTACAGGCAGGTTTGACTGTATATCTAACATTGTATAAGAAATTTTTTGCTCCAAATTTACATTGGTGCATTTTATAAACCTCAGGGCCCCTTTTTTAATAACGGTTGGGAATAGTTGTGACTTATTTGGGATTGATATCAATCGCAACTATGTACATAAGAGATAGGAGACTGAAAACTTGCGATTGATTGGAGGACTTGCGATTGATTCAGAATGTTTTTTTTATATCTTGATCTGTGATAAAACACACCTTATAATTACCCACAAATTCATTTGGGTTCCCTCTCCATCTTTCCACACGGAGAAGAAAACAAACAGGTGCGTTTTAAATTGTAAGTGATTATGCCTTTGTCTGGAGCAAGAAACCTTGAAGTTCAGGTGTTGTCTCTTGAAAGGCTGTACCTTACATGTGCCCTAGGAGATATGATCTGTTCAAACACGTCATAAGTCGCCTACAAAAATAATTAGATTAACTCTTCATCTTTCTACAAGAAAAAAAAAATACAGCATGTTTAAAGAGATTATTACCTTTCTTTGAAAGATAAATTCCATTCTTATAAAAATGAAAACCTCTTGAAGTAAGACCACAGATTTTATCTCTTTATCAGATAACTGTATCTTACATGCACGAATGCCTTAGGAGATATGATCTGTAATGCAAATTTGTCGTAAGTCACCTACAAAATCATGAATGTTCATCCTCCATCCATCCAATGGCAGAAAATAAACATTGAATTATAATAAGATATAACTCCCTTATTTAGGAAACAAATTCCTTCATTAAAAAAAAAAACTTAAAAAAACCTAGGCCCCAATGGGCCTATTGTCCCTTGAAGGACTGTACGTCACATACATCAACAAAGCCTGGCCCTAGGAGATATGATCCGTTATGCAAACACACCTTATATCACCCACAAAATCATTTAGGGCTCACCCCTATCCCCTCAAATTAAATGAGCTTTGAAATGTCAAGGCGAACATTGAGAAGAGCTATTCATCCCCAAGCAGTCTGTCAATGCCTAGGAGCTAGAATACTTCAAATGAACCCATACTCATGCATTATCATCTCCAGACAGAAGTGGCACATTGTCATGCACTTTGCACACAAATGAAGAGATGGAAGGGTTTTGTACATTTATTAAAAGCGCCACTGTACTACTTATACTAACTTGCGCCCTCTATAGCAAACAATGCCTAAGCGGTGACCAGTGGTCCCCCATGATCCCCTTTTTCTTATGTTAATTGAGAGCTGACTTGATGAGATAACCAGCGGTCAGTAACCATACAGGGAGGTCTAATCCATCCTGGCCAAACTAGTGCGGAGGGGCTTTAAGAAGGATGAGCTCTGCTATCTTCAGAAGATACGAGTTTGTTTCAAATTTATTTCTGTGTTGGGAAGCGTTTCCTTCATAAAACTGAAATAGCGAAGATAATGCCAATATTTATTCTTTGTTCAGTAATTTGTACATACCTATTTATTTATCTACTGCCTGTTATTTTCAAATCCTAGTCCCACATGTTCATACCTGTGTTTGCGATTTTCATTATTTACAAGATCAGGCCGTCGCTGTATCTTAACATATGGGAATGAGACAATGTAGAAGTCAGTGGGTTAAGTTTACCCTTATCCTCCAGAATTAATTGAGCTTTTAAATGTCAGGGTTAACATTTAGAAGTGCTATTCATCCTCAAGCATTCTGTCAATGTCTTCATATCCTGGGAAAACACTTGAAATGAACCCATACTAAATGGATTATCATCTTCAGACAGAGGCGATGCAAAGTCATGCATACCGGTATGTACGGGCATAGATGAAGAGTTATGTGCATTTAAAGATAAGGTTAAAGAGAAGGTTGAGTTCTGGGAAGAGGTGCACAATAATTTGTGAGCGTTTTCATTGTTATTATGCAGTTGTACAAGAACATGAGAGAAATTTTTTTCCTGAAAAACATGGCTCTTCAAATGCCTTCCTATTCTAAATATGACGAGAAAAAGCTTAAAAATGAGGCCCGATTTTTATGCCACATGTTTGTTTAGTCCCATATACAATTTTCTGTGTACAGGTTACTTTACCAAGACTGGGCCAAATTTCATATCATTTTGATGATTCCAAAACTTTGCAGTACACATCAATACTTATATTCTACATGATCAACTTTATCTAATTGATTCCACACTGTTTCTTTCACAATGCAATCGCATGACCAGAACTCAACTTTATAATTAAGCTTTGCTATCTACTGACAATATTTTACTTTCAAGTGGAAAAGCATACCCATTGGTGAGATGAGTGTGTCACTTGGAAGATTAGTATACATATGAGATATCTTATATGTGTTAAATCTAATACTTAGCCCACATGAGGATATCTGTGTGTGTGGTTTTCAGGGTTACTATGTCTGGTCTATTAAGTTCACCCTATATATTGAAATGTCAAGGTTAACTCTTAGAAGTGATTTTCAACCATCGGGCACTTTGTGTAGGTCTTATAAACTGGGAGAACGTTTGAAATGAATTCATAGTAATGCATTATCTTCTTCAGATAGGGGTGATGCATTGTCGTGCACATGTAGGGGCAAAGATGAAGAGCTTTGTGTATTTTAGGAAAAAGGTTGAGCTACACTATCTACTGAAGATATGAGCTTGTTTAAACTTTATTTCCATCTGGGCAAAGTGTTTCCCTGTTATGACTGAAGAAAAAAAGAAAACAATGTTAAACTTTCTTTTTTCCTTGATTAGTACACAAACTATCTCATATCTGTATGTAAGTGGTTTCAGTGTAAATATGCATCGTCTACTTAAAGCTAATCTTGAGCTCTGGTATGGGCATCGTATGTCGAGAGAAAATGGCTATAATTCATTCTAGATTGTTTATGCTGCAGTAGATTGATTGCTTGAACAGGTAAAATAAAAAGAACCTCACATAAACTTGCTGGAAATCATCTTCAATAAAAACCACAACTCTCATTTGCACATAGTGACCTGTGTTAAGCACATAATGTCGGGCCTACTTACCTTGATTTCCTTATCTTTCTATGCTCATTACTCAGCCCCTAACATGTTCTATCAAAATTGTTTGGCACATGTCATTTAGTTGTAATCTTGAACATCCAGTGTAAGTTTTGTTGGATTCTGTGAGTTTATTTTGTATCAAAACCACAACTCAAGCTCATCATTAAGTTTACCGTAGGTGAAACGTCAAGGTCAACGTTTAGAGGTGCTGTTCATACAATGTCTTCATAACCAGACAATACACTTGAAATGAACTCATTCCAATGCATTATCATCTTCAGCTATATGACAGTGATGCAATGTGGTTCACATGTAAGGGCACAAATGATGACCATTCATGCCTTTAAAGGGGAAATTAGGTTCTCTGACAGTGCTTTGATGAAGTACTGTACCACTGTCAATTTCCTATACTAACCTGATTGCCAACTTCAAACTCGGACAAGACACTTGTAACAAAAGTTATATACCAAACCTTACACCAAACCCTTTACCACACCCTGTTTCAGACCCTATACTAAACCCTTATTCTAACCCTATCCTAACCCCATACTAAAACCCTATACCAGACCCTGATCCAAACCCATACCACACCTTATACCAAACCCTAATCATAACCTGACACCAAAACCCTATACCAAACTCTAATCCTAACCAGATACCAAACCTAATATCAAACCTTATACCAAACCATAATCCTAACCCAAAACCTAACATAAACCTCAACTGCAACTCTTCTAACCCTACAGCTATGAAAATCTAAGCCTGGAGCTATCGTTGCCAAAGCAAATGTTGGATCACATCATCTACTATAGATATGAAACTGTTTTACATGTTATTTTTAATGTTTCTATGTGGTAAAACGACAACACTGATAGTCATATTTACTTGCCCAATAAGTAACTGAACATATCTGATTTAAATTCACAAATTTTAAAATAGGTAATGATACTATAATATTTTTCTGCTGAGTGCCAGAAGGGTTTTAACTTATATACTTCAACATAATATCAATACCTTTCTTCCTCCCAAACTGTTTTTTTCCATTTAGTACATCATTTTTAAAGAAAACCTGTACAATATGACAGCTTGCCCCTGAAAACAAATTTCACTGCAAGCATTCAGAATGATTTTATTGCGGTAAAGTGAGATTTTATATATGTATCAAGAATTTAGATGACTAAGAGACTAAACAGGACCAGACAGGCAAAGTCTTTGAATTCTAAATCTTCGATTCTACCTTTAAAACCTGTTCCAAGCAATCGACATGACCAATTTCACTGATTACAGTACTGTGTTCATAAGCATCTCACATCATTATTTTTCCATGAGGTACAGGGCTGGCCTTTCGAATGTTGATGTGCAATCTTTCGTACCTAGCTCGCCAGACAGTAAGCTAAAAAAACAAACAGCACTGTGGCATGCCACTGGAGAAAAGCTTCCTCCCTCAGCGGAGAAATGGGCTAGAAAATTAGATTGCGTTTCTTTTAGCTGGGTCAGGCTGCATCTAGGGCTTTTTAGGCAGCATCTAGGAGTAAAATGGTCTAATGTAACACAATACCAATGACACGTTGCTCTAAGAGAGTTACAGGGAAATGTAGGGGAACTTTATAATGGTGCAAGAATTTTGAAGGTCTTTCAGCACAGTGGCTCCTTTCAAACTAGGATTTAGGCACTATTTTCCTGCCTCCATATGATTTGGAATCGCAGACGAAAAGGTCATCATAATCTGAAAACATCCGATTAGTCTAGCCTTCGACAAGACAAA